GCCTTTTCCGCTGCAAAATTCCATAGAAGTTTTTTTCAACTCACACTTAATATTTAGAATTTTAAAATCGTGAATTTGTTTTTCTTTTTCTGTATTGAAAATATTGCAGTTGTTGTTTATTAATTTTTTTTTTTTTTTGTTGTTTTTATTTTGGTTGCATACCTATCCAATCCCACACGCAGACACATTTTTCATAAACATTTAGATATTGTTTTTTTTTTTTTTTTTGCATAAATGCATCGTGCCATGAATCATGCGTGTCTCGATTGTCAGCTGAATGAATATCCAAATTCAAGCTCAAAAAATGGAAAACGAGAAGCTACGCTTTTAGATAAATTGACATAGATTGTGAGTGGCAAACCCAAAATACGCCTCTGCAAAAATTCTTATTAATTGTTGATTGTGTTTTCATTATTAAAAATAAAAAAAAATATTACACTATTCTATCACAAAAGAAATAACAACTAAAACAGTGCCCCCAGAATTCCAAGAGGAAAAAATAATCACTTTGGTAAGGATGAAAAAAGAAACTTGTGTAATTCTGCTGGTTATAAATTCTGCCAAATTACAATTTATATTTCGAAGTAATTGATTCCAACATCTTAAAAGGAAAAATACTCCAATGCAAAAATTTAACAATATAGGTGCACTAAAACTTGTGTGGTCCGTATATGAAATTTTTTGAAAATCCCTGTCCCATTATACCCACCACCCTATACCATACGGAAGAGTGTATATTAAATTTGTCATTGAATGGGTCGAGGTATTGCCCATTAAATGATAAATTTAATATATTAGGTACAAAAAAATATGCAATACAATACTACAAAGAAAAGAAATTTTAATGTATATTTTCATAATTTCATTCGTTGTTTATTTTTCCACATTGTACATGTACCTCGTTTAAATACAAGTAAATATTCTTATAATCAAAAGAAAGCCATTATTTTTCCTAAACATTTAGACATTTCATTAAAATCAAAATTATTTTCATACTCCGCTCTTCCTTACTATTTGCACTCATTTGTTCTTCTCCTTCACTCTCTTTTGACAAAAATAAATGTATTCCTCACCATTCCAGCTCGATCTCTTTGTTTATTACTTACTCTCTGAACAACCATACGGAAGAGTGTATATTAAATTTGTCATTGAATGGGTCGAGGTATTGCCCATTCAATGATAAATTTAATATATTAGGTACAAAATATGCAATACAATTCTACAAAGAAAAGAAATTTTAATGCATATTTTCATAATTTCATTCATTGTTTATTTTTCCACATTGTACATGTACCTCGTTTAAATACAAGTAAATATCCTTATAATCAAAAGAAAGCCATTATTTTTCCTAAACATTTAGAAATTTCATTAAAATCAAAATTATTTTCATACTTCGCTCTTCCTTACTATTTGCACTCATTTGTTCTTCTCCTTCACTCTCTCTTTTGACAAAAATAAATGTATTCCTCACCATTCCAGCTCGATCTCTTTGTTTATTACTTACTCTCTGAACACCTCTAGTCTACTGTATCTCTTGTTTACAACCGCGGTCTCTCCACTCGCTCCATAGTGGCTAGTTTTGCATTCAATTGTTTCTTTATTTAAGACACTGTTACCGACCACTACATTCATTATAAAATTCCCATACGTATTTTCCAAATTGTTTCTATATTAATGTCAAATACAATATAATAAATATGTGTTGATTCGAGCAACGAGCTCAATCGAAAGTATAACATTGTAAAGGATTGTTATAAGTTTTTTGAACTGCATTTAAGCAGAAATCCGAACATTGGCAACACTTTCTGAACATTATTCCCATAATATACGAATTACCTTACAAATTCTCAATATTTTCATTGCATTAACACTATTTAATTTTATTTTAGCTTGTTGTGCACATATGAAGGTCTACCCGTCAACGAATGGGTTAATCATTCAGGCATAACTCATTCAGGTGACAGGTAGAATGCCAACAACAACAATTACAATAATCATAGTTTAGAATTTTTAATTTTAATTATTTTTAATATATGATGATGATCTCAGTTGATGTGATTGTGTTTTAAGGTAAAACAAATAATTAATACGAACAGAAAAAACTGAAAAACAAAACACGACATAAACAAACGATCGAACGAACGACATCTTCATTCAAATTTATTGTGATTGGCGATGATGATGCATTCCAATGTGGGTTTGGGTAATGATCAGTTGCGAATTTTTTAAGCCACTGTGTTTCAATTTGGTTAAAACAGCAACGCATGCACATACCTACATACATTCTAATACAGTGGAACATTCCACAGCAGCCAGTGGGCATAATCAAAAGCAAACAAAACGTTCCAAACTAACGACTATAAATAGTAATTGTTATCATAGAAATTATTCATAACCACGCTTGCCTGTCTGTCGATATTAAATTTCTTCGCGAGTTGTGGGTGTTCGGACGTTTTCATTTCTCCAAATTTGAGATTGGCAAAAAATAAATACACAAAAACATAGAGACAAAGTATAAAAGAAGAGGCATCCCATTCTAATGTTGATACTACCGTGCCGCGTTTCTGGCACGGAGGTGGGTACATGCATGAAAACTGATTCTTTATAAATTTTGAATAAGGAATGCTGTGGCGGTTTGAGTGTGACACCACACAACAATACCGTCCGGAATCATTGAATGAGCGAGCAAATGAATGGCACGATTATTTTCAATTGTTTTCGATAATTGTGTCAAGCCGAACAACACACGAAGAAGACGAAGAATATACTCCGCCACTGAGTTTCCACTATTGAGATGAAGCAGAACAATGCTGTGTTTTTGTTCTTGTTGTTGTCGCCGTTTCTTTGGTTTTCATCATACATACAGGTGAAATTTTGTTACTAATATGGACAAAAAGAATCATTTAATTGTAGTCTTTTTTCTGATTCTTCTAGTTCTCTTCATTGTTCTTTGTGAGACATCACACAACACGTCTTCAAACCTTGGCGTGTGTGTACGCGAACTTAACAGTTAACTTGTGAGAGAAAAAAAGATCGTCAGCCTCTTTAGCTCAGTGGCAGAGCACTGGTCTTGTAAACCAGGGGTCGTGAGTTCAATCCTCACAGGAGGCAAATAGAAAATTATTTTTTTTCGATTTTTTTTTTAATATTTTGCACAAAAGTGAAGAATTGGGAATTCCCAAATTGAAATTTGGCTAGTTTAAACAACAAAATACAGCTAGATTTTCTGTTGGTAGTTTATGCTTAAAACCACTTGTCAAACCCTAATGTGGGTAATTAAAAACAAGATAATGTTCTTGTTGTTACAAATTTGCTTAGCCTAATGTACCGACAGCAAGCAGGCGGTAGGGCAATTAAATCTTATGTTGAACATTTTTTTTATTTTAAACTGGAGGTTTGTCAAGAAAATTATGACGACCTTAATTTGCCTCTAGAGTAGAATTTAGAGAAACAACAGACCGACCGACCAACGAACAGGCAACGTCATAACCACCATCAAACTAAATAGTATCCACACAAACAAAGTAAACCTTGTAATCCGTTGACTTTGAACTGTAGCTAACTTTTTTACGGTTATTGCGGTTTGTTGTTGTTGTCGGGTATGAAGTTTGCGATTATTGTCGTCGCATAAGCCTAAGTGGAGTTTTATTGTTCCACTAAAAACAACAGCAACAAATCATAACTAGAAACCATCATGATGAATAGCGGCTGTTTAATATAGAAATGAATACATAAGTAGATCACTTAATGCTTAAATGGATCATTAAACAAATTTTGATCATACTCAAAAATTTTGGAGAAAGTTAAACAAACGTTTTATTATGTCAATATTAATTGTGAAAATCGATTTGAAGCAATAATAATAAAAATGGGAAATTGATAACAACGATTTTTTAATATGAAGAAGATATAACATAATAATTTCAAAATTATCTATTTAAGCGAGATTGTGTAAATCTGCAAAAAAGAAAGAAAAATAAAAAATCTATTCTGTGAGGTATATGTTTACTCTGGAAAGACATGGTCTGGAGAAGAGGATGAAATACTAAACTATTAGCAGGTGTATATATTCGAATAAATTTAGTATTACTATTATCAAACTAGAACGATCAAAAGTCTCGGAATTTTGTTGTGCATACCTCTACGCCTTACATTTCCAATTATCCGGCCATACAAAATTCTGCCGTAATAACTCCTTCCAATGTGACAGTTTGTAATTTTGTTTTAGATATTTTAAACTCAATGCTTGAGTTTACTGACAAATCGATAAGAAACTTAAGGCCAATTGGGCGCCATTTACCAAAAAATGGTATATGTTGGCATGGGTTCGTGGTAGATCTAATGAAAAAATAATCATTAAAGGCTTCACTTCTTGTTTATTCTGAAGAGAGGGACTTGGTATAATCTGAGATCCAAAATTGGTGTCTTAAAAAAAATTCCTTAATAATTTAATTTTATGTGTTTTCATCTGATGTGCATGGTACACTGAAAGAAAAAAATTCATCAATATGATGATTTTGGGCATTACTTTGATGAAATGTTTCTTCGATTTTGAGCTTACAACGCGTTTCATCATTATAATGAAGAATTTTACATCAAATTTTCATCAAAAATATTTATCAATTTAATGAAATAATGTCATCATATTGAAGAAAAAGTTCATTTAATTGATGTATTATTTCTTCCTTTCGATGAAAAAATATACTCAAATTGATGTTCTATTATCTCTATATAATGAATATTCTGCATCATTCCAATAAAAGGTATTCATCAAACTTACGTAATTTATTCATTAAAATTACATAACTTCAATGAATAAACTGCATCAAACTAATGTATAATTTACATTTAATCAATGAAGCCCTAACATCGAACTGAATTTTGTTTTCCGCTTTAGAAACGCCGTTCTAAATTTTACAAAATTCAATATAAATACAAATATTTTAGGCATTTAGGAAATATTTTTTATTAAAAAACTTAAAAAATAAGTCATTACGGGTTTTACAATGAATATAGATTTCAATATTTCCTTAGAATAATGAATTAATAAATAAATGTGATAAAATTTAAAAATGTACATAAGCGTTTGAATTATATTCAAATACAAAATTAAATATTAAATGTAGATAATTTATATATAAATCAGTTCTCGGTATAATTTAAATCGCTTAAAATATTTAGTATTTTTGAAAAATTTTTTGTGTGAGCTGATTTCATGTCATAGAAGTACTCTTGAACAAAGATCCAGAACTGATTGGATGCTCCGGGAAATTCTAAATTAAATAAGAAAAAGCTTTTGAAGCAAGTATCTAGTGCTCGCTGGAAATCTACAAAATGTAGCAATGCATGGTCTAAATAAACATAGAAATTGTAGTCATTATCTTCTAAATTGTCATCTCCAACAACAAAAATAAAAGGTTGAATATTCTCATTTCTCTTTTCTAAGAAATTTAAGTGGTTGTCTACTTCTTGGATACTTCGTGCGAGGAATATTGACGATTCTTGGGAGTCTTTTATGGTGTATTTCCCATACGTTTTCTTTCCATCTTTATCTTTACGGAGGTATTTTGATGTTGGATATAAGTAGCCGTGTAGACACCAAGTCAAGCGCATCATAAATAAAGACATGTTTGAAGCTACAAAATTAAATAAAAATATTAGTTATTTAATGATATGCATCTAATGAAAATTGATTCGTAACAAACCTGCGTCTGATGGATCAATTCTATCGAAAACTGATTTAATTCCAGCATCTTTAATGTATTTTTCCTTCTTAATCACATTATACACCGTAATAAGTTTAGTTTCCCATTCGAATATTGGTGTGTAGTCTTTATGCAGCACTCCGAAGTCCATGTTAATCTAAACGGAACATCAACACACACATGTAGAAAGAATATTAAATTAAGATGGACATATAAATTAAGATACTTACCAACTTTACTCCAAGACCCTCTTTATACTGTGGCCAGGTTTTAAATATATCCTTAAGGTTATCGTGCTCATCAAAAATTTGACGTATTCGGTAATTTGCGCATGACTGCCACATTTTTAAAAATTGTTCTTGGTCGACATTATCGTATTTTAAACTATGAATTATTTCTTTGGCGTTTTCTTCAGAAAGTATAATAAAAACCCAAATTTACTACATTTGTATAAATCATAACGTTTTTTTCGAATAATTTACCGATATAATCTGCAGGTTTGGATGCCTTAGGTGAATTGACATCTCTATCTTTCTGATAAATGTGATTTCTTTTCATATTGTTGTATTTTACACATAGCTTTCCACGTCTGTCGGTGCGGTAAGAATGGAGTTTCTCATTGGGAAACATTTCTATTATTTGTTTTTCCAAATTATAGCTTTCTTGTAAAGACATGTGCAACTCATTTGCATGAAAATAACTAGCTATTGTTGTAATTATTAAATTTCGTTGATCTTCATTTATATGTTCGTATTTTTTATAGGTCTCTAAAATTCTTTTGCCAATTTTATTTTGGTTCAAAATTGTCGTCAGTTTTACACAGGTATTGGAGTCAAAGCGTTCTTTCAGAGGTTCTTGAGATAAAGTAATAGAAGAACAGCTAGATTTCCGTGAGATAGACGAAATATTGGCCACGTCTGAGTAATATTCGTTTTCAATAGGTTTTCCGATTTCTTCTCTCCATTTATTAATATTAAACTCAAAAACTATTTTGTCTCCTAATTTAAATCTTCGTGTGAGTTCCTCTAAATGTTTTCTGTTAATTATTTGTAAGACATCAATCGTTATATTTTCATCTGGAAAATACATTAAATAAATAAGCTTTAATTTTAAGTTATATTATATATTACCTTTTAAGTTGGAAAGTAAATGTAGTAAGTTCCATTTTTTGAGTAGAATTTCTAATTGATGTTCAATAGCTGCCATTTTTATATATATTAATATAACTCTTTTATTCTTATCATATATTTTCCTGTATGGGTTTTTATGGCTGTTGTTGGATGTCCAATAAGATTTTTGATATTGACCGCAAAGGCTCCCTCTACTTTGTTGACGTGTATCTCAAAAGCTCTATAATGGCTACAATAAACAACGTCTTTAAATCGTTCACCAAATATATAAATATGGTTATCCAAACAAAATACATTTATAATTCTATAAATATTATAGTCAATTTCGCATTCAGCAACGAAAAGATCCTTTTTGTATACAATGTTTTGTAATATAACCTTATTATAAAAATATAACTGTCTTTTAGGTATTTTAAGTTGAGCACATATATCATCATTTAATTCACACACGGTTAAATCTTTTTGTAAAACAACAAGATTATTGCTTGTAGACGAGTTTAGCAAAAAGTTTGAAAAAGTGAACTGATATTTTTTCTCTAATGAAAAACATATGTTTTATCGTGAAGTTATAGCATGTGTGTACAACTTAAAACTGCGGTGTTTAGACTCAAATTGGAAACTCCAGAACTTCCGCACAGGTCCGCATTTTCTTATTATTTCCGGATAGTTAACTAACAAATGATATTTTGGTTTCAAATTAGTTTAAAAAAGCCTAATGAAATCTTTATTATGTTTTTCAATTAGATTTTCTAAAGAACTTATAGAAAACTCCGTAACCGAAAATTTGAGAATTTTTTCTACAATTTGTATAAGTGTTAAAATAAATATCCACACCTCATCATCGTCTGGAATCATATCACCAACAATTAATGGAAAATATAATAAAAACGTCATCATTTCCTTTGCTGACATTTTTAAATGGCGATTTTTGAGATGAGTTATAGTAATTTTGGGCGAAATATTTCCTATTTCAAGTTCCCCGTAATCGAACTTTTGTTTTCGAGCATTAAGGGTTTTCAAAGAGAAATATTTCTTGGTATTTGTGAAATAAAGTATGGCAAAAGACAAATCATAATGACAAATTCCTTCGAAAACGTGTGCATTGCATCTACGCTCAAGTTGTCAACAACATGGAAAGACGGAATTTTGTTAAATACACATTCGCTTACGATGCCAGTCTTAGATGGATCCCCGGTATTTACGTCAAGCCTATAATTTGCATATGTCCTCTTAAGACTTGGAATAGCGGACGTTGTTACGTTACTCATATTTTTGTCAATTCTGCATAATCGGCAAAATGTACCACTAAATGATTTTCTGTAGCCTAATATGGTGTTAAGACCTAAATTATCACCAATAATTAAACAAGGCAAAAAGTGAGGATTATACACTTTACCGTTGTTTAAATCGATTTCAATGCCTGCCACTTCTAGATCTATTAACTGGTTAACAAGTGGTAACAAACACTTGTCGATTCCATGTACTTGCAAGTCACTACTTTTAATTGATGCCGCTAAAAATATATGGTCCAATTTGGTATCTTCATTTGGTAAAACAGGAAAAGAGAAGTAAAAGTTTGTTACGGTATGAGTTGTGGAATGTGCACCCAAAGGATTGTTTAATTCTATATCGTCGGAATATAGAAAGTAAGGAATTACAAGTTGGTTGGGATACATAGCGGCCTTCTTTTTCCACATATCTCCTTGCACGATGTTGGTAAATTGCGAAGATTTGTTTAAAGATTCCATATGATCAATCATTTTTAACAATAAGTTATCTTTTTGAAGAATTTTTTTGAAAGAATGTCTTAGGGAAAGCGTTGCCATTGTGGCCTCTTTTTCAGCGAAAGTTAAATTGCCTTTTTTGTGAATGAGCTCGCCGCTTTTGTCAATGACAGAAATGTTTAAATCTTCACACAAATCTCTTTTTTTAAGTTCTTTAGTTAATAAGTACTCAGATTTTATTGAATTCAAAACTTCATTGCAACAACGAATAGTTTTAAATAATTCCTGCTTTGAATCCAAATCTAATTTGCCAGCAAATTTTTTGAAAACGTCTAGAAGTGGTAAAATTACAAGATTGTATTGAGAAGTCTGAATATTTTCAGCGTCCTTTCGACTTAAGTTATTTATGGAATACAAACCAGTCTGAAACTTTAAATTATTTTCAAAAAGATTTTCTATTACTGGTACTTCATCGAATGTTCCAGAATCAGAAGTCTCTTCACAGTGGCTCTCGATGCATACCTCTTTAGGTACATATTTTTTGTGTAGTATATTTTTTTCCAAATTCCTAAAATCACTTTGACTTGGTAATTTTTTCGTGGAGCCGCAATGTTTTTCCACAAATATTTCTCTGTGAACTTTTGTAAGATGCCTTTTAAAGGAACTTTTAGTTGTGAATGCGCTGTTACATATCGTACACCTGAATGTATCACTATTTTGGAAACCATGAAATGTTTGCAAATGCCACAAATATTTTTCTATATTACTAAAATTTTTAGAACATATAAAACACTCCATTTTAACTTACAACACTTCTATTAGCTCCAATGCACAAAAATATTAAAAACACTTTTATCAACGTCTGATCACAATAAATGTCACTTTACAAATGAATTTTTCTTATTATTCAAGCACTGTTTCGCACGCTGCAGACATAACGGGATTTTCTCAATTGGCATGCCAGAGATGTGACTTTGCATTTTATGCTAGAGTTTCTTTCGTTTATCTGAAAACTACCAAAAATAGTTTTAATACAGCAATAAAATGTTATTGAAGTTTAACCCCGCAAACGGTAGAAAAATTAATAAACTAAAGGATGATATAAAAGACATGTAATAAATTAAAAATCTTAAAACCAATTCTTATTCAAGATTATGTTGTTTAAAGGTAATAACTCCCATGCCTGAATAAGTATACTACAAAAGCAATGTTTTTGTGTGTGCGTGTTTTCGAAATAAACGCACAAACATCAGGGGGTGGAAAAATTAAAACTAAAAACATTTAATGATAGCTTTCTTCAATTTGATAACTAATTTCATTATGATGATTATGACATGATGACCACAAATTGATGAAAGTTTCTTCATTTACTTGATGACGGTGTTTTTCAGCCGAAAACATAAAACATCAAATTGAGCACCGATTTCATAAAAACAATGTTTTTTCTACACCAATTTGATGAAGATTTTTTGATAATTTTTTTTCATTACCTTGATGATGAACTTTTCTTTCAGTGTATAATACCATTTAACAATTTTAATTCAAATGCATTATATTTCAATACCTGAAGTTTTCTCGCATTTCAATGCTGAATTAATTGGAAATAATTATATCTTATTGAATTACTACGTTTAGATTACAGATTAAAAATCACGATGGATCAAGTTCAATACTAACAATTATAAAAATAATATCATAACTTGACCAATTAAGCTCTAATTCCATTGGAACAGAATCTATTCTACAAAGAATTCTATTGAAGTCAGGTACTATTAAAAAAGCTAAGATAAAAATGATCCCGCATGGATGTAAAAGTTGAATAAATTTAGTACCACCTCAACTATTAGAGATAATGGTGGTTGTTGTGGTGGCTGTTACAGTTCAGTGGCTTAGAACGAAATAATGGAAATCCCACATTAATTTATAAAAAAGCAACAACGAAGTAAAAATAATTTGATGAAGAAGATAAACGTGAAACAAAAACGTCTAAAAGACCCTTCAACAATCATAAATTAATTCGTGGTGAGGAACAGAAGAACCAACAAAAGCAAGAAGTTGGCATGGAATGGCATATTTAGTGAAGTGCACTGTGGAGGAAAAATTGGTGTTTCTCCTATGCATGTGATGGGAAATGAACTTTCTTTATTGGCCTTAGGCTATAGGTAAGACACACAGGAAAAGAGAGGGGGTGAGAGAATATGCATGGGTAGGTTGGTTTTAGTAAATAAGGAAAACAAATGCTGTGTCAGGCATATTCCTGCTGCATTTTAGCCACGCTTGTGGGAATATTTTCCTGAAATGTGAGAATAATGGCAATGAATGCCTGCCAAGATGTCATCCATAACAAGCAGACAACAAGTGAAGCACGGCGAACATGGTGGCATGGTGATCATGTTGGTGGCGATGTTGTTAATATAAAGACGATTGCTCTTTTTTTCATGGTGATAATGGTGGGATAGATAGATACTTACATACATATATTACGTAATTATTTGTTCTTGACAAACCAAGACTATTACGCTGTGTTCTAGTTTTAGTTCTGCAAGAATAATAACCATTACAATTTGTAATTTAAGTCTTGAGATCATGGTCAAAACTCCCTCCATTGTCGGCCTATTGTATAAAATTAAACGCATATGATTGTACTCTACTCTGCTCTCTAGACCTTGTAATAATTTTTATATTTATTTTTCGTTTTTTTTTCTTTTTGTTCTTCTTTTAGATTTCTTGATACAACAATGGACAGTGGCAGTGTGGTTAGTGAACCAATATCGGATGCACATCGTGCATTTGCTAAACAAAAATCAGCGTCTATGGTAAGTAGTTGTGGTTTATGAAATTGTGGTTATTTATTTTGGTTTTTGATGATTGCATGATTTATTTAATTATTAGAGAAAAACATATCGTGGACGTAGGTGAACATCTGAGGGTTCTTAGAATCATCTAACAAAGTGCGTTCTCAAATAAAAAAATTGAATCCTTTGGACCCCGGGGTTCCCAGGATAACTTTACAAAGTGCTGTGTTAAAAATTTAGTATTAAAATTAAATTATTATTTAAAATATTCCAGTGAAAAATTGGGAAATTTATTACATTTATTAACAAAACATGAAATAATGTCGTCATCGTACATACATATTACATAATTATGTCATCAAAGTTCATGCTCATGGTTTCCGCAACCGTATCAAGTGACTCTTGCCACATTGTTATTATCTGCTAATGAACATTTGCAAGCTAAAATACCCACACCTAGTGTGTAATTATTTTTATTCCAATTTCCGAAATGTGTGTTTGATGAAGAAAATACTATTTGGAAATATTATAAAAACTGGAGGTTCATTAAATAAGCTTGTACAATGAAAATAATATTTAAAAAGATTGTAAGATTTTTTAATATTCATAAAATATATGTCAATTTAAGACCTTTAAAATATCGAGATTTCGGGATCCAATAATTGAAATTTGACTGTCAAAATGTCAGATATTCGTTTGAGAAATTTGGCTCAAAAATTCAAGAACCGGTATGGTTTTCCATACATTAAGTGCACTCAATAGATATTACAATATATATTTCTTTACTCCTAAAAAAGTAAAAATTCAGTCCCTATTATGTAGTCCATATAGGGTCAATCCTATTTTTCGTGTTCAAAGTTTTAGACTTTTTCGAAAGATTATAACAGAGAACCTAAAATGATTTTTTACTGATTAATAATATTTATATACTGTATAGGTTTTGAAATAAACATATTAATAATAATTATCGTAATTTTATTTTGCACCTGAGACATATAAATTATAACTGTAAGTGAAACACTTTCATTTCAGTTACCCCCCATTAACAAAAACAATTAAAATAAAAAATTAATTAATTTTCAAACTGTGTTAATTTTAACTGAAACATCTATCGAAAATTAAAATCTACTTTATTAAATAAAATCATTATTCGAAAGAAATCGCACCCATTTTACTGTTTATTTCCTAAAAAAAACGTTAACAATTTTCACCAACAATAATAAAAATTCGAAATTCATGCATATTTTTTGTCTTTGTTTACGGAATAAGAAAGTTCAATGATTTAATTTAATTCATAGTATTTAACTTCAGCTCTCGAAATATCCAATAAAAAAAAAAAACAAAAGATTCATTTGAGATCGACCATCCATCCACCTATCCATCCCGACCACTCATTCTATTGCAAATGTGAACGCAGCAATAATGATGAATGAATGATAACTTTTTAATGCCTCAATAGTTACTTTCGCCATAAATGGTTTTGACTTTTTTTTCGCTTGGTTGTTTTGTTTTTGTTTTTATTATTTATTTTGGTATAAATCAGCCATGCATTAGTAACCTCCGAAACATCATCATCATCACCAGACTGCTGCTAGTAGCACGAGTCATGGCAGGAGGGGGGTTGCCCAACAAACACATCATGCAATTTTAAACAAAATGTTTTATTATTTTTCAACTTCTTGATTTTTTTGTTATTGTTGTTGCCACTTTTCGTTTACCGAGGGAGTTTCTGCTGAAAACTCAAAACAAAAATTGTAATTAATGTAAAACTCTTTGTCTATTGTTTGAAAATGCAACAACAACAGCAATAATGATTTCAATTAAGCTTTTGCCGTTGTGATTGCAAATAAAAAAACAACGCCGAACTAGAGTTCAAAACAGTTCGTTTTAATTGTTTCAAGTCTGGGGTGGCTGGGTGACGGCGTTCCGGCCTCCCTCTTCCTCACATTGTGTGTAGAGTTCATTAAGTTTTTAATGTTTTATTTGTGAGCATGCGTGCGTGCAATCCTACCAACGGTACGCCACGCCGTTATGGTCGTAATGTATGCGCAATATTCCCATAATGGCATCAGATTTACTTGTTGATGCGTACCCACCACCACCACACCACCTCACCACAACCATCTTCGTTTCGAGTGAGTTTGTTTGTGGATTTCCTTTTTCTTTAAATTATTATTTTTTTGCTTTATGTCTTAATTCGAATTTCGTATATAATAAAAATTAAAATTATATTAATATTTATAAGAAATGATAATAATAATAATTACTATTGGCCGGAAATCAAGTAAAGTACGACATAAAATATATAAAAAACTAAAATTAAACAACACCCTCCTCTTCGATTATTTAGTTGTGGATTGCGTCATGTAGTAGACACAGGTGGAATATAACAAACATATTAATTTGAATAAAACAAAACTTAATAATTCCAGAAATATCCTATATATAGACATAGTTTCGATTCCAGATTAGATTCATTAAAACAGTTTTTCACAGAAATCACCGCAAAAGTTATAAAAAACCGTATACACGAAACAACACAACACATGGTCGTACGTCAAACCATACTGAGAACTTTTGTTTTATAACGAACTATTTGTTCTGTCCCAACTTCCAGTTTGCATTCATTTTAAGTCGGTTATACCGAACTTGTAAAAAATATACATACATATGTTCATTCCTAAAATGCCGAGTAATATGGGCAGCGTTATATAGAGGTATTCCTAAAAAGTGATCCCATATTTATAATTTTTTGTAGGAAGATTTCATGCCCAATGACAATTCAAAATACTATATTATAGCCCAACCAACGTGTCCAAACTCCCCAAAAAACGAAATTTAGGACGTACCGTTATATGGTTGGAATATTTGCCACCCAATGTGTGTCCAAAATTATGGAATAATATGGATACAGTTATATGGGGCTTTAACAAAACGTGGACCCATATATTTCTCTTTCAATACCAAACATCCTAGAAGTATTAGCAATGTCTGTGCAAATAATAAACATTGCGATATTTATCGTAATTTAAACAGACGGTCACGCATAAATAGACGTAGAATTTTATTCTAATCAAGAATACAGTCCAAATTGTTTATAACGACATCGGTTATACGGACGAAATCCGAAAGTCTCGAATTTCTGCCCTTTATAGCCCACACAAAATATCGCTTATAACGACATATCGGTTGTAACGACCAGTTTATTTGCAAAATGTTCAATTTATCCTATAAATGATAACGACGAAACCTGCGAACAAACACATATGCATTCTTAATCGACATAGGTTGCTCTGATAGCTTCAATGGACTTGACACGATAGCACTTTTTAATTTAAAACATAGTCCACGGAGAAAATTATTTGCCATAAAAAAAAATTATGATTTAATATTTTTAAATATTTTCAAAATTTTCTTGTCGAAATTGTTCCGCCAACTCTTCCGACAATAGTTTGGCAAATCAAAAAAAAGCTCCTATAAACAAAAATAAAACAACGGAATACAAATTAAATATTCCAAAGATGTTCTACCGACATTCCATAGAATTTTTCGATTATTCGGCGGGCCATAAATTATAAATGAAGATCACGTATTGCAATTCAAATGAAGAGAGATGAAGCTTTTTTCGATTTAAATTCGAAAAGCTCAATTGTGTGCTTTTTATATTTTATTCACCTCGAAACAGAGATGATTTTTTAGTCACAACGTGTTGAACTTAAAACAGCTGTTCTTCTTGTTCGTCGAACGGCAGACATTCCGATAAGTCAACGCCACACCATCGCATCGCATCACATCGCATCGTCATAACAAACAAGTGGGGAGCAGCAGATTGTGATTTGTAAACACAAAATAGTAATAAAGGAACCACAAGTGGAGTGAGTAAATACAGGTAGGTAGGTACGCCGCTGCTGATTCGATTCACGGGGAAAACATAAGACTATTAGCAGCTGTTTTAGACTTTCTTTTTTTTTTTTTTGTATTTAATTGGTCCACCCAACAATGTCCAGTTGTGGTATCGCTGTGTTTGTGTGCTTGTGATTTTTATTCATATCGAGTAAAGCAAAGAAACGGGAGTCACATTGGTTTGACCGAAAATAAAACATAAAAAATATCGAAGCAAAGTTAAACTAAAAATCCATCAATATTTTATAAAACTATAATTCTAGTAATTACTGATTGTTTACACGCGCACAAACACATGCATAGATATTACCTCACCCTCTTTATATTTTTTGTGGGTCTTTGGTCTTTAAAGACGTTTTGTTTTTTTGGTTTTGTTAATGGAAGGAGATAAGTTGACCGACCAAAAGCAAAACAATGTTTTGAGTTCTGTCGCTATTGGCTTCCACAACAACAACACCAAGAAGAGCAATCAATCTACTACAACAGCTGCTAATAGTACTAAAATTGCTTGTTATTTCCCACTCTCACTCTCCCTACCCTCATTTAATGATTGCGTGTTTTCTCCAACGACCAACGATACTATTATTGTTGTTTAGTACAAAGCTGTGAATTAAAAAAAACAACGTTCCCCACAAACATGAGAGTGCCAAAGCTCAGTCTAATTTCCACCTTGCGCCATTCACTGTTAGCGCAGCCCAATTGTAGTTCTATTCAAAGTCTACGTGCTCTGTCTACAATCCCCATAAAAAGTCAAAATCTCTGCTCCCAACAGAATTTTGTGAAGCAAACAGCAGCACAACAGTATCGTCTACACCATTGTCCGGCCAACATGTTACCTCAACGCATCCCCTTCTCCGAAGATTTCTTTTTCCGTCAGGTAAGTTGACAAAAACAATACGAATAAAGTGATCCAGCTACTCACAGCTATATCTTTTGATTAATGGCGACGGCTATTTGCCGCACGTCACTTTTGTTTGCTTCTGCTATATAGCTCTTCGATACGGAAAGCAGTACCTACACCTATTTATTGGCCGATTTGACTACCCATGAGGCCATTATTATTGATCCAGTTTTGGAACAGGCCAAACGTGATGCCCAATTGATTAAGGATTTGGGTTTCACTTTGAAATATGCCGGTAAGTATTAACAAAAAAGAAATTATGGGGAAAATTCGTATGTAGTTTATTTTTGTTGTTATTGGATTTCTTATCAAATGTTTCCATAAGATGGGTTGGATGGGTTAAACTCTAACTGGCCAAACAAACAAGCATTGATAACTGAGCGATCAAAGATAGATAAATATCAAATGATTTTGGAAAAGTACAGCAGTACTATTGATAAACAAGTAGAGATTGAGTCATAATATTTTTTTATTACAAAACGAATTCGTAATATGGAGACAACATAGGCCGATACCGATCGTCGTGTGGTTTAACTGAAAAATTTGTTAAGTCATTGTGAGTTACAGCATTACTATCTCATAGTTCATTTCTTTTTTCATTAAATCATGAAATATATTTCTCTATTTTTTAAAGAGGGTTTGATTTAAAATAAAAAATAACTATTCAATAACTTATTTGATCAGTTGGTAACATCAACAACGACATAATTTTTTATCTTACGAAAATCCATTTTTTCTGATATTTGGGCCTCCAAAGTTGAAACTATTGTATTTTTTCCAATTCACTAAGGCAATAATAGGTGTCAAATTGAAGCGGTTCAAGTTCTGATGCTAAACTCGACCGAGAGACCGAATATTTTTTTAAATAGAATAGTATGGACTTCTAAAAATACGTTTTTGGAAACAAATTAAATGGCCTATAAAAAATCCATTTTAGTTTTTGTAGCATTTAATTGTACTGTTTATAACATACCCTACTTATTTATTTTCTCTTATTAATACCTCTCCTCTTTCCAGTCAACACCCATATGCATGCTGATCATATTACCGGCAGCGGCTGGTTGAAACAATTATTGCCCGGCTGTAAATCGGTTATTTCCGAGGCAAGTGGTGCAAAGGCTGATATTAAAATCCATGAAGGTGATAAAATTGAATTTGGACGTCATGCCATTGAATCGTTGGCTACACCCGGCCATACCAATGGTTGTATGACCTATGTTATACCCGAACAAGGTTGTGTCTTTACGGGAGATACTTTGTTGATTCGTGGTTGTGGTCGCACTGATTTCCAAGAGGGCAACTCAAAGAGCCTTTACGAAAATGTACATAGCAAAATATTCACCCTGCCTGAGAATTTCCGCATCTACCCTGCTCATGATTACAAGTAAGTTTGAAGGCGGAACCATAATTGAGGAATTGAAATTAATTGTGTAATTCTCATTTGCAGAGGTCAAATGGAAAGTTCAGTATTTGAAGAGAAGAAATACAATCCTCGTCTAACAAAATCTTTGGAAGAATTTATTAATATTATGGATAATTTGAATTTGGCCTACCCTAAGAAAATTGGTAAGCAATCATAAACATTTAAAGTGAATTCCACATTAAAAGATAATTTTTTTCAAATAATGATTTTAAATATAAATTTTTCGTGTTTCTTTTTTTTCAGACAAATCCTTGCCAGCCAATAAGGAATGTGGTCTCTATGACATACCCAAGGAAAATTAAAGGAAATTAAAAGCAAATAAATGTGAATAGCTGAGATTTGTTTGATACAAAGAACACTACTGAACAACATTACCTCCTAATTTGTTTATATGTCCCCATTAAAATAGTCAAATTAACCCATCAATAAAGCGCCCCCATACTAATAACATACAATTCCGTGTTTTCCTTTAACAATTTTGTAAAATGGGAACTAATTTCCCCCAATCGCTTAAATATTGTCTCAATTCAAAGAAAAACAAAATAACACCTTCATCCATTTCATTTTCAGACAATTTTAAATCCAAAATCAACCAAATATAGTTTATTACAAGACAACACAAATACCAAAGCCTTTAACAATGCTGATTCAGATAATTTATGTACCAGTCTGACACAAAGTGCTACCACAGGTCGTAGACGTAAAGGTTCGTCATTGGCTGGAACATTGTCGTCCCGCTCGACACGTGGTGAATGCAAAGAATTGCGTTCAGCCTTACAGGATCGTGAAACAGTCATACAAAATCTTCGCATACAATTATGTTTGGGAAAACTGCCAAGACCCTCAGGACCACCGCTGGATGAAGCCGATAAACCAGCTGCCGAGCAAAAATTACAAAAACTCAAAACCGAAGCCGAAAATAAGAAAATTAAAATTAAGAATTTAAAAGGGGCCTTGGACAAATTAGATATTACAGAGTAAGTTTTTGAAAACTTTGATGGCTGAACGAGATCTAATATTGAAATATTTTTGTTCCACAGTAACATAGATGTGCGCATTAGGCAAGCAGAACTTGAATATGCTTTGGGTCGTGAGGAGCTGCAATTGCTTTCCATTGTTGAAGAGGCTCGAGCATTGCAGGCACGTTTGGAAAAGTCAAAAGTTCAACCCCAAAGTCTTTACCAGTAAGTTCTTAAATTAAAAATCGAAAATTGGAATGTTAAAAAAAAACTCTTTTTGTACAGTCTTCTCAGCAGTGGCATCTCAGTCGGCTTACACGCTGTCCAGGCCACCACTGGACGTTGGGCTTCCCAAGAAATTCCCGAAGGTTCGGGGGTTTTCTATGTCGAATGGGCCTTAGAAGGCGATGGTCTCTACAAGGGAGATCGTATTTTAGAAGTCAACGGCAAATTAGTCACATGCAAAACCAAAGAAGAATTCCAAAAATCCATAGGCAATACTGGCAAATGTCAACTCGTGGTGCTCAGGCGGAAACCGGCAGCAATACCACAAAAACAATTGGACCAAGAGAAGGAAAATAATTTACGTTTGCAACATCGAATCTCCTATTTGGAGGAACAAGTTAAAGAGCTACAATCCAGCAAACTTGAACATGAACAGCTGCAGCTACAATTACAGCAACAACAAGCACTCCAACAGCTACAGCAACAACACCAACAACAGCAGCAAGAAAATCAATTGCATGGCCACGTCACCAGCATAAGCATATCATCGCCACCATCTACACCACCAGATAAGCCTTTAATATTCCAAAGAGGTAATTACATTACGACACTGGTGGGTGGCAAACCCATTGAGCTGTTGGGCGACGAAACACCCACACCACCGGAAATAGAAATAAAACGACACAATGTCCTGACCAAAAGCAAATCGGCTGCGCATATCACAAAAACCTTGATACGTGAAAACAGTCAACACGACATAAATTTAACCATATCCAATAGAGCCCTTTCGTCCTCCAAAATATCCGTGAACAGCGACTCGAATACTGGTCAGAAAAAGGACAAGGAAAGGCAAAAAGAACGCTACGAGAGAAATGGTGTAAGCAGTAAAAATCAATTACATGCACGAAGTGTGGAGCATTTAAATCACATGAATGGGTAAGAATCGCCTGGATTTGAATAGAAATTACTTTTACTAATTATCCTCTCTTATTCATTTAGGTATTGCGAACGCCGCCGTGATACTCCACGCAGCACTGATATTCACACATTGAGAGCCCGCTTGACTTGTGATATGCGCAGTGTCAAGTCTCTCGATTTCGATAGTGATAATGAAACAAATCGCCCCCGTTTACGTGCTCAGCAGTCCAGTGATACAATGTCAGAGGCTCGTACCATTAGACCAACACCACCCAAAAAACCGTTGCGTTTATCACTGCAGAGAGCCCAAAGTCTACAGACCGTAGAATTGAATGCGAACAATGAAATGGAACGTAAACGTCCCGTTAAACGGGCCCATATGAATGAAAAATTATCGCTGAATTGCGATAAACATCTGGACAATGGCCACAGTTTGCTTATTGAAAATTGTCGACATGCCGTTGTTTCCAACTCCGGTTCATCGTCAATGCATACGTCATCATTGGGACGCCATCGACATAACCTATGAAAATTACTGAACAATCTCTTTCGTCTACAAGAAGAGATTTAATTTAACAGTTTAGTTCATGGAGTTTTTTGTTTCGATGGCGATTTTTGTCAACTTTTTTTTTGTTTTTTTTCTATATTGAAAAGAAGAAAACTTTCTGCGGAAAGTTTTCTTTGTTTTTCTGAAATGTGTAATTGTTTCATGTTATGATTATTTTTTTTTAAGTTTTATTTTAGTAACCCAAACCATCCACTCATCCCTATATAGTAGACGTTAAGTGAATTTGTTTATATAATTTAGTTTTTTTATAAGTAGTTAGTTGAATTTTGACTGGTGTATAGTAAAATGCAAAAATCAAAATTGTATATTAATAAAATAGTAATAGTTATTTAAGTGTAGATTATTATAATGTATGTGGATTATGAAAATTATTTAAAAATATATTACAACTTTTTGAACCTAAATGAAACAATGAATTCAATTATTATTTCCAGGCTATCTAGCCCATTTTGTAGGTACAAGCAATCTACACAACAGTGACAAATTATTGTAGAATATTCTTCAGGTCTTAAAATGTTGGACTTGACTAGAAATGCAGAAATGCATTGCCGACAAGTGGACTCTACCATATTTTGGAAGAGAAATCGACGTTTTTGTTACTTATTTACTTAGCTGGCTTGTTACAGAACGGTTGTTCCATAAGCCGAGCTTAAAAAAATTTCCAAGGGCGTCGGTCTTGTGCACAAGTCCACCAATTTGGAAGACCACGTTCCAAGATGTTGTTTTCTACTTGGTCTTTCCATCTACCATGCTTCTGATCCATATAATAGCACGGGTAGTATCAGCGTCTTGTAAAGTGTGAGTTTGGTCTGGCGAGAGGTGGCCTTGTTTTTAAACTGCTTACTTAGACCATAGTAGAATCTGTTGGCCATCACAATCCTTCTCCGAATTTCAAAACTGATGTCATTCAAGTTCCACAGTTGGTCCGAGTCTACTGGACGTCTTGCGCGTTGATACCATCACCTTGGTCTTCTCGCCGTTTACTGCCAGACTCCTTTTCAATTTGTTCAAAGGTGGCTGTTACCGCTCGCAATGTTCGACCCATTATATCGATGTCATCGGCGTAGGTGAGTAACATGTGTGGTTTGGTGTACAGAGTGCCATTTCTGTTCACCTTTGCGTCTCGTATGACCTTTTCCAGTAGGATGTTAAAAAGATCACACGACAAACTGTCACCTTGTCTGAATCCTAGTTCGGTATTGAAGGGCTCCGATAGGTCCTTTCCTACTTTAACGGCTGACCTTGTGCCACTTAAAGTTATCCTGCATAGCCGTATTAATTTTGCAGGAATGCCGAACGCAGACATGGCTTTAAACACCTCTGAACGGATAGGGCTGTCGAATGCGGCTTTATAGTCGACAAATAGGTGGTATGTGTCGATGTGTTTTTCGAGGGTCTTTTCCAGGATTTGGCGCAGAGTGAAAATCTGGTCAATGGTGGATTTGCCAGGTCTGAAGCCGCATTGGTATGGTCCGATGATGTCATTGACCATTGGCTTCAATCGTTCACACAGCACACTGGATAGCACTTTATATGCGATGGGAAGGAGACTTATTCCTCTATAGTTGGCACATATCGTCTTGTCTCCTTTTTTGTGCACGTTAATCAGCTGGTGCATGCTCCTGACCAGCATCTGGCCACCAGTCTTGAATAGTTTGGCTGGTAACCCATCGGCTCCTGATGCTTTGTTGTTCTTGAGCCGATTAATTGCTTTTATGACCTCATCTTGGTTAGGTGGTATACACTCTATATCATCATCTCTTATTGGTTCTGGGGTATATTCTTCATCGCCACTATTTGATACTAGTAGCTTTTCGAAATGCTCCTTCCAGATCCTCAACACGCTGTCTGTATCTGTCACCAGGTTTCCTTCTTCATCTCTACAGGAGGATGCGCCTGCACCAAAGCCTTCGGTTTGGTGTTTTACTCGTTGGTAAAATTTCCGGACTTCATTCTGACTCCTGTACATCTCGATTTGCTCACGCTCACGTTTTTCTTGTTCTTTCTTCTTTTTTTTGAAAACACGTTTCTCCTCTCTCCTTTTCTCCCGATAATTCTCCACCACGTTACGTGTTGCTACTGTCTGCAGGGTTGACCTATACGCTGCGTTTTTCACATCAGTAGCATTACGACACTCCTGATCGTACCATGGGTTTCTTGGTGGTGGTTTTTGGTACCCAATTGTTCTTTTTGCTGCAGTTTGTAGGGAGTGGGCAATTCTTTGCCATTGTGCTTCTATACTAATATCGGGTCAAGAAGTGCTTTCTTCAAGCAGATGGGTAAGTTGAGCGGAGTAGGCCTCGGCTACCTGTTATGTTTGCAGCTTTTCGACGTCGAGTTTCCGTGTTGTATTAGATCGCACCTTTGCTGCAACATTAAGACGGGTGCGTACCTTGGCTGCCACAAGGTAATGGTCCGAATCGATATTCGCTCCTCGGATCGATCGGACGTCTAAAACACTGGATGAATGCTTTCCGTCTATCACAACATGATCAATTTGATTTCGCGTTGTGTATATCGAGAATCTGGTGCTGCTAACTACCATGTTTTTTTGCTGCCGCGAAGTCAATCAACCTCATGTCGTTGTCGGATGTTTCTTCATGAAGGCTGAATTTTCCGACGGTGGGGCCAAAGATATGTTCCCTTCCGATTTTTGCATTAAAATCTCCTAGCAGAATTTTAATGTCATGGCCAGGGCAACGGTCATATGCTGTTTCTAGGCGCTCGTAAAATATGTATTTGGTCTGTTCATCTTTATCTTCGGTCGGAGCATGGGCGCAAATTAGACTGATGTAAAAGCACTTCGCTTTTATACGGATTATAGCAATTCGTTCATCTACTGGAGTGAATCTGGAGACAATGTATTTTATTCTCCTGTTAACCATAAATCCGTAGCCAAATTCATGTCTCGTTTCATGGCAGCTATAATACAGGTCGTAATCTTCTGATTTACTTACGCCTGTCCTTTTCCATCGCATTTCCTGTAGGGCAATAATATCGGCTTTGTACTTCTTGAGTATGTCCGCCAAAGCGAACACTGCCCCTGTTCTGTACAACGTGCGCACATTCCAAGTGCAGATCGTGGTCCTTTATACGTTTGCGGGGGTCGTCAACATTAGGGGGGTTTGGTTTTCTTTTTCTTTGCTTTTTCATAGTAGGTTGGGTTTTCCGAGAGTGGGCAAATAACCCGATGCCTCAACCGATTTTTTTATAGTTCTTATGGGTGAACTCGAGGCACATATTAGCTCACTATTTCATCGGGTGATGGGAATAGCTCCCCAGGTGGCACCGCGGAGAGGTCAGTGTCCACAATTGAGATGAAAGAGGGACCAAGATAAGCCTGGACTTCGCCATGTTAAAGCCAATCAGAACCGTTGCTTGGTATCTATCATCCCCTACGTTTTTGTTGGCAATAGCAAATGACTTACATCCTAAATACAGGGTTATAAGAAATTGATAATTGTAATTACCGTTTCAAAATGTTTACCAACAATTAAAATAGTATAAAAAAATCATAGAGTTTATTATTAAACAAATTAAAACTCCATTGAAAAGAAGAATGAAAATGCAAGAATGCGTTACGCTTCAAGTACGCATTATGTCCACATTGTTTAAGTATGTCTTGTGGATATTTAGACTGCATTATTTACTTCAATCAACTTATGTTCGAGTTCTCTGTAGTTTATCATTAAACAAGTTTTTCAACAGGTCGGAGTTAGCCCTCTTGATCGAGTATTTTTATCCGTGGATTATAAGATGACCGGTAATTAATGTAATACTAGAAGTTGCCATTGAACTCGCAGAAATCTTCTGGATTAAAAAAAAATATTGCTCAATTTTTGACTCCATATTAATGGATAGGACATTCATTAATAGAAATTAAGCATAGTTAATACAAATCCGCTAATATCGAATTTGAAAAATATTCACCCTCCTGGATAAGTTGAAATCACTGCATTAAGTCACAACTCCTATACCTGGGATAATAGAGGAAAGCTCTTAACACTCATTTAACTGTTTCCCGTGACATTTTCGTAATTACCGATTTGGGTATTTTTTCTTTTCAACCTCGATGTTAAAAATACTTGTGTAAAAGGTGCCTCAATTTGTAGATAACCAATGAGTGAGAGACCATTGCATCGTTTGGTGGGTGCTTTTATTTTAATTTACAGGTGAGTGAGTCGATCAAAAGCTTTTTTGCCTAAATTTCAATTGCAATTCACTTTCGTGCGATGTTCGGTTGAATGTGGATTAACGGTGTGGCGGCGAGTAGTTGATCAAAACAATAAATTGTTTAAAAGCGGGAGAACAGTTGTGCCACAGAGCTCGTATAAAACGGTCGGTTGTAATCAATACATAAAAATCGCAGCAAGAACGGAAGAATTTAACTTTTTTCGATTTCAATTTTTCAATTTGTTTGTGTGAAAAATACAAAGCCAGTTAGTCTCGGTCAGTTGAATTAAATTCAAGAACAACAGTAAGTATTTGAGGGCATGAAAAAAAAACGTATTAGCAATCTATAATCTGAATAAAATTATCTAGACCCTGAATGCAATCTCATCAGCAGTTTTTGGTAGTCTTTCTGATAAGTGGTTTTTATTAAAAAAAAAACAATAACTCCAAAAATATAAATAAGAAAATACAGTCTGTACATAAACCACTTAATGGGAATTTTATTGTGTGTGGCTGCTACTTTTTAATTTGTTTCATTACCAATTTCAAGAGGATGAGCTGAGCCAGGCTAGAAGGGTCTGGAAATTTTTTTCAAGGCTTCAACAACTTCTCAATGCGCAATACAAGCCAAGTTATTTTCGATTGTTTTATTTTTAAATATTTAATTAAAAACCGGTTATATGGGAATGTATTAATGCTACAAGGGCGAATTGTCAGCATGAGAATATATGGAAGTAGGGTGGCGGCAAAAGGAGGCGAGAGAAGTTTTGTAAGACATTACAATCATAGAATTTTAAAATTTTACACAAAAGCAAACAAATTGCAATCTGCGCATGCTACAGGTGTTTCTCACACACAAATCAATTATCGTCTTCGTGAATCAGATTTTTGATGAGTTGAAAAATTAAATAAACAAACGTCGAAGAAAAAATAAAAATAATAATCGTAATTAATAATGCCTTATTGAATTCTGTATTCCGACGATTTTTTGGGTTGAGATTCTAATTTCAATCTAAGTCATGTATCTTTGCATCTGGGAATATTTTTTTCCAAGGGCACAACAAATTCTTTGGCATTATTCTGTTTCCAGCTAAAGTACTGCTTTATTTTCGCTGATTTTGCTGCATAAAAATTGTTCTTGTAAATTTCCAATTTCACTAAATTTAATTTTTTCATAATTATTTTTAAGTGTTGTGTTTGCTTAATCGTGTTATTCGTTACGGTTTTCTTATTAGATAAGAAATCGAATGGCAATTGTTTTCAAAATATAAAAACTTGTTATGTACCCAAAAATTTTTTTTTTTTTTTTTTGAAGAATGTGGATTTATATATATATATATATATATATATATACATTATTATTATTATGATTTCTGTCGTAAATAAACAAATTTAAGGACAACTTTTGCAAGCTTTGCTCTGAGAGTAATGAAATTAAAAAAACATTAAAAATAACACATAAATCTAAACCAGTTTTCAATTAGACAACATTTGCTGTTATGTATGTGTCCGAATATCCACATATGTATATAGCGGCAACGGAAGGTAATACATGTTGTTTACCTGGTTCATATTTTTGTCGCATTTCATTCAATTCGTTTTGTTTTCCTTGTTGACTTTGCAACGGCAAATAAAATTCAAACCTAGATAATCTGATATCCCATTGCGTTTATTAATTAACCTTTCCACACACTTGACCCTGTATGGGAGAGAGAATGAGCAATCGGGGGCCGCAGACAACATTGGCTATTAAAAAATTGTCATTCTCGTCGTCATCATCAAAACTACTTTCCGCTTTTTTATAATTTTTTTTAATCCAGAATTCTATTCTATTTATTGAATCAAACATTAAGGTTAACAGACGACAAAAAACAAACAAACTCAGTATAGCAAACAAAATAAAATAAAAATCAGACTACTCAGCAGAAGAGGTCAGTAATACGATCAACCGACAAAAATGAATAAAAAAAAACACAAACTATAGCCAACCTAGAGAATATAGTGAATGTGTGGGGTGGTCAAATTATGGAATCACCTTTTGAAAAAAAAAAGAAAAATACACAATAAAATAAAAGCGAGAGGAACAGCGACCGCCAACGACAACAACAAAAATAAAAATTGATTAAAGCACGAGATTTGTGGAAGTGTCTTTTTTTGGTGTGTTATTATGGAGGTCTGTTGCTTTCATATCACCTATTATGACGCTAATTCAACAAAATGGTGTGCCACAAGCAGTTTTGTGGAAACACAAACATATAGTATAAAATATATAGTAATTACATTCAAAAGATAAAGGGGAAAAGTAAATGATAAAGGTATATAAAAACCTTTAATTTTATTTGGAATTTTCCAATTACACTTTTTTAAAGGGCAAACATCACTTACCTTTTACTATATACAAACGTCTTGTTCTGGAAATAAACAAAAGTAAATATTAAATATATATCTCAAGCCGTGCGTTAATTGTTAAACAATGTATTAAAATTCGTCATTTCATCTGCACATCATGACCCATTCCAACATACAGTGGCCGAAAAAATAATAAGATCCATTTTCTTTGAAAGGTTTCAAGTAACATTTCTATTGTTGAAAACCAGCATCGAATTCTTTAAAATCAAAATTTTTAATTCATTGTTCCCCTGATCCACAATCATTTAGGTTAAGAGTAGTAAATAACCCTTCCAAATATACGGCAAACCGAGTAACATTTAGTACTTTACGTACATCTATTGAACGAATCGTAGGAACTACCCACAAATCATTATCTAAGACACCAAATAGCGTATTTAGTACATTTTTACTTCTTGTCGTACATTTTAGTACGATTTTCCAAGCAAACTATTGTACATAATAATGTTACCGTTTTAGGGCGACTTTTTAACCAACCAGTAAAAAAGTGTCAGCCGGTGTCGTCGACAGATATATTCCCTTCAGCCTATGGTTTGCTTAGGCCTTCGGAATTCAATTGTTATTCAATTTGCTCCAAATTAAATGTACAAACATCTATAATATTGGCCCTTTTTGGGGGAGGTATCAGAGGAGAGGGCAGACGGATCCCATCTTCGGACTTGATCTAGGCTTGGAAAACCTAATAGCTTGTGCAAGGTTTGGTTTAAATCGGAGATTCCATTCGCCTAGTATTGAATTTATAAATATTGAAATTTTTGGCCATTTGTGGGGGAGGTACCAGAAGAAATGACCAATGGTTCCCATCTTCAGACTTGATCTAGATTTGGTAAAAATAATAGGTTGTGCAAAATAGGGTTTAAAGTTGGACATTCATTTCGCCCAATATTAAATTTTTAAATATGGAAAATATTGACCTTTGTGGGGGAGGTACCAAAAGGATTGGACCAATGGGTCCCACCTCCTTCTTGGTAAAAGTAATAGGTTGTACACAGTTTGGTTGAAATCGAATAGTCCCTTATTTAAAATAATTTATATTTCAAAATAAATTTTTTGCTCAATTTGACCATTTTGTGGGGGACGGAGTGAACTGATATTTCCCATCTTTGGACTTGAACGAAGTTGGGAAGAAATATAACGACGTGCCAAGTTTGGATGAAATCGGTTTCTGCCTTCGAAAGTTATCGTGCGCATCAGCCGGTTAGACAGATGGACGGTAATTTGAAAATGGGTGGAAACGGATTTGACCCAAATGAACATGGGATCTAAAATCAACATTTCGATGAGTCACATTCTTGTCGTAGCCATAATGCTGAGGATTTAAAAATACATTAATGCTGTTGCAGTCATCAGGCCCCCTGTGATTTTTTTGTTCCCAAGAATGATGAGATAAAACACGAATCGAGGCAGCAACTGAACAAGACCACACTTTTTTCTTATCTTTTCCAATTATTCTGTTTGAAAACGAAACACGTTCTTGCGTTTCAGTTTAATTTCAATTGCTGAGATTTGTTCTGAAGTTTTTTTTTTTTTGTCTGGGAGAAATACAATTAACGATGGATAGATAGCTCTCAAGAGTACCTTAGTAGACCTCAATTGTATGAGTGGGAGCTTTGTATTCTGAGATAGACAAAACTGACATATATGCTTTAGATAAGATTTCAAGACGTTTGTGTATATGTAAATTACTGTAATATAGACTCAATACAATAGGTTTAAGATGTCAGATCAATTACAAACAAATATTCAGTTGTTTTGAATTTAGGTTCGTTCGCATAACACAAATATAAATAAAATAAATTTGCTCTTCATAAGCACTTTAAATATCACGTTCGAAATTTATTTATTATTAACATTTGTATTTCCCTATTTCAGAAACATGAATACTTGGCAATTGTTAATAACATTAATGGCCATTACGGCAGTTTCGGCCAAATCAGCTGACGTAAGTTGGACCATTAGTTTCATGTCCAGGCGGTCTAATTACAAATAAATCTTAATATAATTTAGAAAAACACCCGCATGGAAGCTATTGCCTATGTGACTGGACCCTCGGGAGCTGTTGGCAATGTTACCTTCATACAGAATGCCTGCGGTGAAAATGTTCATGTTCGTGTATATATAACTGGATTGACACCGGGCAAACATGGTTTCCATGTTCACGAAAAGGGAGATTTGTCAAATGGATGTGCCAGTTTGGGTGGTCACTTCAATCCTGATAAGGTGAGGTTTTGTTGTTGTGGTGGATTTTTTGACGATACGATTTAAAAATGCTTTATTTTCCACAGATGGATCATGGTGGTCCCCGTGACGAAGTACGCCACGTTGGTGACTTGGGCAACATCGAGGCAAATGCCAATGGTGTTGTGGACACCACATTCACCGATCACCTAATCAGTTTGACTGGACCCCGTACCATTCTCGGCCGCGGATTGGTTATTCACGATAATGTTGATGATTTGGGCAAAACCACACACCCCGACTCCAAGAAAACCGGCAATGCTGGTGGTCGTGCTGCCTGTGGCGTTATTGGTGTCAAGTAAATATTCGTCATTTGCCTTTGGTTTATTTGGTGATTGCTGCGGTCTCACTGACCGCATAATGTCACGACATTTTTACTTAATACAGAGTTAATTAAAGTTGTGTTTTTCTATTCGATTCGTATTTGAAGCCCAGTAATGTGCGTGTCTGTATTACCAATAATTGTCTAACCAGTTTGTTTGTGTTTTACTAAAATGTATTTGTATGTGTCAGTTTTTGTGTATTAATTTTTTATATTTTGATTTTTTGCTTAATTACTAAAAAAAATAGTCTAAGTTTTGAGGTTATGTAGCTGGAGACAAAGGTTTTCTAGTCCCTCTGGAAGAATCTCATTTTATTTGTGTTTGGGCTAAAAAACTTTTGTCACAAAAAAATTGTATTTTATTTTTTGTTTATATCTGGACCTTACTGGTAGGTCCAGTTCCGATATTTTGGGTCCATTGTGAATAAAAAGAACGAACACTAATTAACTGATATAAACATGAAAGGTGTGTTGTTGTTGTTATTTCAATATATTTGTATGGATAATGTAATTGTTGTACTGTTGTTAACATAACTCACTTGCCTGTGGCTATTGCACCAGAGTCATTAACATCTGGAGTGTCTGTTGTAGGATCCCATAAACCCAATCCAAAAAAAAAATCTATCTCTGTTTGTGTCATCGACTAATCTTAAACTTTGTTTTATTTCTGTTGGTCAACTTGTTTATTTTCAGCCCTTATCAACAGACATCACCATTACCATGTTCGCCCTCACAACACCAACAACAGCAACCACATCGGCATCCATCATTTCAGCCCACATTTTATGTACCGCATGATAGGCCCAGGGACTCTGTTGTCTATCCTTTGCTTTCCTCTTCATATGCAACGTATCCTCATGTCGGCTATCCATATCATTATCCTCAGCCATATCATTATCAGCCACCCTATCCATATTTCTATTAAATACTTGGTGTCCAACGGCAACAACAACAACAACAATAAAAACTAAATACGAACAGAGTGCAACACATCATGATTCCAAATTGACTGACAATTTTCAAAATTCGATTTATTTTACAGCTTGGAAAATTTTGGTGAATTACCCTGTACACGAAATGGTGGATCATCAATGATAGACGGATGGACAACGTCGTCGGCCTACATTTACTTTAGCTTGGCTATCATTCTATCGAAATACTTTATGTAGTCATTGTTTCTTTTTTGTAAATACTATTTTGTTTTATTATTATTTTTTATTATTGTTATTTAATATAAATTAGAGGCGAACACGCTTTTAACCAACCACAGATTGCAACGAACAACCTTAGAGATCTGAATCGAACAAACTATCGAATTTAAGGCGAGAACGCTTTGTACCAACGTCTTTGCCGATCGCCGGGGCGTTCGCTTGTAATTTAATTCTATTCCATCCATTTTTACCATATCTAAGAAAACAAACAAATAAAAAATAGAAAAATTATATTTAATAAAATAAACCTGGTATTGAAATAATTCGAAGTTCATCGTGGTTCTGCCCAAAACGTTTTATAGGGTATATTTTGCCTAGAATCTGACTCTAATAAATTTTTTCAATCTTTAAATTCAATACTGTTGTTAAATCTGATACTAATATAAGTTTTGAATTTGTAAATTCTCCTTTAAATGGGTCGGAACTTTTGTGTAGAGGGCATGCGAAATATGGAACAACGTTTCGATAAATCCTTAATCCATCTTAGTCGCACGAAAATGGCTAAATCGATATCGACATTTATTTCGATCAAATAAGTATATATTCTCAATAAAGTCTATAACGAATTTTTTTAGTGGTCCGTCACATATTCTTCTCTAAAAACAGATTTTCTAAGTATAATCTTAGAGTTTTAGATCATTTTAGCTCTACTTTTCATTACGCATCATGGCCACGAATCATTTTTTTTTCTCTCTCATTGATAAATTGATAATAGGGTTACAAAATATTGCCGCAGCTAAGAACAAAAAGTACGAAAAGGTACTTTCAATTTTACTTCAAATGATAATAAATTATAAATATTGAGAAATAGTGACCATTAGTTACTCATGTTATTTACATAAAAAATATATCTCATAATTCAGGCATAAATGTATTTACGAATAATAAAGAATCGACTTTTTGTTGTGGTACGTTCATTTAAATTTGTTACTTTTGTGAAGAAAAAGTACGCCTGTTACAAAATTAAAAATATCGCAACTCAAATTAGTCTCAATTTACCAATGAGAGAGAAAAAACCCCCCATGATTTGTGATCATGATTCGTAATGTAAAGTTGGTTTTAAAAATGTCTAATTTCCTGGTTATGGCGAATAATAGATTTATTATTATCACACGTGAAAAATTAAGGTACGGCTTCTGCCAGCACCCAAAACATCGCCACGAGTTCGAGAATAAATATTTTATAATAGTAGACTTATTAATGGACATAGCTTGATAAAATCGAATCAAATACGTACCGCGGTGTTACGAAAGAATTTCAAGTGTTGACCAAAAAACGCAAGCTATGTTATTGCAGAGATTTTCAACAATGAAAAAATCCATAACAGGAAATAATAAAAATTAAAGGTTTCTTTTTAAAAACAACTGTGTTCAATGCACGTACATAGCGAATTTTGCAAATACAGCTGTACACCCATTAAATCTGAACTATGATGCACGTGCCTTTTTGCAATAATTTTTAATTGTTATAAACAAAAACATATGAGTGGCTTGCAATTATGAATGTGGAATATGTTTTGTTCGAAATTTAATTATAATTTTTGTTTTAGAATTCACATATTATACAAAGTTCATTAATTAAAAAAAAATACAACAACTGTACAACATTGAAATCTAATGTTTGTCGAAGTTCATATTTGACACCATCATTAATAATGCATACGTTTGTTTGATTATGATTTCATCATTGTGCTAATCGGACAATCATCTTCATATTAAATAGCCGGTGACCCAAAGAAAATTCCCCAAAAAATATAGAATTTCCAACCAAGCCAGTACACTGGAAATTAACAAACGATTCGAAATATTTCCATTTAATACAAAAGAGTCCATTTTGATTAATACAAAAACAACAACAACAAGAACTGTAGTTGGCTTCAGCCAGGTCATTGGCATTATAACGAACAATAATTACACACTGGACACATACGCACTTACTTAGCCGCAATTTATTTACTTCGCTGACCCCTTTCCCAAAGCTTAAATGACGCGACCGAAATGGTTCTGGTCAGGTCATAAGAAATGTGAAATGAGAACTTTAACCATTAAAAAAACCATGGCTACCAAAAAAGGAAGTCGCGACCCTTCAAGGAATTACAGGTAAAGCTACACACACATATACATTAATGTGCATGTGTGTGTGTGCGCGAAAGTATTCGCTGTAGTGTGAAATGCTGAATGATGTTTTGTGTTTTCGTACAAACTGAAATGCCGGAAAAGCAAAATACCAAGGAACCTAAAAAATAGGAATAAATTTCATTGAACCAAAAAAAGAAAATTGCAGAACTTCCTCTTCTTCCAAGCACTGGAATTAAAAGTTGTTGTTGCATTATTGGATATTTTGTTATTTTTTTACTTCACTCATATTAGCTAAACATGAAAGCCAAACTTGTGAGGGGGCTTTCTTTTGAAAAAAAATATAGTTATGTTGTTAAAATAGGTCGTTCGCACATACGTACACCACTTGTCACATACAGGCGGTAAATTGTGGCCCAAAGGCGATGATAATTGATGGGCACCAACTAAACGATATTTTATATAGTTCTTCGAAGTTTTGGAAAACTTCAGTAAAGTGCAAAAGTTACTACTTCTGTAGAAGATTTCCGTGAATTTTAACCCACAAAGGTTTCAACGGTTTTATTAACAGACCTTTCGAAGACGTTCACAATGAATAAATTTACGTCGACTTCATCGGAATTTAAAGAAGATACATTCACGAAATCTACGGAAGACGTCCACATATAGCCTTTGAAAGACGTTCACTAAGTTTTTGGAATACATCACCTATGTCCTTAGGACTTCAAGGAAGTTTTTAGGAGAACTCCACAGAACTTAAGAATACTTCCAAAAATACTTTAAAATATTTCTACTGAGTCTTAGGTAGAATTCCGAGAAATGACTTTCATGAAGTCTATATTAGAGTTCCACGATGTTCATACAAGATTTTTACGAATTATGTATAAGACTTCGTAGAGTCTACTGAAGATTTATATAACAAAGGCTTCCATTAAGTTTACTAAAAACAACAAAAAGAGACCTCCAACGAAATCTTTCCTTTAAATATTCAAATCAAACTCTGCAGTCCTACATTGCACACTAAATATTTATGAGTTCGAAGGGTGACAACATAACAACATAATCAAATTTTTAGGGACGAAATTTCTGAATATATTCGAATTGTGAAAAATCCCCATAAGGGTTGTCGTACTATGTGCAGACTCAGTTACAAGATAAAGGTCCCATATAATTATATTTGCATAAATTATATAAAGTCGAACTTCTTAATAAGTTCACATACATATATCAACACAAATTGAACAACTCTTTAATCTAATTTATTTCCTTCTTGATGACCAACTGCCTTCGTAAATCGCCCCGTTTTCGATTTGCCTTTGTTTCAACCCTGTTTGCTGCTGTCACAATTCAAAGGATATTTTGATTTGCCTTTTGTTCCTTAGAATTCCATAGAAGCCGTCAGTGTTCGTGTGAAACGCTGCTAGCGTTTCACATTGATCGGCCGCGGCCTAGTTACATAGAAAAGGAGTTGTGGTGGCCACCACCAACGCAACTTTGGTCGTCAATCGAAATGTTCAACATTGGTCAGTTGGAATTGAAACGCCGCTTTGGATAGTTGCTTGAAACCGACACGAAAATAAAAAAAAAAACAACAACGAAAAAAGTATTAAAAAAATTTTAAAAGGAACAGTGAAAGAAATTATTTCCAAATCCTTGGTATATCAAAAAAAAAATTCGAGTTTAAAATAAAATAGTAAATCAAACAGCTTTAAAATGAAAATCAAAATACGTTCGTGTGGCATGAATATGATAAAATATACTCTATTTATATTTAATGTCGTATTTGCGGTAAGTTGAATTATAAATATTAATTTTCAAATACCCCAGAAGCCAAAATTAAATTGTGAACTTAATTTAATAACTTTACCCGACCACATAAGACGGAATATAGTTTGAAATTTGTCACCGATTCACCAAAAACCCCATAAAATATATTCTTGATCGGAATAAAATGTTATGTCTATTTTAATAAGTCCGTCTGTATAATGGAATCGCGATATAGTTCGCAATATAGAAGAGCTTTGACATTTGCACATACTACTCATTACTACCTTCTGTTTGGTATTGAAAATAGGTTATATTTGTCCACGTTCTGGTATTTTAAAGATATTAAGTTATTTTTAATCGAATTTACTGTACATTTTTAGGTTCTTATTGGTACGTTCATTTTATGGTAGGCCCCATATAACGGAACCTCCAAAATGTGAAATTGTGTGGTTGTAAATTGACAGTAATTTTATATTTTGGATTCCTATTGGTTAGAATATCTCTCTACCAAAAATCAATATAAATATTGACCCTAGTTTCCCCTTGCAACGTTACGTTCTATTATTCGGTATTTTGGGAATTTTGTGATTTTTTTTAAACCAAAGCTTTAATTTGATCCTTGGATTCTCATTTTTCAATTTTCCAATGAGTGTCTGTAGTGTGGTTTTTTTCATGGCAACAATTTTCCATGTCTTAGCATAAAAGTCTTTACTTCGTTTAGTTATAGTAAATATCCGTCTCATGGTGCAGGGTATAAAAACATTAGTTCGCTCGAACATAACTACATTTCACTGGTTTTTATTGTGAAGGATTATTTATACAGACAAATTTAATCTAAATTTAAATTTGTCAAGTTTATTTTGGAAAAGTCTTTTTTATCAGAATATATCAGTATGCGTTCATAATAATAATAATAATAATATGAAGACTCGATTACCGCCATAATATTTTTTTTATTTTAATTGGTATTCTAATCCCCTGATAATTTTTTTTATTTCAATTCTATTTTCGAATTCGACTCCGGGATCTTACGATTAAGACATACGTTGGAATTTTATTTCAATAGAAACATATGTAGTGGAAGTAGCACTAAGAAGCACTAATTAATTATAAAATTCGAAACCCTATAGTTTTTTCGGGATAATAGTGGTTCGAATTATGGAAGTCCGACTGTATATGAAATTTTCGAAAACAACATTGGTGTATTGATAATGTTGTTTTCGAAAATTCTCCATAAGTCTAAGTTTTTTTCGGGATAACAATTGCTCATGTTATGGAGTCCGCCTGTATCACCCGCAAGTAACATTTTACTTTTATTAACTGCATTTTCCAATCCGAACTAAATAAATAGGCAGTTAACCTTCAAACATTTTCCCTCGCTTTTCCTCCTAGACTTATTACGAAACATGGAGATATCTCAATGATGGTAATTAATTTTTTTTTTAATTTTTCGTATTACAATTTAATGAATTAATTCATCATATAGATTTACACACCTATCTCTGTTAATATATGTCGAACATGTAATAAAGTTTCTTAATTAATCAAAAATGGAATTAATAAAATGTTTCTTTTCTGCCAATTCTACCATTACCAGCAACATTTTTAAAATGGAAATTCCAATACAAAAAATAAAAACCGAAAAACAGAATGTCGTAAGCCATACCCAAAATGCCATTGGTGTAAAACAAAAATCGCATGAGGCATGCCTTCTAATCAGATATTTAATGGTGATTGTGTTGTGGTCCAATCCCACACTTTTCTTTTTTGTGTTTCTTCTTTATCCTGGCAATAAATCTAGGTTGTAGCATTCTAATGAATAATAATTATAATATACAAATAAATATAACATCTACAACAACAACAACAGCATATGAAACAGCAAATGTTCAGTAAATACGTGAACACAAAAATTTGCATCGAACTGCTTGGAACTTGGAAATGTGGCAGGACAAACCATGTGGTAAAGGACATTTAATTTCTGGCATTAAAAGCATTTGAATGTCGTGAATCCACGGCGACGAGAATGGCGATGATGAAGTTAATGGTATGAAGGTGAAAATAATTTGTGAATGGCAAAAAAAGGCAACGACGATTTGTTATGGCCGACATAAAATAATGTCAACTTTATTACTCCCCGAGGTCCCAAGCATGTCAAAACGATGGCATCTGATTGATGTAGTGGCTTTGTTAATTCTATTATTTTTATTTTCTGCTAATTACCAATCAAAATTCCGTATTTCTATAATGGCAAAACTGAACGACAAAGTAATATAAACTTAAAAAATATTTGATTGGTGTTATTGAGGGGGGGAAATGAAACAGCCCAACAAAATGTGGGAAAGTCCCAAAGAATTAAAAATTAATCCTTTGAGGACATAGATTACTTATTGGAATATACACAAATAGAATAATCAACGTCTAAGCAATGTTGTCTGTCATATTAATTTCATTCACTTCAAAGAGAAGTTTGTAGTCGGACTACCAGTTTATCACTATATAGTGTATATTTACTCCGACTTTTGTATCCTGTCTTTTGTCGTTTATGTTAAGTTTGATTTCCATCCACACCATTTGTGGAAGTAATAACAGAAAGTGAAGACATATATAGTTCATCTTTGTAATGTATCCTTAGCATACATTTCAAGGTATGCACAATTTGAAGAAAATGGGACCTAACCTAGGTTTGGAAATTTCTTTACGATAAGTTTGGTTAGAATATCCCACTTATTGATCTATTTCTTCAAAGGAATAGTTCATCTTCGAATTTGATCTATGTTTGGGGAATATCAGTCAGAAACACGCAAGCAATATCCATTGCAATATAACTTTATCAGCCACTGCTTTGATTGAGGACTTTGATAGTAAGTCCTCATTAGCCATGCCTCAGACTAAGAAAAATTCCAATCTAAAAAAATATTTGTCCGTTATGTGCACCATCACCGGTAATATGAACATTTTCTAGTAAATAGGGAATCAAAAAATGTGCAACATATAAAGGACCTCTGTTTCGACCGGGTTTAGTTATTTAAAATATTTTAGATATTTAAAAATTTAAAACTATACATACATATATATATATATATAGCTTTGAGGTGGAATTTTGGTGATACAATTTTGATATCATATAAATATTAGTAGTTAGTCCCGCTATCTATCTAATAAACATATTGCCTATCGTACCAACAACAAGTTATGTAAGCAATGTTTATTTTAAAAATGTTGCAATGAAACTTCTGTTCATGTTTACAGTAACAGCAGTCAATTACTATAAATTATTATGCGTAATTGCAAGTATGTATCAGGTAGTTCTGTGATAATAAAACAAATTGTGTTAATGTGATATTAATTGTCCTTGAGTGAGGTGAAACCCACACTGGCCTACAGCAAAACGAAATTACGTTTGAAGACAGTCGATTGTTGTTGTTTTTGTAACGATGGTTTATAGGAGATTGAGAATGTAATCTAACCTAACAAACGGTTTAACAATACATGAGAGAAATCTTGTCTATTTCGTAGAGCTTAGGGGTGAATATATTAATTGGGAATTATATTTCGATTGAATAGGGGTATATTAGTATATGTGTACAGTATAATTACATATATATCATCTACCAATTTGTATCTTTGAAGAGATTACTTTTTACGTATAGTGCGATTTTATATTATATACTTATTTTGGACCTATTTCTTAATTTTCATTCCAATTCAACTACCCATTCCCTTTCAGATATCTGGCCTAGGTATATTAATTGCTGGCGCTGTTGTACTGGCCGACGTCAATCAATTCAGCCACTTTGTTGAAGGCAAAGTTACGGCACCACCAATTGTTTTGATAGTGACTGGTCTCATTATTTTTCTCATTGCCTCGTTGGGTTGTTTTGGAGCAATCAAGGAATCACCAACTCTACTGCTGGCGGTAAATATTATCATTCAAAAAAATAAAATAAAACAATTTTCCAAAAATTTAAAAAAAAAAAAACAAAAACATTTTCCTTATATAGTTTGCGCTGCTCTTGGCTATTATTTTCATAATCGAGTTGGCAGTCGGCATTGCGGCCAGTGTCTTCAAGAGTGATTTGGAAATGGCCATCAAGAATTCACTGCAAGATTCGATCAAACGTTCGAACAAGGACGACATGATGGCCTGGGACAATATCCAACGTAAATTGATGTGCTGTGGCGTTGATTATCCCTCGGATTGGCGTACAATGAGCGCCAATAAAACCCTACCGGCTAGTTGCTGTCATCCCGAATTCATTGAAGAGAGTGTGGGTCATTGCACCGAATCACCGGCACTGGGCAAAGACAAATATTTCCAGGTACGCCAAATAAACCGCAAGCAACAACAGTGATTCCTAATTTATTGCTTTCAATTTGTTATTACATTTCGTTATAATTAATTCTGAGCCCCGTTGTTGTTCTATTTTTAGGAGGGCTGTGTTGGCAAACTGAAGCAGCGCATTGACAAAAATGCGGTTATTTTAATTGGTGTGGGCATTGGCATTGCCTTCATACAAATATTGGGCATTGTATTGGCCTGTTATTTGGCTTCCACAATACGACACGAACGCAACCAATAAATGATTACCGGACCTATTTGGACAACGATTGCTGCGTCATCATCTAAGATTACACTACCGAAATGGAAATACATTTGATTCATTCTTCAAGACCCCCAACTCTTCATCAAACTCTTCTAATGACCCATCGTACATCGGACGATGGTGGATGGTTTTTCCTTTTTTAGTTGTTTTGACATCATTCGATAACCAAAAAACACACAAGTGGACATTCAAACACAACTTTATTGTTAATATCCGTGCTCCCATTTTAACAATGCTTTATTTGTACACACATACATACAGACCTGTACCTTACTATACATTAAAAATGTATGATTATCATAACAATGACATGGAAAGGAAAACTAATTTCCATTTAGTGGATATCTAAACGTGAGTATGTGTGTGTTTTAGGTTGGTGTACAAATATAGGACTGACGATTGAGGTGAAAGGATTTGTTATTTTAAAATATTTATCTATGCACGCACGTCGGCCTCCCCATCCTCTCTAACCCCACTATTCCTCAGACGTTTCAAACGCAACAATTACTACAACAAAAACAAACGTACATTTAAACGTTAAATAATTATTATTAGTTAATATAGAATTTATTCGAAAAAGAAAATGTTTGCCCTAAATTTAATAACATACTTTTGGTTTATCCAAGAAATTGTTCCTTATGTTCTATTTATACCTCTATCATGAACTAATTTATCTAATTTTATTATTAGTGGTTTCTATTTGCAACATAAATACAGAATAATATATATTAATAAAATGTTTAAGGGAACCCCACCCATTCTCGATTTTAATTTTTCAAGATTTTCAATGGGCTGGTAAATCAATACCAATGCTTGTTAAGGTTTGTAACTTTGCACATAATAATTGAAGATTTAAAAGAGAAGAAAAATAATTTACAAAAAATTTTTGTTATTGTTTTGTTATTGTTTTTTGTAATTAAAGAAAAGTCCTTATTTTTGATGGCGGGCATGATAACTCCTCACTGGATCATCGGAATCCGAAAATTCCAACGGTGTTAGAAAGAGTACATGTCTGGCTCTCGTATGAACTAGGATTATTGACTTCGCTCTAAAATTAACAAACTGGTGGACCTTTGAAAAAATATTTTTGGAAAATCGCCGATTTTTTACCAAAAACCAAGTTAAAAAATAAAGAAGATCTTCACCGATTGGCTTTATCCTAGTTCATACGAGAGCTATATACTCCCAGAGAAACGTTGCAAAATTTGGAACCGATTGGATTATTAGTTTTTGAGTTATCGTGCCCGTCATTCGCAAAAAAATGTTTTGAGAAAAACGCGTTTAAAGTTTGAGAAGCCCTTCAGCCGTCACTTGATGAGATTTTCACTTGAAATTTTGTAGAGACATTCTTTAATCAGTGTAGATTCGAATTATATCAACAAAAATTTTGACCCCGAGAATGGGGGGTCCCCTTAATAAAAAAATATTCCGTATATATATTTTTTTATTTTGGCTGTAACTTTTACAAAGTTTTTTTTTTTGGGAATTTCTAATTTTTTTAATGGCTGGGATTTAATTATTAAACAGGCTAATCACAACTTTCAATCTTTAAGATAAGCAAGAGGAAAAGTCCCCTAAGGGAGGACCAATATTTATTAACGGTGGTAGAAAGTACCGAAAATTGGGATGCATTTTTGAATATGAAGGCAGTATGAAATGAATAAATCGTCAAGGCTTGTATGATATAAGCTGACAATTTCACGTTCAGAATACGCCCACACTATGGTGAAATACGGTTTTATGGAAAAACCTTAACACGCGAAACAAATGAGATAAATATTTTAATATAAAAAGTGGTTATATAGGATAAAAATTCTATCAATAAACCCATCATATATTCGGGTTAACTCGTAAATTGGACAAATATTGAAAATTTTTGGTGGGAAGAAAGATTTGGTACACAATTTCAATCCAACATTCCAAATTACAGCCAATTCGATCAAATGACTTGTACAAAATCCTCAAGATCTGGATATTTGGGGGTGCCATTATATTGGGCTAGCCCAATATGTAGACCGATATTATTAATTTTTGATAGAAAGATTTTGTGCCAAATGATAATCTAAAGTAGCAAAAAATTACAACCATTTCGGTTTAAAACTTGTTGAAACTCTCTAAAATACAATAATATTTGGGGTACATTTGCCAGGAGCTACCAAAATTCCCATAATTAAATATTGAAAATTGGCAATATCGTTATATGGGGGCTATGCCTAAACGAGTCCTATATTCTTAATTTTTGGTAGGCGGATTTGGTTTCTATTATGAACACAAAATACCAAATTAGAGCTAAATCCGTTAAACAACTTGCTTAAAATCAAATCAAAATGCCGACAACTTGGAGGGACCGTTATATATTCCAAAACATGGACCGATATAGTCCATTATCAAATTTACGCCGACTGCGGACAAAAGACAACTCCATGCATATTACTTTTACTAGAAATATTATGCAGAGAATAAAATTAAAAATATAAATATAATTTTCTATATCTACGTATTGAGGGTTTGCGCCTTTGATATAAAACAACATCACGTGATATAGTTTTTAAATTGCTACACCAAATATCAGTTAACCATTAACCGTTTTGTTCTTATTTTTTTTAAAGTATGGCCACACCCAAATTAAAATTTTTGACAGGTCATTCTCGTTCAATCGCTCTCTCGCTCCCGTAATATGTTCTGCAGCAATCTGGTATCATTATCCGGTTAATTTTTTTCACTAGCTAAGCTGGCAGCAGAGATGAGGGTCGTCCGGAGTATTTTTGTGGTTTTATTAATTAAAATTTTCATCTTGGTTGACTTTGTTCAACCAAATGAAGTAATCGGATGTGGTGGCTTCATCAAAAGTCAAAAGGACATCGACTTCTCCAAAGTCGAAATCAAATTGTAAGTATTACAAAATGCCAAGATGTGGATTAGCCAACGTCAGTAGTAGTAGCCAGTCATGATAAAAAAGAAAATGAGGGCAACTGCAATACCTTACATTGAATTGATAAGATTCGGATATAGTAATTAAGCAGCAATCGGCGAGGTGTGACACTAACCTAAATTTCACATTCAATTTCTCTTCAGATTAACAAAGACCGGAGCTTTAAAAGATAAAACCGATTGTTCACCCTCGAATGGTTATTACTTTCTGCCCATATACGACAAGGGAGAATATCTGCTGAAAATTTCACCGCCACCCGGTTGGAGTTTTGAGCCGGAAGAAGTTAAACTGAATTTTGATGGTCAGACTGATGTTTGCAGTTTGGGCAAAGATGTTAATTTTGTTTTCAAGGGCTTTGGCATAACTGGCAAAGTAGCTCTGGGTTCGGCAGGCGCCAAAGATGTCAAGGTGGAATTGAAATCGGAAGATGGAAAAGATACACGTCACACAGTTACTGATGCCAAGGGTGTCTTCTCATTCACCCCGATAATTCCGGGCAAATATGTCGTGAAAGCTTCCCATCCCAAATGGTACTTCGAGAAGAGTGAACACACGGTTGTTGTCGAAGGTGGTAACACAGTGTTGGCAGAGAACTCCTTGGTTGTTTCGGGTTTTGACGTTACCGGTCGCTTTAATACATTTGGGGAGCTGGGATCTGGTGTTGGTATAGCGCTATTCCAAAGCAAACAGGCGAGTAATGTTAAAGTCATGTGCCAGATCTCATATATTAACAATTAACTTCTTATAAAGGCTACTGCGGCACCAAGATGTAATAAGGAAGGCATGCCCACAACTGCCACTTCTCACACTAATTCTGAGTATGCTGCCGCAGTTTCCTGTTACGCTCAGGTCGATACAGCTGGCAATTATATATTTAAAGATGTTCGCCCTGGTAAATACCTTCTCTTGCCGGTTGTCAATCAAAATCTGAAGTTGAATATTAAACCCCAGTTTATTGAAATCGAAGTTAGCAAAGATACTTTGGAGGTGAAACAGGAATTCAAGGTAAGGAAAACACAATGCGATAGGGTAATTGACGATGTATGCTCAGATAACCCTGTTCATCTGTACAAAATATTAGATCAGCGGATTTAGTGTAACTGGCGCTGTTCTCAACTCCGTCGGCGGTTCTCCCGTAAGTGGTGCTACAATTAAACTGAATGACCAGAAGGTAACAACAACCAAATCGGACGGTCAATTTACATTGGAAAATGTGGCTTCTTCTGGCTTGTATTCCATCCAAGTAGAAGCTGAAAAACTTCAATTTGACGAACAACGCATACAATTACAATTGACATCGGCTATATTACCTCCAATTGTGCCATCGGCATATGAAGTGTGCGGCAAGGTGGTTTCGAAGAAATCCTTCCGAGTTGTCATAACAAATCAAGGCTCTACAACAGTCCATACATCAGTCGATACTAATGCCGAATCTGGCGCATGGTGTACCTTCTTGTCGAATGGTAAATTTACCATTGAAGTTCAAACTTCCGAGGCAGACCGCTCGAATGGGGTACAATTCTTCCCGGTTCAACAAACCATTGAAGTTAAGAGTGAACCCATTAAGGATATCACATTCTCACAACTTAGAGCCACATTACAAGGAACACTGAAATGCCTGTCTGATGCTCCCGCAGAAGGTTGCCTTTCAACTGCAGTAACCCTACATTCCCTCGATGCCAATGGACAAACTACCGGACAAAAACAGACAACTAAAGCTCAGGGTAATTTTCTTGGGAACTAATGTACACCAGATACAATATTAATTATGTTTTATTTTACTCTTAGGTGGCAAATATTCATTCACCAATGTCTTGCCTGGACCATATGAAATTACTGTACCCCAATCGAACTTGTGTTTCGATTCTACACGTGTTTTGATTAATGTCGCATCTGCCCAAGAAACAGCCCCTGAATTTGTACAACGTGGCTATGAAGTTAATATTATTTCCAGTCACCGTGCCATTGTAAGTTTGTCACTCGGGTCACCTCATGGTCAAAAATAACATACAATTTTTTCCAGATGAAATACTCCCACGAATCATCCACAACTGCAGATAATCTGAAATTACTTTCTGGCGTCAATACATTCTGCGTCCCTAAGTTTGGTTCATATTCCATTAAATTGGAAGGTTGCCATTTGTATGATGAGGAGACACTACCTACCACGTTCAACACAGCCAACACAAATCCCACAATTATCAATGCCATGGCTCATAAAGTAGGTGTAAGGGTCCTATCGCCCGAATCCACAGCAGATAATTTGAAATTGTCTGTGGAATCGGCTACTCTAGGCAAACTGGTGGTTACGCCTGTTGCTGAGGCTCACAAAGTCGATGGCAAATATGCCTTCCGTTACGATACACATCTCAAGCCCGAAGAAGTGTTACGTATCACACCCCAAAGTGGCATTTTGTTGTTTGAACCCCAGACCAAAGAAATCGTAGGTACAAACGATTGCGTGGATGTTGCCTTCAACTTCATTGCCTCCAAGGGTCTAATACTAAACGGCAAAGTAATTCCCGGCATTAGAGATGCCAAAATAACATTGAGTTTTCCCAACAACCCTGAATTGGAGCCACAAACCGCTTTGACTTCCGTGAGTGGTGACTTCAAATTCGGTCCTATCAGTGATAGCATCAAATACGAATTGAAGGGCGAAAAGGAGTCATATGTATTCTCCGACTATAATCCTGCTACAAGCTCTTTCAGTGTTCACAAACTGTGTGAAATTATTGTGAAAGTGAAGGATGGATCAGGTAAGGGATTGAGCGGAGTTTTGATTTCACTCAGTGGTTCTGAGAGTTATCGCAAAAATTTGATAACCGCTGATGATGGCTCTATAAACTTCCATTCCTTGTCCCCATCCCAATACTTTTTGCGGCCAATGTTAAAGGAATTCAAATTTGAACCAAATTCCAAAATGATCGATCTGAAGGATGGTGAAACTGTGGAAGTGGAAATGATGTAAGTTTGCCTTGATCGGTTTCATTTTGTCAAGTGTCCATTTTGTAATTGTTATATTCCCGCAGTGGTAAACGCGTGGCTTACTCCTTGTTTGGGGCTGTAACATCTCTCAACGGCGAACCATTTGCAGAGGTAAACATCGAAGCCACCGCCGATGAGACATGTTCACATCACCAAGAAGAAGCCACCACCGAAAAGAATGGCAAATATCGCATTCGTGGCCTCAATCCCGGCTGTGAATACACAATTCGTCTGAAAGATGCTGGTACCCCTGGTAACAATGTGGATCGTTCTATTCCCCAAACTCGTACTGTGAAGATTGGCACTGACGACGTCGAAGGTGTTAATTTCTTGGCTATGTCTCCGATTACCTTCGTTGATGTTACGGCGCGTGTAACAGCATCGTCAAATGATTTCTATAAGACACTTCGTGTTGTTATGTATCGCAAGGGAGCTTATGACTCGCCTGTGTATTCGCAACGTTTAGACACACCGTTGAATCCAAAATCACGTTATAACCCCGGTATAATGGTATTCTTCCCCCGCATACCACTCGATGGCAAAACATACGTTGTGGAATTACGTTCCACATTGTCCGACAAAACCTACACCTATTCTACGCGAAGTGAACAATTTGTGGCCGACACCCCATCCGTGTACATTGAGTTGGACTTCAAACCCGAAGTGAAATCTTTTGAATCAGACCTGAATCAAAATTCCATTTCGGCGTTAGTTCTGGTGGCCCTTGTGGCAATTGCATTCTTCAAACAAGACATTGCAATGGCCTTCTTAAACTTCGTGTGGTCCAAAATCAATGGCATTGCTCAGGATTTGGCGCAAAAGCAAAAATCGAATGCCAAAAACAACCAACGAAAAGTAGAGCCCATCAACCAGAAGGAAATCGAACAGATGGCCGAACAAATCAACAATATCAAAAAGAAAAAGACCAAGAAAATTTAGACAACAAATCCGAGTGTTCTCTTGATATTCGAGAGATAGCGAAGAACATTTATGTGAAACTAGACGATTTTAGTTTTATTTATAAAAATTCGAGTCAATGGGAATGTTTTTTTTTCTATATTTAAAGCACTGCAATGGTAAATTGTGAAAAAACTAAGAATATGACAGAATAGGTGAGATGCTGTATTAATAAATAAATAATATAAATAAATAAATCTATAAACTAGTACCTATATCTTTTAAATGGTTTCATTTTGTTTTACTAGAGGTTTGTTGTCTCTTTGTAAATATCATCGCCTTCGGCCTTCTATAAACTAGTAAGTATATCTTTTAAATGGTTTCATTTTGTTTTATTAGAGGTTTGTTGTCCCTTTGTAAATGTCGTCGCCTTCGGGTCCTGTTCAGAGCCTTTTCAATTTGTGCAATTGGCACTGCTTCCTCCAAAGATCTGTAATGGCTATTTGAAAAATATATTTTTGTCTATTAAAGAAGGATAGATACAAAAGAGGTTTCATTCATACCCATAACTGTAGTAATTGTAACCCGAGTTGGAACATTTATTATAATCTTTGAAAAATCGTCCGACATATTGAATAACATAAATCCATGTTATATATGCGAAAAATGCAATGACCACCAATTTCACTTTGACCCAATAAATCCATGATAATGCATACCAGCCATGTAGCGGATCTGTAAATATTATTTATGTATGTATGTATATTTGATGTGTTATTTAATAATTGTAAATGTCGTAATGTTGGGAGCCTCTAACACAGGAAAGCAGTCCATGATTTACCATAACCTTGGCGATGAAAGTGAAAGTGTTAGCAAATCGTGACGATCTTATTGAAGTTTTATATGCAAAACTTAATAAGCTTAATGAAATATATTAAGTAACAGACATGAGGAATGTGACCAGCAAACTGAGAATACATTCAAAATAATAATATTTTTATTTACATGCTTTTTTAAAGTTCGTTTGCAATTTAAGAAGTAAGAAAGTAATACATTTACATAACACGAATCATACATAGCAATCAAGTAAGTAAGTGATTCAAAATATACACGATTTTAAAAGATGTGTCTGAGTTACATCAACATTTTCCGTTTGCGTTTTTTTAGTTGTATTTGTCACTTATACTTACGTATAAAATAATGTCCTTTCTTCCTTCGTCCACTTTCTATATCCAATAAATTCGTTGATGATGTGTTAACATCGTTTTCCGAATTTTCATTCGCAATGCAATACGAAGTGAACGTAATGCACAAGAGTAGTATTAATATGATCCGTTGCATCCTATTTATATTTAAGATATTTGGTTCAATTGGCCTTTTTCTTGCGCTTTTGCCACAACGCAAATAATTGAACTTCTTTGTCAAGGTTTTGAATTCAATTAGATGTTACACTTATTGCAGCATAAGCATTTTATAACTTCGCCAGCCGGCCAGGCATGGTTTTTATGTATTTTTGTAATAGACAAGTGTTAATTTAATTATCATATGCAGAGACTTGTGTATGTAACAATTGGAAAGTAAAAACAGCAACTTAATCGATGAAGAAGGGTGTTGTACGACATGGCTTTCTTTTAAAACTCATATTTAAGGGAAGATTGAAAGGTGCATACGATTTATTTTGCCGATGAGTAGAATAACAAAAATAAAAATACAAAACTATCGAATGCTATCAAAGTGTCTAACATTATGCCCCAACACTACAAACCTTGAAGAAATGGCTCTTGTACATGAAAACATCGAAAAAAAATACAAAAAGTTACCACGGTTCGAAGTAAACATGAAATGAAATTGACAAATTTAATTTGTGCTTACGAATATAATTCTCATTACAGAAATATATTTGAAAATATACTACAAATTTTCATTTTCCAGATGGATTTCCTAAAGAAAACTAAATTGAAACTAATCCTTCCAGAAACCAATAAAAACAACATCATAATCATTGATTTTTTTTCATAAAAATATATTTATTAACTATAATATTTATTGCTTAATCAAATCGACTCAAATCGTCCACATTATTGGCTGCATTTGATGTTGTCTTGTCCACTTTGCCCGATGGCACAATTTCAAAATCATCGTCCCCAGCACCAGCAGCAACTCCATTATCAACGAAATCTACCACAGCTGATTCTTTTTTATTTGAGAATGGATTATTTTTCACTTTCTTTTCCTTGGGCTTCTTTACCTCCACATTTACTGTTTCCTCTTGAACATCTGCTTCATTGTTTGCCAATATTTGTTGTTCATTTTCCTCCAAACGTTTGCGTTTCCGCTCCATTTTTGTTTGCGATGGTTTAGGTATAATACCACCAGTGTCTTCACTACGTGGTAGGGCTTCTTTTATCAATTCTTCTTCGATATCTTCTACTTTGGGATTAAATTTCTCTTGTAGTGATGCCATTGCTATCAGTATGGCTTCCTCAGTACGAATTGTACGTGAACCTTGTTTGGGTAGAACATTAATGTAATGGTCGAACAATAATTTTGGATCGTCTATTTGTAGTTTATCCTCGTTGGCGACGGCTGCCTCAAGACCCTGAAGACCACCGAAAACCAACAACAAATGGTTATAGTTAAATGACTTGGATGGAACCTCGTGCACACTGGTACCACGATCTGAGGTACCCACTGTCAAATCATAACCACCCGGATAAGGGGATTTAGTAAATATCTCCGATATGGAATGCGCTATACGAACTGTGTAGCCCCAGTAAACACCAGTTTCACGCCTCGGCTCATCCGGACTAACGATTGTGCCGCGTTGTTTGCGCACATTTTCTAAAAATATTACAAAATATTTAATTTGCATAAACATGCATTTCATTTCCAAAACCTACCTTGAGGTTTTTCCAACTTCACGGTAACTCGTAGACCCGCCGTTAAGGCCTTGTTGACAAGAACGTCATTCAGCAATCCCACATTAACATAACAATGACCTTCCTTGGCCAACTTTTCCGTGACTATACCTTCGCGGTAACGGAAAATGTTCTGTTGTCGCAAATGATGAGGGGCGTCAAGGGGATTTAGCAGGCCAGAATACTTTAAATCTTTATGCAGAGGGAAGAAGAATTTTCGCAAGTATTGTGGGCATTCCAAATATTGTAGAATCCTTGCCAACTGTAGGACACTACTGCGTACAGTGCGTGAGGTGCCTTCAGCATCATCGCTGTCGTCGGCCTCGAAGTTTCGCTTTGTCTCCCTTGCCGTTGCCAGGCCGATATCATCGAATACAATAACTTCACTGACACGAAATATACAAGCCGCCCTAGCAATTTGCCCAGCCACGTAACTTCTTAGTTCCGCCGATTGAGCATTTTCCAATATAGAACCGGGCACTGCAATGGATACTGTGGATGGGTTTTCTTTATGTTCCTTCTGTTCGGACTTCTGGGCACTGTCAATGTTTTTGGAAGTTTCCTCTGACTTTTGGGTTTTCGCCAGTTGTTTTAGTAGCTTCTCCTGTTTACGTTGCTTCTTTAGTGCTTTTCTTTCTTCATTTATTTTCTTCCACGATTTGTGGACAACTTCTTCCTTTGCTCCGGCCACTGGAGTCATGGTTGCTTTAATGTATTTGTTTCACTTTTTCCTAATAAATGCAATTGTTTACAATTAAACCCCACGTGCGCTTTGCTGTAGAGAGGAATGATGTTGCCACATCTCTACATTTTGAGTTTCTTATCATATGGAACATGCAGATGGAAACTAGATGGACGCACAGTTACAGCTGAGGATATATCACGTTTGTCATGTCCCAATAGTTAAACGATTACAACGTGGATCGAAGTCGATCTTAATACCAAAAAAATACATAATAACTGAAGTTATATTGCTCACCATGTTGATAGTCACAGTCCCACCTTTGTTCCACATATGTTGTAGGCAGAAAAAAACAAACTACGGCAACACCCCTTCAGAGATAAATCATCTGTGGAAGTTTAACCGAACAGCTGATAGATATTAAAAAAAAAAACAAATACATATTATAGATTTTTTGTTCAAACTTGTGGAATTGCATTCGTCTATTAAAGTATAATCCAAACCTAGTTTGTCCATACACTGCAAAATGAGCCGTGAAGTCTTGGCACCACCCCTGTTGCGTATGGGCAACAATCGCTGCTATAGAGTCAATCTTATTCACGAAGATTTTCAAAATAGTCAACAAGGAGCCATAGCAGCACAGCAAAAGGGAGAAACCGCCAAGCCATACATGGAAGATGGTATTCACTCAATCACATACACTTTGCGAGAATATATTAAAAACAGTTCCATTTGATACACAGATCTCTATGGGGATGACTACAATGACGATTTAGATGGTCAAGATGCTTGTGACATTGAAGAAACTGCGAACGGTCAGTTCAAATTGGCTATGCATGTCGCCAGGCAAGTGTCCACTTTAAGAACACACAAAATCTTTGTGTAATTCTCTATGTTATTATTACAGTTCATTTTATGGTGGTATTATTGGGTTCAAGGGATCCACTAAACGTCGCATTGAAGGTGAAACCCAATGCTCCATAAACATTCCACAGAAAACACCAACAAATAAGACTTCCGAAGCCAAAGTCATTATTACGGGCCGGACACGTAATAGCGTAGCTACGACCAGACGTAAAATCCAACTGCTAGTTGCATCTTTGCGCAAGCGCATGAAAGCCACACACTTTTATGGCGTTACCATGACTTCCGATGAGATACGAGAAAACTTCAAGAAACTCAAAGCTCAAATTCTTGAAGCCGAAATTCCTGGTGTAGTTGAGGAATTGTTCCAGTTTGATCATAAATTGCATTTGACTTTGGGCATTTGCGTATTACTCGATGACACCGAAAGGAAAAAGGCCGTTGAAATTTTAGAAAGTTGCCGGTAAGTAGCTGACTTGTCAATGTGAAAATAGCCGCGTACTTATTCATATTGGTTTCCCCAGTGAATTCCTTACCGGACTCCAGACTCCATTTAACGTAAAATGTAGTGGCCTGGAAATAATGAATGATGATCCCAGCTCAGTACGTGTTTTATATGCCAATGTGGAGTCAGCAGAGTTACAAACGTTTGCAAATCTCTGTTTTGAACGTTTCAATAAATCGCGGTTGGGTATTGACGATTTCGATCGAGGATGTGTAAAGTTGCACATGACCATAATGAATAACCGCTATCTCGAAAGGGAAGTACCGAATACTACTACGAAAACATTCGATGCTAGGGAAATACTAAAACGTTGGGGTAATTATCATTTTGGCTCCGCTCAGTGTAATGAGGTGCTTTTGTGTGCTCTTGGATCCACAGCAGAACACAGAGATTTCTATAAAATAACAGGGTCTTTAAAATTTACTTAATAAACTTTTTCCGCTTGTTTGTAATTTACTAAAAAGTATATATTTTTAGATGCAAAAAAGAATCAATAAAAAGATAAAAAAAATCATATTAAAAAAAGATGGGCACATCACGATTTTCTAATTAAATTTGGTAAAAAAAAAAACCAAAAATGGTTCAATTAATTAAAAAATTTTGTAAGTAACCCTACTGATTTTCCACAATGATCAAAGGATCGTAAAGCGCTCTGTGGTGGAAACGAGCTATGTAAGTTGCTAATGCTGATGACTTGGGCAAAAAATATATTTTCTGAAGGAATTTTTTGAGGTTTTTTTTGAGGTTTTAATAATTTTTTTTTTAAACATATTGGTGAAAAGGATTTTGCAGAAAATGCGTTTTATGTTTTTAATTGACTCACACCTTACAAGAAGCAGAGGAATTTCTACAGCTTCTGAATGAGTGTGTGAATTTTTTTTCATCTGAATTTTTTACACAACACGAAGTCTGGTATAGCGAAAAATTCTGCATCATTACTCAAAAATGATGTTTGATTAATGTCTGTCTCAGCAAATAAGCGGTATATCTTTACATGTTTTCAGACAAACGTCCTTATATAAATCATTATTGATGTAATGAAAATGTGATTGTCAATACCATTCTTACTCATGATACCTTATCAAATGGATCAAACCACGCATTTCATACATTCTTGGGTTCAGGAGTTAATCTCAAAGACATGGAAGAAGTTTGTAATATGATTTTATGTACACCCTCCAGTTACGATACCACCCCTACTAATAACAACGTTACACTAACCACCAAACCTACAACAGTTATCGATAACAATGGCCTACAGATATCGCGATTTGTCATCCCTAATTTGTTGTTTTAGAAACCTTTGTGATTTTCACCTGAATGAATTCTTTGTAAACATTGTAATCTGTTTGTGGTAAATGGCTAGTCCTATAGAATGATTCGCTACAAAAGTACCACCTGCCAGTTATGGGTATTTGTATTCAGTACATTTGTTATACTGATCCAGGGATACCGACACAGTAAGTATGCAATTTCATTGCAAGAATATGAATACGTTTGACGATGATGATGATGATGGTGGTGGTTTGTTGTCACCGAACTTAGATGTTGTCACATCATATTGAGCAATTTGGGAGTTGTCTTTAATGTCCGACACTTTCTTCTCTCAGTACGCCTGCAAGATAATTTATGTGCAAATCGTTTGCTGGTTCAGCTAAAGCACAAATTCAAGGAACCTACTATGACTTTAATGGAGGAACGGGATTCGGCTGCTATCATATCTCAGCGTTGGAATACCACACTCCCTGGTTTCTACTCTTCAAACAAAATTAACTACGATTGCGAATTCAAAGTATTGAGCAGCGAGGACGCCTATCGCAATCCCCGTGGGATTTACACTGTGATAACACACCTGAAGTTTCGTCACCATCCGGAGACAAACAACTGTTTAGATTACATACAATTTCGCAGTGGCAATCGTTCGCCCAGTGACCCCATTTGCAATATTGATGGGACTTCGAATCGGGTAATAGATCAAAGAGATCGCGATGTCAGCATTTTCATACACATCGACAAGAGTCGTATGATTACGGAGCCATTGGAATTAAGCATGGTGCTGACTGCACATTCGGAATGTAAGAATTCTGGAGATTTTTTATGTGAACCCACAGATAAATATTCGTGCATATCACACCACTTTGTTCGTGACAATATAACAAATTGCAAATGTGATGAGGTATCCTGCTCCCCAGAATTAGTTCCGGTGCGAGAAGTGGATACAACAAGTGTGGCTTTGTCGGCAATAACATCGTTAATCTTTACCATGGTGGGTGTGGGTTGTTGTGTGTGGATTTGTTGGAAATATTGGAATTGCATAACGGTGCATCAACGTTCGCACGACTCTACTGGTTCGGTATCCGGACGACGTCATTCACAGCGTCAGCATTGGTCCCAGCATCAACAACGCAATGAAATTAGGGTAAGTGTCGATAGAAAGAGACCGGAGACTGGATGTATAGCACACTATTTTTTACATTTTGTAGGATGTTCCTGTAATTGAATTGCCAACAGCGCCCACATATGACATTGAAACCACAATTGCAAATCACAACCGAGATATACCGGGACAAAATCATCATGATCCATCAAAGGACTTACCGCCAAGTTATGAAGAATTGTTTCCCGATAGATAAGCAACACAAGTATACGTTTAACCCCCCAGACAAATGTCTAATTCGCCGTATATTTAAACCATATTATAAAACTGATGAAAGACATACATCTTCCATAAGGTGCCAGGTGCAGTTAATGCTATATTACAACTGCAAATTATAAACAAATTGTCAAACGTTTATTTTTTATAACTTCATTGTCATTACAGTTGTGTTGTATATATATTTTAAAACCACTCATATGCACAAGCATCTCATTACAAAAAACGAATTCTAAATCATTTACGTATACATCTATAAAAATGTTCGATTTTTTACAAAAAAAAAAAAAAAAAAATATTTTTTTCCAAATTAGTTTAGATCAAATTTATAGTTAAAATATGAAAACTTGGCGTCGAATAATACCACTTCCATAACATGACAACCATTAGTGAGTTGATCGTTGATATTATACTAACCATGTTGGCTTTTATTAATACGGCTTCAACATAACTAACTTTAACCTACTTTGGTAAAACATATTATAGAATATATTATTTAATATAAGCACATTTATTTAGTATACTATCCTCTATTGAATTTATATTTGGTCCAAGTATTTTGATTTTACACCAGTTCCCCAATACAACATCATATAAAGGTACCTGTTAAGTTAAAATCCAATATTTAACAAATAAATTTTATAGAATGCGAAATTTGTCTCAAAAAATAAAAATATGGCATTTATTATAAAGTATTAAATTTTATATTTGTGAAATTTGTATGAATTGTTGCCAAATTGTATTGTATATATTTATGTATTTATTATAATAAAAAAAGTTTGTAGTTATAAATAAATAACGAAAAAATCTAAATAAAAATGCTATCCATGATTGGCCCATACACAGAGTTCGATAAACGTACGTAGGGTTAATTTTCTAGAGAAGTCAAATGCAATGTTGGTGGCAACATCAATACATCCCCTGAGCTAAACCTTATCGATTATGCCAATATAGAGTAGGGAAGTTTCTAAAATGTTTTTTTTATTATTTTTATTCAAAATACTTTATCATTGCAGACATAAATTATGGGTGGATAATATCACTTGATTTTTAAATATCTTATCTATGAAATCTGAATTTTATTGAGAAATGTAACTAGTACATCTTGTGATGTTTTAGGAGATGGCTATAGATGTTAATATACAAAAATACATGGAAGTGACATTTTTTTCACAAATGCCTTATAACTAACATCGATGTAAAGGCACCAACCAAACCCGCAATGGAGATGTTTCACTGGTCAACTGTATACGTCAAGCTTTTGAATATAAAATATTTCCCCAAACCTTTTTTGTGCAACACATCTAGAACTGAGGTTATGGACCTACGAACATTTTTGAAATAACGAGGGGACTGGAAATAACACAAATCCTTAAGCTTCAAAAAAGGAAATTAGCAGACTGACGACATGTATTCTTATATGAAATCTCAGCCTTCAGGCACATTTACACAAGATTGAGAGCGTAGAAAGCACTGGCTGCAGAGTGTGTGAGGAAGAGTAGAAACTTGAATTATGTCTAGTTATGAAAACCACTAAAAACATATCAGACTAATAAATGAAGTTGGCTTGATGAGAATTTACATAGATATAGATCTCAAAATTATTGATGATTACTCAAGGTAGTTTTTTTAACTAGTGATAGGGTTACTACTGGTACATGCCACTGCCATGCAACTGGTATAGTTGATGTGGCCCCCTGGGGAGCTTTAGGGTGGGATAGCACTTCGGTGCTGGTGTGCTGGAGGGCGCATTTTCGCCTGTGGCTCAGCCAATGTGAGGTAGGCTAATAGACAGGTACTCGCATTAAATCTCTCAAGATACTGGTACATGCCAGCGTTGGAATTTACCCTGTATCCTTCTGAATAGAAAATACATTTGGGAATGTCATATTAAAAAAAGTAGATTGTAATGCATGCCCTGTAGGACTGTTGACTTCACCCAAGGATACGCCAGACCTACAATTTGTTTATAGCTTGACAATATATCACAAACTTGACAGAAATGTTGATTCGAAGATTTCCAATTGGTCACGGTGCACAGTCCATTCTGCAGTCTATAATTCTAATTAGAACAGCGAAATCTATACTGAACCGCTTCCTTGGCCAAACCCTTGTGGTCATAACACATTTCTTTGCAAATCGTAATGGCTTAAACAACAGAAAGCTTGAACTCTTAAAAAAGCGCGCGAAAACGCAATTGTTTCAATATGGCGATACTTCTTCTTATTAGAGACAATTGTTCTGCCCCAACACTTTGTGAGATCAAATCCTGGATTTTGGGTGAAATACAAATGATTTTGATTCACAGTCACAAAAAACCATAAGGATTTGTATTTAATTTAATAAGAACAAAGTTTCATTTGTATGTCAAAAAAAAAAAAAACTTGTAAAACTCACCGACGCTGGTTTGGGTTGTTTGGTTTGCTAAAGTGTTTTCTATTAGTTCACTCCAATCACAAAACACGCCCGACGCGAAATTTAACACGACATAGAAATTCATAAAATATTTATTAAATTTAATAGGATTTGGATTAAATAGATTTCGTTGATGCACTCGCGAACTTTCTTCAAGACACCGGCACTGGAATGTCCATGGACTTGCAAAAATGTATTCTAGATTTTCTTTATAATCGCAAAACACTCCCGACGCTAAACTTTCACACACAAGGCCCGATACTTTTCTTTTTTCAAAACGGCATAGAAATTTACAAATAATTGATTAAAGTTAAAGTAATTTGGAAAACAAAATAGATTGACTTTTCTTCGATGCGCTTACGATCTTTCACAGCCGAATTTTCATTTCAAACTAACACAGATGTATTTCGCAATCCATTACGTCCCTCAGTTAGTGTGAATGTATTGTAATTCACTTGAGATACATTACCAATAATTGTGATTTTTTGCGACACGTAAAGATAACGTTACATACGATAACGGTCAATTACTGTTGTTACATGTGATTCCGTTTTGTTCAGATACATACAAATGTAAGTAAAAGTTTCAAAATAAATTAGTTTTAATTTCAAATCAATGTATGCAAAATATTTTCTATAAATGACACACAATTGAAACTAGAAACTTGTGGAAACACAGAATCCGTTACACTACTTTCGTAACGCATTGTACGTGCACTGATTGCTGCTCAATTATTGGAAACGTAGTCCAAGTTAAGTTCAATACTTATCCACTAACGTCAGTGAAACTGAAGCGGTAGCGGTGTTTTGAACATGAACGTTCAGAACTGGATTAATAAAGTAACAATTTGTTTGATTTCTCAATTTTTCTTGCAAATAAACCAAAATTTAGCGAATTTTTGTGTCGTTTCGAAAAATAAAAGTTTCCGTCCGAGTGTATTGAAAGTCCCGCCGTGAGAATTTTGTTATTGGAGTGAAATATCAAGAGAACTTTACTAAATCTAGAAGCACCCCAAATTTCAGGAGGTATGTTTTTATTTTCATGCATTCATGTAATGGCAATAATTGGTCCATATGTATGTTGTAGAAGACAAAGAACAGTAAGCGAATATTCTTCCTTTAAATTTAAAGAAAATCAGTCAGCCAACAGGGGTTTTTAATAGGAAATTGCAGATATTATTGTTGTAGCAGTCCCCTAATGAAGTAAGCAAATCACAACTACAAATTGGGGACGTTTCCACGACAGAGGGGTCTACGATCTACGGTCTTACTCGACCAAAGTCTGTCACCTCTGCCCATTGTGTAAAAGCAATAGGGCTACTACAACAACAATTTGGGAGCTAATTCTCGGACATGTGTAAAATAGAATAGTTTTTGTTGGTGGTCGACCTATGGACAGATTCCAAAATCGGCTACACAGCAGAATCTAAAGATTAATGTGGGTGAATGGCCTTTGGCCGCGTTTCAAAATTATGTATTACTGCCGACTTCGAGGCAGAATGTCCCTTTAAATATAATTATATGAAATACATTTTTGCAAATTCTTTAAATTGTTACCAATATTCCAATATTAGAGAATTTTAAAAAGCATTGGAAAAAAATGGTCTTCCCAGTGGAACTCTGGAGCTCATATCTTAGGAAACTTTTCAAGAAAAAAGTAGTTCTTTATAATTTGGGCCATCGAACTACTCATGTTATAAATTTCAAACCGACCGGGTCTTAAGCAACACATAATCCTTAGTATAATTTCCATATATGTGTACATATATATAATAATTTACTGGTCGATCACTCTTGGATATACTGACAACATCTCCGGACTATATCTTTCCTATAGAAAGAAAATTTATTCACACATTGGACTCGCTAAAGATTGACCGAGCGGTGACAATTTTTCGATTAGGCTAAGGCAGATTTTGTAATTTTTTTTATGTACAATAATTTCCCATGCCAAACATCATCATAAAAGCACTGGTTTTTTAATGCTTTAAATATTACATCCTTTACTTTGATTACATTTATAATGGACTGACGGACTGAAATATTGGTACACCAGAAGTAGGGACCAATATTTCGAGATTTTGCAAACTGTTATGTACTAAAAATGCGATGAATTGAATATCCGAAAATCGTAGCATTATCCTAAGTACATTTTATTACTTCACATCAATGATCAAAAGCTTAGAATCAATGAGTCAAAACGTTGCGTAGGTAGAGAATTAGTTTGTGTAGGAATCCGGTACTGAAACTCTTCGTCACTGTCTTATATACATTTCACACGCTGCGACATTTTATATGTCTTGAAAATAGTACTCTGAAACTTCTGTTATTTTAATTAAGAATTGCATAAAAGTAAAAACTGTTTCAATATCAGTTTCAGATAATGTCGTTATGATTAATAATCGATTAGCCAAAAATTGAAACACATTTCGGTTGGAATAACATTAAATTGTATTTATTTATCAATGAGTTTCATTATTGTACATATATAATAATATTCTTGTTGTTGTTTCCTTTTTGTCAGATTCACAGCAATACATAATGTTATGACGATTATAATATTAGTAAAAATAAAAATAATAATAGTGTGGTACGCACGTAGTATAGTTACAGTTCTTTTACTTTTCATATATTTATGGGTTGGGTGTGTGTGTGTGGGTATTTCTTTTGCAATAACAATTGAGAGCATAAATTCTCCCAACGTTATGAGTACATTCAAGCTAATTAGATTACATAAAAATTAAACGATACAAAGATATTCAGAATTGCATAGATTTGAGACCCTAATAACGAGGGGTAAAATTTTAGGCCACAAGTAGTTTAACTATTCATATTAGACATAAAATGGAAGATGGTTGGTCTCGACTTGTGTGGTTAGAATTGCACGACTTGGTAGAGGCAAAAGTGGTGACCGATGCATTAAGGGCGGCGGCGTCGGAGGAGGAGACAACGACGATGACAACAACAGCATTGATGTTTGAGAAATTGAATATGGTGATATTTTGGAACGTGTCGTTGCGGAAAAGTTGTATGTTAGATCAGTGATTAATGACATCTGGCGGCAAGTGTCCGGCGCTGCACCTATGCCATTAATTGGGGCTACTATTGGTACATCCTTTCACCTTGGTGTTGTAGTTGAGGGAATTTTCTCCAGGAAATCTTTGGACAGTATATCTTCGATTTCTTGCAGGCAATTGTTTACTTCATGGTCAATATCAGAATAATTATGTGGATTGGGACAGGTTACACTGAGTGTTGAAAAGAAACTGTACAAATCCTGCAGTGTTGATATCTGTTGGCAGGTAAGCATCAAGTGACGACCACGTTTTATATTCAAAGTCTATTCGAGAAAAAAAATAGTTAATCAATTCTGAAATATTTAATATCTGTGCGGAGGAGTCTTACCGGAGAATGTACAGTGTATTTCATATCCATTAGTCGGGCAATCCGTCTTATATGCGGTACATAGAGTGCCGTCTGCCCGGCGTTTTCTTCATTTACCATACCATTGGGCATTGACTTATCAGCGACATCGAATTCAGTGCCCACAAACGCCCAGCGGTACATCTGGAAGTGAGGCAAGAGGGTTGCAGGAAGTACACAACCCATTTCTAATAGTTTTGATGCCTCCAATTGGACAGAACGCCAGTGGTACAATTGGCTCTGTGAGGTGTTCCCATTGCTACCGGTTGAAGACCAAGGTGCGTCCATTCCAGACACCATGCGTATATGTTGGCTAAAATTACAAAATACCAGGTATACATAACTTTCGTATAGTTAAATTGAATGTACTTACCTTAAATCATCTCCATCGGCCTTAAGTTCTTGCTCCATTGCCAAGAAGACCTGTACCATTTCTGCTATTATACTTGGCCACAAAGAAGTGACATGATCAGGCGACATCCGTAGTAACAATACACGGAAACACAAAAACACAGCAGCTTGCACCGAAGGCACATTGGCCAATAACCGCAAACTGTTGGCCAATTGTTCTGCAAATCGAAAAAAAATATATATATTTTCGTTCAGAACCCAACAAATTGTTGAACCGCGACACTTACCTTGAATTTCAGGCATATACTTGTGATACTGATCGAACTCACTGCAGAATATGACAAAAGCCAAACGTTTTAGCAACATGGACCGTTGTTCGTACTCTTGCTCCCTTGAAGCGAATATATTCAAACTGCCGGTTTGGGTCAGAGATACACGGCTCATCAATTCACGGAACGTGGTGTTGTCGTAGGTCATCAGACTGTCCATTATCTGTTTCCAGAAGGGCAAGCAGCTGATGTCCATTTGAAAGAAGGCTGGGTCTAGCAAAAGATCCATCATATCTTTGCGCCATGCCTTGCGTGTGTATTGATAACCACTCAAGGATGCCAATAAACTGGAGCAAGCATAGAACGAAGGTATGTTGCGAGCGGTGTGGTTCTTCAGATACGGTGTGATGTTGTATAGCAGAGTGGTGACAATTGAAACAACCTTGTCCTTCTCCTGTGAACCGTAGGCTACATCTAGAAGGTTAGCTAAAATTGCTGCCAATACACTCTGGGCTTGCACCGAATACTTCTGCAAGCCCGCTGTGCCACCAGAGCTTGAGTTTGATGTCACGTCATTGTCGGTTACCAAAGGAGTTATGTCTTCCTTGACGGCCAAATTACGACGTAACCAGGTGGTCTGTTCTAAACAGGAGCCAGCCACATTTGATAGTGAGTCCACCAGTCTAGAGGTGACATCGTGCAAATCACGGATGTCCTTCTTATCCTGGAATGGCATTTGGGGGCAGCGCTGCACAAACTCGTTCAACAACATCAGCAATGTGAATTGAGCTGGGGGTGTGAGGGATAAGCCATCCCTTAGTAGGGCCAACAATGATGTCCACGAGTCACCCAATTGCGGAGCCGGGGCTGATTTCATATAAAAGTAAAATAACTCCAAGGCACTGACCTCTATTTTGAGATTTGTCGGTGGTCGATGTATGGGCGGTGGAGATTTTACAACTTGGTGTAGTGTTTGCACAAACGAATCCATGGGCATTACCCGTATACTGGAGACCAGTGATACCAAGCTTAGCTGTTCATTGCAGGCTTGAGGCACTGAATGTCTTTGATACTGTTGAGCTATTGAAAGATTTTTGTATTCACTTGCCGACTTCTTGCGGTGAGACTCTCCTCTTTCCTGCCAGGTTACAGCGATTGCCGCCAAGAAGTTGCAGCCATGGTGCAGCGAAATAGGAGATAGGAATTCCATTAATTGTTGTTTGATTTGTCGGATTTGACCCAGGTCACTATCCCATACGGCGGCCACACTGGATACTATGCGCGGCAAATGTGATAGGACAGCATTACGGGCCGCCAGCAGCTGAGAGTTCTTCGGAGCCTGCGAGTCAGTTTGATTTGCTGCTGACGTTCCCGAAGAGGGGCCTCCAGGCAATAGGGAATGCACAATGCTATTGAACAATTGACCAGTATTCGAATTTTGTGATGCAATGGAACTAGTTTGGGGGTACGCCTGATTGAACAGCTGCGAGAGCGTCGTCTGTTGGGTATTGTCCAGCAAGCAGTAATGACATAAAATGGTAATAGCTTCCAATTGTGAAATAACGTAGTCGGGCGGTAAACCCTTCTGTTCGCTGAGTTTCATTTTTGTTAGTTGGTCAATGTTATTGCACAGTTGATGGACAACGCTTATGACTATGTTGGTGAGCGAACCAAATTTAAAGCAATTCAACGACGAGGTAACCAACTCCGTCCAGTTGTGATGCAACGGCTGTAGTCGTTCGTCTTGTAAGGCGCTCAGGATAGCCGATAAAAACATCGGCTGCTGGCTAATCACACAATTGGGTAAATATTTCACTGATGTCAGTTGAGATTCCGTTGACGAGAGGCGTGTCGGAGATATACTTCCAGATTCTGATTGATCATTTGCCGATGCCAGGCCCACATCATTTTTCAGAAGAGTTACTTCGTACTCCAGCTTAATGACAACCATAAGCAACCGTAAGAGTTGTATCTGCAAGGCCTCGGCATGCAGATTGTCGTCGTGGGGATTGTTGAAGTTTATTATTTGTTCAGCCATTGTGGAACCGGGATAAAAGTGGCCATAGGTGTTAACAGACGAATTGAGGCAATGTAAAATTACCTTTTGCAACTTGCAGCGAGCCATTAGGTCGGCCAAGTAGCACGCCAGACCCTTGCCCATACCCTTGACAATCTCGATTAGTTCGGTACAAATCAAAGTCAGCAATTCTACACTTTCCAATTGCACTCGACAGTTGCCCAATATGTCGGATCTTGTAGGAGGCTCGCTGGCTGCATCATGTGACTCAACGTGAAAGAATCCACGTGCATAAAACAAACACAACAACAGTAGAACTTCCAGATGCATGCAACCACGATAACTTTGGGCGAATTCGGATGTTGTAATGCTGCCCATAAAACCTTTTCCAGCGATACATTTACGATGACGGGTTAAAAGTTGTTTTAAAGAACTACTCGATAAAGAAGTCGTTATTGATAGACACAGAAAGGTGCGCGTATCGCACGATATTATATTGCGCAAGGTATGGAACGCATATAGGGTTTGTTTGGTGTCGTACACATTCATGTAGATGAGCATGTGGTTTTGGAACAAAGGAAGCAATTTTTCTGTTTGCAGACGTTTCGATCCTCCATCATATGAGAGAGTGCTGCTTTTCGTCGACGAGCGTTTGCTAGATAAATCGTGTTTGAGCAACTGCGACGATGCCGACTGCCTCAAAATTTCCAAGTTCTGTTTGCTCTTCTCCAATGTCTCGGGTGTTAGTTCCCACTCCTTTGTTAGGGATTTTGATGTTTCCAAGTTAAGGGTTTTCCTCTTTTCTTCAATGTTTATAAATTTACTAGAATTATCGTCGTCGTCCTCGTTTTCCTTGGCTATTTCACCGGTGGTGAAGCTGTTGTTACTGTCAGTGGAAATCTTCGATATGCAACTCATTCGCTTTTTATCCATTTTGTCTTGACCCGCCAGTTTTTTGGATCGCAACTTCTTTTTTAGATGATTCTTGGAGCCCTTCTTACGTTTGCTTGAACTAATCGATGTGTCTTTCACTTGATCAATTAGATCATCCACAAAGGACTCCACCTGGCGTTCCTCGCTTTTGCTATCGAAATACTCATCAGCCGGGTGGACTTCCTCTTCTTCATTGTCTTGCTCCAATTCCAGAGACAACGGTCCATGTTCTTCGGTTGTTGTGGAGGTCAAGCTGGTTTCACCGGGAGTCTTCTCGCGTGTTAGATGATAAGTTTTGCGATTTTTGGTGCGTTCATGTTGAGACAGTAGATCTGTAACGCTTTCAATGGGACCCACATAGCGTTTCAGTCTAGTTTTATTTTCATATTCAGAGCTTTGAGCCGTTATGGAGTCGTCTTTTTCAGCACTTGTTTCCCTTTGTTCTGACTCCGAATCATAAAGACTGCTTTCTGAATCGTCAGTGTAATCTTGTTCATACAAGGGATCGTCATTGTCATCTTCCTCGTCCAATTCTTCGGGATCGTAATCGTCCATTGCCATCTAAAGATACAAATTAGATTAAGAATTTTCTACAGATATGCTTTCAGCTGGTCAATGCTTACCTTTTTCTTTAGTTCTTCCGGTTCTTGCTCGTCGTCAAAATCTAATGAATTCTCCAGTGGATTAACAATGAGGCCTATAGTTGTAGTCGGCAAAGATGCAGGGTCCAAAGCACTGACATTTGGTGATGTGGAAGTCGGTGTCTGGTCGCTTACAAAATTTGAGGTTTTATTTTTACTACTCAGAGAAACACCGAATATCTTTTTTTGAATGGAACGAATGGGGCTACGTTTCTTGTTGTGACTCGTAGAATCGGTTATGTACCGTATGTTGCCATATTCCGAACTGACAGCATAAACATCTGCCTCCACTGAGCTATCAACGTCGCCTGAATTCGTATTTTTTGATCTGTTGCGCAGTGAATCTTTCGCTCCATCAGACCCATTTTCGTCGGAACCCTTGCGTAACAAATGCAAATGAACAATGCCTACGCGTTTTGTGTTGGAGGCCAGGAGAATTTTATACAATGGCTTAACCAAACGTGAAAGATCACCCCTTAGTAGGGCAGATTGCAGCCATTTAGTTACACATGTTCTTACTGACATGTAAGGCGGTAGTGCCAGTGTGTCCAGGACTTTAAATTGTATCTTTTCAAATCCTCGAGTTTGTTGTTTATCGCGTCCCAAATGCCATAGTAATTCGTACTTTTTAAAACTGATCGATTCGCTCTCGGTCAATTGTTCTATGGCCGCTCGATTTACCATAAGTGTGGGTGTTACACACATCATATGAATATCAGTGGCTCGGTCATAGTTATATGAGTTCCAAGCTGAGAGGTTGTTCTTTGCCGGTGCCTTTCTCAGATGGCCGATGTTCCCCTCCACAGTGTCGTAGGCAGCTGTAAAATGTTGTTGCATGGTCTTGGAATACATTCGATTGTCGATGATGCGCTCAACAAGGCCACTTTCGAGGCAATTATGCAGTTGATAAAGCAAAGCACAGACTTGTGTATTGTCCACATCAATTTCCCCCAGATAGTCCCATAGATTAGAAGTCAACAGCTGGAACACTCGTGTGCGGCGCTCTATATAGTGAACATGGCCGAATTTGAGTAAAGGTAGCATAACTACGTATGTCACACCTGGACTGGTTGTGTGTTCTATTTGCGATTTTAGTAAACTACAAAGAGACGAGATTTTAGGAATCAGCTTTGTCTAAATTTCGAAGTTATCTTGTTACCTTATCAGGTCGAATAATGTGGTAATAGCCGACAATTGCAACTCTCTGTCGTTTTGGCTGTAGCAAGCAACGATGCAAAGAACTTTTAACCAACTGGGTAATTCCTTTTCTGTAATGACAATTCAAAGTGATGCAACAACAAATGTTTCGATAGTGGAGATTGACAAACTTACCCGCTTTCTCTAGTGTTATATTTTTGTTGCAATTTGGGAAGGTTGACATTTCGACTAAAAGATTAACCGAGAGCTTTATAGCTTGTCGCAATGACGGAACCAACTGCAAATCCAATATTGACTGTAAACGTTTTTTGGTTACATCATCTAACTCGTATATTGTACCCTCTTCTCCGTCTTCACTGCCATCAGTATTCTCCGATTGACCATCGACAATCAGCGAACGATTCAACAATGAATGCAACTGTTTAGACCGATTAACAATGTGAATTTTCAAAGTTTCGAACAGATTGTCGATGTCGAGTAGTCTACACGGATTCAAGTCCTCGTAGACATTTTCATGTTTGAATATGTTTTCTACATTGGGTATTTTCTGTGCTTCGTCCAGAGTTTCTTGTTTCTCTACTTGGACTTTAATCGGACACTTGTTGTCATCTACTGGCGTTTGCTGCTGATTCATGTCGAGCACTTTATGACTGATGTACACTTCAAAAAATACCTCATACTGTTTGATACACTTCTCCAGTATGGATGCTGTGGCCATATAGTTGTTGCTGGAGTCCTGAATATCTTCGTCTTCCGGCTTGTTTACATCTTGATAGTTGAAAACGAAACCTTCGGCATGCTGTTTAGATAGTTGTTCTAGGGGAGCACTTTTAGGTTCATCATCTTGATATTCGCCGCCAACAGGTGTATCCAATCTGCTATCGTTATTGGAATGTGTGTCTGGTCCTGTAGTGAGCTGTTTATTTTCCGACAATACCAATTCATGGGGTCTCGATTTTTTTGGACTCATGCGTAAGCGATTTTGAGCCTGCTTTCCCTTTGCTTTAATTTTCTTTATACTGATTGGAGTATCCAAATCGGATGATGATTGTCGTGGATCTATAATTTCACCCGTATCGGGACAAATCTAAGGAGGCAAATTGTTTTTATTTGTTGACACGTATTTCTTCATAATATACCATTACCTCTTTGTCCAACTCTGAGAGTTTAGAGAAGGATTTAGCCTTTTTCTTTTTGGTTGGACTTTTTCGTTCCATGTGTTGGTTGGAGTTGCACCGTCGGATATTATCTTCGTCATTATTTAGGGACATCGTGTGAGAGTGGCCATCCTGATTGGCAAACTGGTCAAGTTTAGAGTCGGATTTACTCTTCTCCAGTGCATTGGCACCTATCAATGCAGAAATTGGCTGTGATCTTGCGGTGCTGTTAGAATTTTTGTCATCAGTTGATGATTTGTTTTGTTGTGAACGTGGCATAAGTTTAATTGGACTCCTAAAAGAAAGCGTACACTAAATTCCCCGCTTATATTATACTAAATGAAAAGCACTTACGTTATCATTGGTTGCACTCTGGAAACGATTTTCATGCAGAGTTTTAGAGATGCAATAACCTCTTCGTCGTTTAAATTTTCTAGGTGCACTGTCAGCATTTGTGTTATAGCCAGAAATACTTTGGGCAAATAGATGCGTGTGGTCTCATTGTACATCTCTAGGGAGATGGTCTCTAATAGAAATTCAGTTAGGAAACAAATTTCCACTAGACTGGGATCTCCAGATCCAACAATGCACTGGAAACGTTGTTCTCCTCCACCACCACTACTGCCATTGCTATTCGAACGAATGTATGATTTCCTAACTTTATCGGAACATGATGGGGACTGTTTCGTCTATAAAAAGTCAATGGATTAAAATAATGTGATATTTTTAATAATAACTCATTACCTTTTTGCAAGCCTTTTCAAACATAGTTGTCATGAAAGTCCATATGTATGCAGGATCGAACGTAGCAAACAGCAAATTGGACGATTTTATAACTTCCACATTACCTATCGATAAGGACATGGTGCGTATGATGTCGCACAGGACATAATCTAAGACAGCGCTGCCTATTTCGGCCTTGTCCAATAGAGAGACCATAATCCGATATGGTTTCAAGTCAACAGGTGTAAATTCCAAACTAAACTTCAAGGTTGTAATTATGGCCTGGATAACGACATGTCTTGAGTGTTTTTCAAAATAAGATTCTGTTTGTTTTTCCCCACCATCTCCTCCATCGGTGGTCGGTAGTGGTAGCGATGGTTCCGTTTCATATGTTGGTGAGTTCTTCAATATTTCCGAACCCAATAACCATGAATATAGACGTCTATTCAAAGACATATCTCTTCTCAGTATGGTATTTAGAGCATTTGTCACCAGTTTGGCCAGATCTGATTCGGACAACAGTTTTGTATGCATTGGAAATCCCAAAAGGAGGAACTCCAATGTGTTACGTTGCACCAAAATTACATTGTCGTTGAGGCAGGCACATAGACCGGACATCATTATATCTCGGTTGTGACCCATTACGTAGATTTGCTCTTGCATACTCATGCGCTTATTGAAGTGTTCCAACAAATACGTAATGGCTGGCAGACGAACGGGTGCATTGGTGGCCACACATTCCCAGAGGACGGTATAAAAGTGTGTAGGATTAACGGCCTGGCAAACTTGTGTCAATAGAGAACTGGTGCGTTCGAAATGGTCCAAACCGCATTCATAACCTGGTAGAACTCCACTTAAAAATCCGCTCAATGCTGGACGCAACTTTTCTCCAAGCGGAACGAAGTAGGTTTCATATATACCCAGCAAGGCTGGGCGGACGTTCATGGCAGCATATCCCAGCAGGGGAAATAGACCGGAGCTATAAAAGATGTTTACATTTAATTAAATGAAATTGATAATTATTTGAGAAATAAAGCTCGCTGAGTAACGTTATCTTTGCCTTCAAAATTAAAAATAAAAATTGGGATTGACCTCATATACCACGAAGTCTGATGAAATGCAATAAAAATGCACACAAACATACCTATAAATGAAAAGCTCTGTCGCCAATCGCTCTGGTCCAGTCTTTCCAAATATAACTCCATATGTCTCCAATGCTTTCAAGTGGACACCAGAAGGTAAGGCCGGATGCATACATTGGGCCAAACGTTTTGAAATCTTTATTCGCCGTGGTATAATTTGGTATTGTGTATTGCTGGAAATGGCCTTAAGAATTAAAGAAAACACATATTATTAAAGGTATAACTGATAAGAAAACACTGAGTGCGTGAATCATCACTCGCCGCCTGACCACTCACTCAATAGCATACCTTACTTAATTTACCCAGTGCGGAAATTAAATCCGCCCATTCGCTAGAATATTCAAAGTTCCGCAATGCCTTATCGATGTTCGACATGTAGTTACGATACTTTGCCTCGGCCATGAGCTTCTTCTCCTCCATCAGAACGTCGGCGGACTCCATGGTGACTGACCAATTCACCAAGTTGCCTGTAACCCGACTACCGTTATCAGTTAATGCAGCGACGACTGTCTGCGAACTTGTGAATTGTGATGGTGCTTAAATTTGCCGTTATAACTTGAAAGAAGAAAGAAATTAATGTCACACAATATTGGAACAGCAATCGGATTGCCACCACCAACACCACTTTTACATATCTCAAACGTTAAAGAGTACCCCAAAGTATAATTATATTATTATCAAATTTAAATTACGCTGTACGGCGAACATACATATATCCGATTTTGTGTACATACATACGTATATGAATATATATGCATGTTAATATAATATAATAATATTTATGACGACGTCTGATGGATGTGTAGTGTAAAAACCACTGATTTTCTTCTACTCGCCAACAAACAACTGTTATTGTTGTGATGTGAGCGAGCACAGACGGCGGGGGGACACTTTCAAACACCTAATACATAATTGATTATGAGAACTTGAGGCAAATGTTTTTCCCGATTCATTTTCGTCAATCGTACAACGTAATACCAGCTACGGACTCCTGCACACTCACTCTACTCACTTGTCCTTCAACTTCGTTTCTATTCGAACCACACTGTTGGCTTTTTCACATCCAAATTGTATGTAAACATTTGCTGACGCATAACTTTATCCCTTTGTCGTCGTTGCTGTTGTTGGGGACTTCATCATCGTTTGTCTGTCCATAGAATCGCAGAAAAATGTCGTCTCCAATTTCTTGTTGTGTTGAACCAAACCCGTTTACTTTTATTTATATTTTATTGGTTCGACTCTGTGCGTCTTTCCGAGAATAATATTCGAATGTTTTGGTTTGTAGATCACAATAAACAAGTAATGTTTTCCATAATTTTATTTTCAGAAAAAACAAATTTGCAAAAATGTCTCGTAAAGAAAAAATACAAAGTGTAGGGTTGCCGTAGAGTCTGAAGTTGCAGAACGAAGAACAGCCCAAAGAGGATCTGAGAGGAACGAAATGCCATCTCCTCTTTGAACACTTGTTCGTGATTTCCTCTTTCTGACAACACTAGAATTAATCAGCTGATTTTTTGTTTATTTATGTTTTGCTTTTGTTTTAGCTTTGACTGTTCTGTTCGTGAAATTAATCGAATTTATAACTTTAGGGATTCTTGGAACCCAATTGTGTTTGTGTCTGTGATAATTGGTAAAAATGTTAATGCATACTTCTAATTACCTTTATCTTCCCTTTTAATTTCAAAATCCCTTCATTTCTTTTGGTCCACAATCGCACTGGATAAAGATCTAATCTCCAATGTTCAACAACCATAACAAAGAAGTTTGTTGTTGAAATGTCAAAGTGCACAATGGGTTGTTGGTGAAAATACTTCAATACCAAATCGGAAATTACTTAACAAATATTTCCCTGCGAGATGAAATTAAAAAAAAAACATACTAGTAATACAACCTAAACACCCCTAAAAGTGGATTCTCTGAGCATTTTAAAACAACTTTTTCGACATCTGTCATATATCACTTACCATATAAATAACGTTTGTCAGTGTGTGCATTTAAACAGGTGCATATGTTCTTAAGAGAAAATTAGTAGATATTTCGATTATAGAATAGTTGGAGGCTTTAATTCATGAATTTTTCTGAAATGTTTAACACAGATAGGGTCATCGTAATTTATGGGACGTTGAAAGTGTAACACCTGTCCATAGTCTTAAATTAATCGCGTGACCAAATTTGTTAACCTATCCATGGAAGAAAGCCCTAAACACCCGTCTGAAGGCATCCATTTTGGATAAATTTCAATAAAAACTATATTTATGTGAAACGCTTTACAATCATACCTTCATATTATATTCATCGGTCTATAAATGACGATATTACGAGTATAAGCATTTCGGAATTTCAGATTCCCCATAACTCGGGAAGTATGATCATCCCACAATGCCATATATTAATATCGTGAGTTTCAATAAGTTGTTTTTGGAACAACATAATAAACATCTTGTTCTTTTGATTTCGGTTTGTTCTGCCACTAGACTCATCCTAACATAGTTACTATCACATCGACTTGTCCTGATTTAAATTAGGCAATTTTATTTACGAGAGAGTTTAGAGGAATGCAACCCTTCACGCCTCTTGCCCACAAATGTTGATACTTGTTTATTGAATGCAACAATTTCTATTATTTTGTGCTGTGGGATGCCTCCTGTATCCATTCTATGGTGTTCAATATATTGAAGATCTAATTTATTCCATATCCCATTCATATATTCTATTTGTTGTTATGGTCGCACAGTTCTTCATCAATTTAACAATATAAACTGCAATGGAAATGTCCAAAGATTAACGAACACACTTTTAATTTAATAATTTATTAAATGAAAAAAGAAAAAATCCAACAAATATTTTGCACTCATAAACAATGATACCGGCAACCTTACAAATAAGGTCTATCCATTGGTGTATCCTTAGCCCGCTTGTCTCTGGAACGGGGGAACCATCTGTGTTTGGTTGTGTGAGTTAAACGCATCAATTCTTCACGTGCCACTTCGGGTCTCTTGTCTTTGAAGGCACTCATGGCACTTCGCAACGATTCCTCCTTCATCAATGATGCTGATTGGGATTCCGATGCCGTGGGCAGGGGCTTTGTGAATTCATATGGATATGCAGGATCTGGATGCCAGGCAACAATAGTTTTACCATGTGGAGCTACAGCAACACCTTCTACGAGTCTCCGACCACCAATGGCATTTTTGTTTATTGATAATTTTAGAGAATTTGTTGAAAAGTTACGAAGCAAACGTATGGACGACATTGTGTGCTCGGAATGGTTTTATAATGTTTCCATATGTTTTAGTGATGTGCAATTGTCGTGCGATATTTAGTTATCGAATTTAAATGGCCGATTGTTATCGGTTTCTATATTAGGGTGGAAGGTTTTTATTTTAAATGTACATATTGTAAATATTGAATTGTTTATAGAAAAAATGTTGTAAAAAATTCAAAAAAAAAATTATTATTATAGCATGTACTGGAACAGGCTAATGAAAAAAGAAAATGGGATTCCAAACAAAATTTAAAAATTATATTTTATTTAATAGTACGTTTACATTGCACCGCATTTAGTTAACACAGTGGGTTGAAATTGTCAATTCCTTTGAATATATGCTATATAAATCCTCATATAGTAGGTTAACCCGGTAAAAAGTTCTAATGTAAATACCGTTTATGTATGACTCTAGTTGAAAATAAAAATGTGGAAGAGCTAAATTTATGGAATTGGTTTACGTTTCAGCTAAAATGTTTCTTGTAAGAAGTACATACATACTTGTTATGGTTCTTTAATCAAACTGAAATTGTATTGCATATGTTATATAATAAAAACGTTCCCTGTATTAAAAAGTCTATTTTTTATGTTATGACCTATTTAATAATGATTCAAAAAGTAGTAAGACTTTTCAAATTTATAAAAAAAAAATCAAAAACAATTTCGATTAATAGCAAATTCTGGAACAAATTCTAAGTTGTTATAAACTTTACCAGTTTTCGTGTGCGGAAATCCGAATCTAAATTGTTACCCTTTGTAATCTCATTTAATTTTCTATTAGACCCATTTTAATATCCAACACATTTTATTTCATTTGTACCTGTCGGCTTGTCTCTACAAAAGAAAGAGATAGAGAATATTACGCCAATACCATCAGTCGTCCATTCATAAATGTTGTAATATTTTCTCGTGTCAATTAGACTTTGTAGGCCTGGAAAAAATAAAAACATTTTAAAGAGATTACCGACGTGCGTCAGTAAGCCTAGATAAACATAATAAATGCAATGATCATTTGTTGACTTTGTTGTTGTTCTTTGAGCATATTTATGGACTGAGTGTGTAGAGTAATTAGTATGAGGATGGGAGGTCTCAGCTAATGTTTATTGCAAAGTGATATATATTCTGTAAATATGTATGTAATTGCTTTGTTTAAACAACGATGTGGTGGGAGGTCAGCATTGTATTGGTCTTGCAAAAAAAAGATACCATTTACACCGAATATATAATAGTAGTAAGTTGATACCTGTAGAGTTTGTGTCCTAACAATTGTCATAATTTCTCAAGTGATTAGTTCTTCGAAAGGAGGTGATTTTAGGGCAAATAAGAAAAACACCTTATTAATAATATTTTCCTTTTACAAAATTGCTACAACTTTTTATTGTCTATTACTTTTGTCTCACAACAGAATAAAATACATTTAATTTAAAATATTTTTGATGTTATCATGGCTTTATAAAATTCAAAATTTGTGATTAAAAATTTCTTAAAATTGGTCCATATTGATATTATTACTGAAACTGAAAATAAAGCAGAATATTGTGGAAAACTCAAGTATCTAATCCACTTTGTAAGAAACTGTGACAATTTGATTTATTAAAATAGTCCAGTGATTTATGATTTCGATTAACATTTCTAAAGCTTTGTTGTAAATCAAATTGTGCCCCATTTTTATAGTAACTGAAACAGAAATCTGGAACATTTTTCATGTGATAAGAACAATATACAGAAATAAATCTCGATTCCCTGCCATTAATCCCTACATAATGCGAGCTATTAAAGAAACATTTCAGTAAAGAAACCAAATAATTAGATTCTAATTTGGTTTCAAAAAATTTAAAAATTTATAAATTTGATTATAAGCAGACATATTTATATACATGCATGCTTATGTTATTATTAAGAGTGGTTTCACTCAAAGACATGTGTGTACTATGCACATACACACATATATTATCGTAGTTCAAAAGGTTCATTAAAATACATTAATAATTATTGTCATTGGTTTACGGTTTGTTTATCAGTCACAAATTAAAATGGGATTTTTTGGGTTCTTTTTTTACGTTTCGATTTTATTGTTCGGATTTCTTCTTCGTACACAAAATGGGCAAAAAAAGTGATCATGGAAATTGGAATGGGATAATTGGCTGCGAGAATGCTAATGTGCAGCATAGTCTTGTAAATGTGTATTGAGTTCTATTTTTTCCAGTGATTATATTTTCTTGGTTTTGGAAAATAAACGAACGAAAGAATTGTTATCTCGTAAATGTCATGAGCAAATGTATTTTGGTATTTCTGTTGTTCAATTGAGCATTTGTAATGTAACCGAAATACAAAACAAAAAGCTATCGCTTTCGTGTCCGTCCATAAAACACTAACCGAATATTGGTCAGATAAGACCCTTGCGGTCTTCTGAAGGGTGTTTGTATATGTATACCCTACACCATACTGATATGTGATATTATGCTTGAGGGTACTTGCAAAAAGAATCGAAGATATTACATTTGTTAATTTTGAGAGTATGCTGAGAATGCTTTTTTGGAATACTTGTCTTTAGAATGCCAAGTTTGGAAAGACTTGAAGGTGATTTAGGGAGCATGTCTTCTTAGGATATGGACGGCATTCAAATAATCTGGAATAACAAATAAATTTTCTTTTACTATTAATTCCATTTTTATTGGATTACACCTATACTAGGCTATGTATACAATCTTCAATCCAACCAAACTATAAAAGTTTGCATTGGAGTTATTTGTGTTTGAATGAACTCGATGAAGTTCGTTCGGAAACTATATATCATTCGTCTTAATATGCCACTATTCCATATGTTAGAAATATTTACTACATTTTTATTGATTTCTGTTTTTTACAATGTGACAACAACAATAACAAGAAAACATAAACACAACCCTCGATCAGTAATTAACACAACATTAAAAACCAAATGTCATTAAGTAAATTCGAATTTTGTTTAAATCATTTTCTTCACACTCATAACAACAACAAAACACACACAACCTCAGGGAGCAATAAACCAAAAAAGCCAGATAGGGGAGGTTAAAGAAAAAAATAAAATAATTGCAAAAATCCCTCAACACATTGGTTTCTACTCGAATTTTATATATGTACATACACACACGCACATACTATATTAAGGAGACAAAAATACTACATCGAGAACAACATTGTTTTCCGACAAATCAAAGATCAGCATCATCATCGCCGCCAAACGATATGGTCTCATCGTCGTATTTTTTAATACTCAAGAAAAAATTGTTCTTGTTCTCTTGCAACCTATGGCAGACTCTTAGGCACAGATACAGGCGCACTCAAGAAAGCAGTGGCGTAAACGCTTGTGGGGCCTTTATGTCAAAAAGAAAGAATGGTGGCGGCTCAAAATGAAATTAAATTAAAAAAAATTATTGAATTATTGTCGATTTGAGTCGTTTATTTGGAAAGTGACTTAAGTCCATTTTAGGTTCTGAAACAAAACTTTTTTTAAGATTACAAAACATTATATATACTATAATGTTTATGCACACAAAGCTACAAACAAAATTAATACCACATTACAATATTTTTGAAACAAATCAAATCCAAACTATTAAATATCTCAAAATAAGAAAAAATTGACTTAAACCACTTTTAAAATACACGACTTATAAAAAAGTATTGCAATCATTTTTTTAATTTCATTTCATTCTGACGCATGTGCCCTTTCTCTATCACTGAACAGAGCTGACTAGTTTCAAAGGACATAAATTCAATATTCAAGAATATATAAAAAATTCTCTTAAGAGATAACTATTTGGAGACAATTGTCGAAGAAAAATGTTCAAATGTTTGAGCCTTTTGTGGGAAGTTGAAGAATAAGAGATATATAATTTATGAGGTCCAAATTATATATCTCTTCTTATTCATTTCATTTTAGAAAGAATGTGTAGAGGAATAGTATATACGATTATTTCATAAAACATATTATTTCGAACAGACGGATATTTCGAAATCGATTCCAATTTTTTGTAACAGATTTGTCAATAACTAATGTTTCGATGAAACATTGTTTGATCGTATGAAATTGTATATATCCAACAATATATTCATTAATTTATTTAGAGAGCGAACATATCTCACTGATTGAATCTTTTAAATTGTAATTTCGAATTATCTTTAGATATTTACTTGTGATTTTCACAAAGTCACATCTTTAAAAGGATGTATTTTTCAATACATTCCGAAATATAATCACTCCATTGTTTAGGACGGTCCTTTGTACGCAAGGCCTGCTCACTTACCGCCCTGTATTTTGATCATGCACTCACCCAACACAAATAACATTTTCACACATTGTATAATTACGTGTGTGAGTGTGTGTTTGATTGTAGGAGATTTTCAAAATTCCTTCCTTCCTTCAATGTCTTTGGCTGGCTGCTATCTCATGAATGGATAAAACAGCTCTTTGCCAAAACGAATAGACACAATTCTGCTACCATTTGCTACTGTGTTTGCTGATCTCTGTGTGGACAACGAAGACGACCGAGTGGACATCATCAGAGTTGTCTGGCTGGCTGGCTGTGACAACCAGAATGAGCATAGCCGTCTAGTCTCACACTGATCACTTCTTCGGCGAAACACAAAAACACGCAAGGAAATACAAATCAGTCGCGTGCGGGTCATAAGAACGAACGGACATCGTATAAATGCTCAATTCATTCATTTAGTCGTCGTCGACAAATCCGATCGTAAAGAAGTCTATCTAGTGGCAGAGAGTGTTGTGTGTTGTTATTGTTGTCGCTTGTCCCCTGATCTCAAAAAATACCAAAATTCGTTTTAATTTAAGTGATGATAAAAACAAAATGAATAAAAATATTAAATTTTTTTGTATTTGTGAATGAAAAATACGAAAAGAAAATAATTGAAAATTAAAGTTTGTGTCCATATTTTATTAAGCGTGTCTCATGGTATTTACATTAGAATTTGCAACAAGAACAAATCAGCTACGAACAAAATAAGTACACTTGAATCCACCGATCATTGGATACAAGATCAGTCAAGAAACTAGTTTTTGCCAAATACTCCATTCCGCTCGCGAATAAACAGTGAAGTGTGTCTGTGCGGTGAGCAGTCAGGCCCTTGGGAAATACATTTTCGTATCATGCACACAGATGTATCCCTTGAATTGTGATCATAACAATTAATAGCAATTATTGTGGAACCATTTGGTGTAAAGTGACAAAAGAACTAAATTAAGACTGTCTATTCTTCTCTTCGGCCAAGAGCGGACAACTGAACGCTTTGTACTTTAATTTTGTTTTTAATTGTACTTGTGGTTACTGATCGCTGCTAACATGACTGCTGAAACTCTTAAGCCGTTTATAACACCCGGCAGTGTCGATTATGTGACAGCATCACATTCAAGTACCTCATCCGTTCATAATCGGAATAGACGGTGCTTTCTTGCAATTGCTGCAAGTGCCCTTGTGGTGGTGCTAATCTCAACGTTGTTGGGCATAACGGTAAGTCTGCGTGCGACACATGGATGTGATGATTATTGACACCCACCTTCATTTCCGGCAAGAATTTAGACATCACAATTCAGAGAATGGTTCACGAATAGGTCATTTAATGAAAGTTAAAAACGTTTAACATATTTTATTAGAAATATATAAAAATATTTAAAGGAAAAAATTCGTAATTCTAATCTGGAAACTTCCACAGCCGAAATAGCTTATAACGACGACCAAGGGACTGGCAAAAAAGCGATATGTCGTTATAAACGATATCAAATTAAAGGTAGATCTTTCCTCGGGACTTTTGTATAAGTTGACATAACCGATATGTCGTTATAAACGATTTGGTCTGTATTTTTATATTTCACAAACTATAGAGAAAAATTACTTTTCAGAAGCTTCTCTAACATTTTTACCGTTACAAACAAAAATCGGTAAAAATAATAAACATATTTTTCGTATTGATATACAATTTTTTGGAAAAAGAACTGTTTTGGGTTTAGGGACTACATTTTTGGTCGTTAACGATTTAGGTTCTTATCGATATCTGTCATTAAATCTGTCGTAAACCTTTCGAAGGAGGATATTTTCATTTAAATTTAGAAAGCTGAGTGTTGTCAAAAGTAAAATTATGACAAAATTGGAATCACATGTCTTCATGAGACCAACTCGTGTAATTATGCCATGGGTTAAACTATTTGATAGTAGAATATTGCCAATTTATCCATAAATTGGTGTACATTGACTCCGAATTTATTTTTACCTAAAATTTGTATTCTATCTTATATATAAAATACAAAAATTATATATAAAAAATTAAAAAATAGTATAAAATTTAAAATCTCAAACAATATTTAGGATGGCAGATTAATAATAACTAGTTTGAGATTATTATAAAAAAATAGTATGAAAAAAATCAAAATTTTTATGAACAAACAGCGAAGACACGAACCATAGTCACTTCAAAATTATTATTTTTTTTAGTAAGTAAAGATCAGATTGCCTTAGTAGGATTGAAATTAATTCGAATAGAAATTAAATAGTAAATAATCCCCATGTAGTGCCTTGATTTAATAACCATGAAAAATGTCACAAATCTTTAAATAATTTCGAATTTTAAATAAATTGACATATTTCCATTTTATTTGATTTACAGATATGGCATACCGTACGCATATCAAATCTTCAAACCGAAGTGGAAAACTTAAATAAAGTTATTGAGAGTATGCAAAAACGTTTGGGCCTCACATATTTGGATGACTTAAGCGATCTGGAAAAGGAGGATGAGGTAAAGCAACTAGCCGACAAGTGTTATCGAATGAATTCAGAACAATATTTCAATCCAACAAACGGACAGACACATCATAAATGCGTAACATTCTAATGTGACGATCAATTGTGGTATAATAACATATTTTCAAAAGAGTTTGTTTGCTGCTGCTCTTGTTGTTGTTGTTGTTCTTTAGCGCCATAATAATTAATTTGAGTGAGATATAAAAACAAAATTATAATTGATGCCACGAGCAAGGGGTGGGGGTTAATTTTTATTTATTGTATATAAATATTTTGCTCTGTTCTTTTTAAAATATGAAATCATAAACGAAATTATTATACACTTGATTGCCAATATGACGAAAAGCAGACAATTTGGAATAGAGAGCAGAAACTCAAAACTCAGAAAGATGTGTCGTTTGCTGCTTTCCGCTGTTGTGTGTTGTGGCACAAACATTTAATTAGCTTAAAATTGCCATTGGCGCCATTCTTTTGCATTCAGACAAAAAATATAAATATATATGTATGTACATACATATTTTTTGAAAATAAAATCCCAAAAAAAATTAAATATTTCCACATTTGAAAGCAAACACCACAAACAGGCAATCCATGGACGATGACAGATTGCAAAATTGTTTCTGGGCCACAAAAATCTTCAATTCTTTTGGATTATTTTGGCATTTTATTAGACTGTGTCGAATAGTGAGCAATTAGTTTGAAGATTTTCGTTTTTAATAAGCAAAATATTATTGTTTATTATTCAGAGTTTGTTGAACTGTTGGTCTTCAATTGATGAGGAATTATGTATATATTTGTATTTTCTCGTGTGGCTTGGAAATTGTATCTTAACTCATTTTAGACCCCTTGTCCATGCCATTATGTAATTTTTCTATAGTCGAGTGTCATTTACAAGTACATAAATACATATTATGTACACTTCTGGTACGTCGCTTTACCCTTATATCGTAAACCGGCATTAGGAAATTAGTGGTCAATTAATTTAACCATCCAGTGGACTCTGAAATCAATGAAATGTATTTGAACTTTCACATATCCAGAATTTCCTTAATAACTATGTGCCATTGTGTACCGATATTGCACTTCCGTTTTTATTTTACTTCCGAATCGTACGTGTAGTAATCTTCGAATTAGTTGCATTAAATACACATAAATGCTCATTAAACCGCCCGGTAGAAGTCACACACTCGGACAATAACCAACCACCATATGCGGGATCATTTCAGCACGTGCAGCATTATCCAACAGATTTTTGTGTCGATCATGTCTAATGTCCGATCAAATAAATGATTATCCACAGCAGAAGAAAAAGAAGAAAATGCGTAAACAATTTTCTAGAATCACAAAATGATTTATGCACTTACAAATGGACTGTGTGTAGCCAGTCGCCAAGTCAATGGCGGTGGCCTTTTCTGCTGGCACTTTAGCGATCGTGTACTATATATGTGCGTATATCCAAACTTTTCAAATACTCATATCAATGGAAATGGGAGGACTGCTTAGCTGCCGCTGTCTAAGGCTATGGCTAAGAATATGGGCTATGGGAATTCCAAATAGATTAGACAACATATCACAATAAGTTTGTGAAAACACACTGCTTTTGTATTTCCGGCATCTAGAGCGAAGGGGCGGTCGGCGCGACCACAGAGAAATAACAAATCTGAATCACTTGACAAGTACTTATTGTATCGAAGGGTCAATTTGATGCGGCCATTTGTGTATGGATATGTAATAATGAGTGTTGTGTATCTGTTTGACATACTACATACACACATATACAGAGTTAGAAACCTATACGATTCTGACTGTGGCCACAAAAAGGAAAATTACAAGCATGCGTCACTGGCAATTGTCGAGCATTGTTGCATCTCTAAACATTATAACGACGACAACTCGGAAGATCACAATTGGATAGCATGACGTTGTCGTCGTTATGCTACAATACAATGCTTAACGAATCATGAAACATGCAGGGTTTGTTTTTGTTGTTGTCGTCGTCGTCATTTTAAGGTGGAGTAAATGTTTTTTATTATAAGGGTACGGGACGAACTTTCCAGGTTGGAAACTCCAAATTCCCTATACTAAACCGAGGACAAACATTTCTTGTAGTAAGATTTTAAACTCAATGAAAACCCATAATATGCAATTAAAGCCAATTATATTGAGAATCCAAAATTAAATATTGTGAGGTTTATTTTGATTTCAACAGAGGGATCGACGAATATTTGAAGAAGTGTTTTTTGCATATCCAAAATTCGAGATATTTTGTGACTCCATACTATGTGATTTAACTTGTACTTTTCGTTTTTATTTTTCAGAGAGGTATTTTCATATTTTGTCTGTTTCCGTACTGCAATCTACTACTTTTTACTACGATAATGAATTTTCCTTTATAATATCGAACAAAATTGTAAAATGTAGTAGATAAATAGATAAAATTGTAAAATCTAATCCTGTAAACATTAATCCTTTTTCTAAAACCAAATCTCGATGCAATTTTTTGTTAGAATACTTTAACTCTTTATATTAACTCTATTTCCTGTACTGCCAATATTTCAAAATCAAATTAGGAACAATTTTGCGGTAACGTGGAATTTTCCACTTTTTACCACAATTATTTTTTTTTTATTCTTAATAAATATAAGCAACACTATATCTTTAAAGAACATCTGGCTCAAATATGCTTTAGCATATTTTTTTTGCACTTTTCAGTATTATTTATTACTGAAATATATTATTAACCCCTTTTGGCCTGCAAATAAAACATTTCATAGGTTTATTTTTATGTTGATCTCTCAATATCACAAACATTCGATAATTTTTGTTTTATACGTATGTATGTACGTACATATGTAAATTCTTCGACAGCAACAAAAAACAACTAATAATTATAATCCCATGCGATAATTCATAATGAAAATGTTTCTATTTTTAAAATGCCTAGATTTTTAGTTGTTGATATTTTTTGTATGGAAGGTCTTGTGTTTATGATTAGCTGACAGTTTTTATTCTATATGTTTTTTATCGTCGTGTTTCTTTTCATATTTTCTCCTACATTATTTGGGATAGTATGCCCGATATTTAGTTGTGTTTATTCTTTAGCTAAATAAAAACAATCATTATTAAAAAGTGTATGGTCACTAGTAAATATATAAATATTTCCGCATCTTCTTCCTGATTCCTGATTTATAGCCCCTAATTATATATCTAATATATTAAACTGTCGAATTAAACATACGTATAGTATATTTTTAAACTCATTTAAAGGGTTAAACCCATTTGGCAAATGTAGACTTTCTAAAATCAGTATTCACTTTTTTTATATTTTATAATAATAAAAGGAATTTCAAAATGCGCATTACTTGCATTCAAATCAATTTTATATATTTGAAGATCGAAATCTATTCATTTCTGAATTCAATTCATTGTGTTTTATTTTAGTTTTTTCTGGTTATGGGAAAAATAATGAATTAAAATCCATTTAGGAAAAAATGTTGCAAAGTGTACAACATCTTAATTGATCATCTCCGAGCGGTATTTTTTCTCATTTTGCTTCGGTGTTTTTCTTTTTGAAATATTTTCCTGTATTCATTCTTCACGTTTTTGTTGTTGTTTTCCTTAATAGAATAACAATGCTTTAATTGATGATATGCTGCCCGACGACGACGACGATGATGATGGAGGCGATGACAATGACAGTGAAAGTAACAGCGGCGAAGAAGATGATGAGGATGAAGATGCCGATTACACATACGATGAATTAATTAAGAAATATAGCGATTATGAAGAAGATGATGACGACGATCATAACAATAGTCGAACTAACGAGGACGACGATGATCTTTTTGACGACGACGATGATGATGACGATAACTTGTATGGTGATTATGGAAAATTTGTTGAGTCCACCAAGGAAAAACGGCAAAGGTATGTTAACATTTAATTTTATTTATGTTAACTACGTTTTGATAATTAATTCTTTGTATCGTTTTTATTTAAGGAGACGAAAAATTCGTTCTTTGTCTGAGCTGAAGGAAGAAGCAGATGAAATTACATTAGAAACTAGTCGTCCCTCAATTCAAAGGTAGGTTTTACATTTTAATTGAAAATAAAGTATTATAAAGTTATTTCTTATATTACACCAGGTCTTACAAGCCCCTTGTCGCTGCAGAGAATGCTGAAAGACGCCGCAGTCCAATGAGATTATACAGTTCTCGTAGACGAAAGTTTCCAATGATAAAAAGCGGTACGTTGTATTTATTGTTTCAAAACTAGATTTGAGAAAGGAAATTATAAGTGAACAGTTTGTAAATGCCTGTATTGTAGAACCGTGTATCTCTTTTGTGTCTATAGGAAGACTTATTGGGGAGTTTTCATATAATCAGACATTTCTTTATATAAGTTGAGTGTCAAGAATGATATCTGTGATATGAATCAACAATCAAATACTTACATTTTCCACAAAAAGGTTTTGAAATGAATCCATTTATATTTGAATATGATCGTGATATTTTCCAGGATAGAGGATTAAGTAAAAATATTTATTATAAAATTCTAAATATGGGATATATTTAACTCTATATGTCATATATCCGCCTTCTGTACGATATAACTTCTCGTAACGGAAAATTATCAGAATATTCATAATATTCGCTCTAACAGACAAAAGTTTATACAGTAACATTTGTGTAATTGGGAAACAATACCAATAATATTATAAATGGTTTTTTGTAGTAAAGATTGTCGAATATAAAATTAATTAATTTTGATAAATAATTCGATATAAATACAAATGAACAGAAGTCGGTCTAACTAGCCCAATAACCCTAATAAACCACTTAACCAATAGTAAAAGCGCCTGGTATTTTTTCTCTAGCTCTTTTTTTGAATAGAGATAAACACAAAATATTGAAATTTTTAATTTTATTGAATATTGTTACACATGATATCTACAATAAATCGTAAATAAATAATAATCATTTTCAGATAAACATTTAATTTCAGCTAAAACAGTAATATCACCAAACAATGCTTTGAATGAAATTGAAACCACTAAGCCGGCCGTTCATTTCCATCTAACGCACAAATTGCCAAATCATCATTCATCGGTTCGAGTTCACTGTAAGTATTTATTACAAATTATAAGTATTTGGCATTCGTTTGAAAGTGCAAGAAAATTATGTTTAAAGATTAAAAAAAAGTACATTTTAATTTGAACTTAAATTTTTTTCATTGCAGCATATAATGGTGATTTGTACATTGGAAAACCAACGTGGACAAATGAACGAGAATCTCTAGACACATATTTTCACGTAGAAAATGGTGTTCTGACTGTCCACGAGCCGGGTCTGTATTATGTCTACGCTCAAATATGTTATCACAATCATCATAATCAGAATGGTTTCATTATATTCCATGGCCACAAACCATTCCTGCAGTGTCTGAGTCACATATTTACGAACAATAATTCGGTTATCAATACCTGTCACACCAGCGGCCTAATATATTTGAAACGTGACGAACAAATACACATTCAAGACTTCCATACAGATCGTAGAACTCATCTGCAAGAAGAAAATAATCGAAGCTATTTCGGATTGATTAAAATTTAAAACTCTACACTCGGATAATCATTTTCTATTTTATTATATTCTTTTTATATTACTTAAATTATTGTTAGCGTATTTAAATATATAAATGTTTAATGAAAACAAACACAATTGTATTTATCGTATAAATGCACTAAATCTTATGCTACCACGTATGTGTGGAATAGCTTGTTCAGTTATATACAATGCTAAAATCCAATAATAGATCGTACTAAAAATAAATTATTAAAACGAAAATTATTTTTTCATATCTAAATATATGTATATGTATGTAGTCAATAAACGGAATAATTTTATGTGAATTAAAATACAATTGGTATTTTATAAATACTACATGGCAACCCGATTTTGCGTATGGACTGCGCACGCATATCGATTTAGGATAACCACTCTCACAGCAAAAACTTCTTCAGTAGGCATAATATGCCGAAAGGTGTTGCGAAGAAGAAAAAACACAAAAACAAACATAACTTGGATAAATTCCTCGTCGTCTCTTCATTCATGGATAGAAGGATGTGACAAACATACAAACACACATATACGCCATGAATTGCGACAAGTGTGTGTCCCTTTTATCCGCAAGTCAATGAAGACTGTGTATATTTACATAAAATACGTAAGCATCAGGCCAGTAACACTCATTCGACAATAAGTACCCTAAAGGATAACAACATCAACGACTGGCTGGCACTATTGACCAAACAAGAGTTGTCGTCATATTAAGACACACAAAAGAGGGACAACAAGAGAGAACATTCTCAACAATAAAAGAATATTTTGCAAACAGAAAAAAATTCTAAAGTGAACCCACGCAGTGCTAAAACAAGACATTTCCTAGTATCTTTATAAGAAAAAAACTCACTTTACGTTATTGTTTCAAATATGTAAGTACAAACTTTCTTATCATCTACATTATATAAAAAAAATTATTATAAATGAGACACTTTGGTAAAGGTTAAAAGTCATAAAGCATCTGTATATACGAAAATATACCCCCTATCTTTTGGGGGAATACCAAGTGCAATGTTTGCCTTCATGTGATGATTTTGTATCTATCCACCCATACAAGGAGTGTATTGGGAAATTTAAGTGTGAATGCATAATTTGTTATTTGGTTGTCGTCGTTTTAATCCTCAACAAATTCGAGTCAAATTTTGTTAATTCCACAACTATAATTTGTAATAGTCTTTTTAAATTTAATATAGACGGCTGGAGGCTAATGTTGTTGCTAGTCTTTACTAGTCGATGTATAATTTATGTTATTTTTCAAATGCCATTCTGGATTAGTTTTGTAATCCAATAGAATTTAAAAGAATGAAAGAAAGAAAAAAGATGCTTTGGTATGGAGTAATAGAAATGTCAATTTGTGTTGTTATTGTCACTGAGTACACAGACACACACCTACATTAACACACATGTCGATTATTTTATACATATATGTATAAATGTTTATATGCGACCGTATATCAAAGTGTATATATGTACGAAGGAATGTTTGTGTGAATATACATTAAATGCGATGACATGCGGAATGCCTTTGGTCAAATTAATCTTCAGTTGGTGGTGCTACTCATCATTGACTGCTGCACTATGGCGCTGAAAATCGCCGTGTTTTTTAGTGTTTTTTCACGGATTTGCCTATCTGTCTGTCTGTCTGTCTGTGCGTCCGACAGTCTATCAATGAATGTATGCCGCTGACTGAAGTGATACCTGTTGATAGATAAATTTCTGTACTCAGGCGCACATACATAGCTACATGTGTATTTGATAATATGTTTTTGCATCGATATACATATTTATGCATGGAATTGTGTATACATTCCTTCAGTTGACTTGATTATCATCTTGTTTTGTTAAAAAAAGAAAAGAACAACAAGTTTTCCCTCAAGGATTTGAATATTCAATTCAATTAAATATTATGTTTTATTTTTATGACATCCTTACATTTAATGCTCCTCCTCGGGGCATTATTACAATTTATGTTGATTCAATGCTATTCGTGTTGTTAATGTGCCCGGTATTTATTAAAGACACAACAAATTATCTAATTATGCAGGATTTTTCCTGGCTAGTTTGAAATTGTCACAAGTATATACCAAATTATGATTGAAATAAGAAAGTACAATGATACAAATTAATCTAGGATTTAATAATGAAGGTAAATATAAATTAATTTTACCAAAAAAAAAAATGTTATGTAATTTTACCAAAAACAAATTTATGTTTTTCCCTCAAAATAAAGCTGGGAATAAAATTAAATATTTCCATCCTTGGAATATTGGCATATGCTTAGAAACAATATAACAACCAAATGTACACATTTTGTGTATGATTTATCAAGCGATTTTAGTATTATCATGATAATAGGTTTATTGAGATTCGGACACAATTGTCATTGAATTCAACTGATTTCTGACAGAGATTTAAAATATTTATATTTAAAATGAAGCTTGACTTATCAGTGTTCTTAACAAAATGTTATTTTACATTTTAAAAGTTTTGTGCAATATATTGTCTTATGAGTTCACTCATACCTTTCGCACAATCTCACAAAAGGCTACTGAGTACTAGTTAAATAAAATATATTTATCGGATCTGTTGATTCTGGTAAATATGTGTATAACTTATTTGTTTGCCTTGTAAACTATTGACCCTACACAGTTTTCTTATTTCGAACCTTATATTGGAAATACCAATTCAGTATGAATAATTCATGAATCGTTTTGAATGAAATTTCATTAATATGGACGAGGAGGAGGTATATTTGATATTACCCTTAACATATTCACACAACATTTTAAGCGATACCATCATAAATTATGTTCGAACGATGTTCAGTCACCTTGAAACTGAAGTCTAAAGGACTTTTTGTTCCAGTAATTGATATAAATTCCATAAAACATTTTTACGACCAATATACATACATATATGCCACCCTGCTTTTTGTACAGGGCTCCCCTCACAGGTGTAAACTGTTTCATCAATTTTCCGGCCATCTATCTTAACGATGCAGTGTACGCAACAAAAACAACCCTGACACTCAATTACTTTAGAATTCTTTGATGAAGGCATTCATAAATATGTATGCAATGAGAACATGAAAAAAATTTCCAACTTTATTTGCAATTATTTGCTGTGACATCTAACCTGTCAAAGATGTCCCTTTGTTCCGGCCCAACCATTCATCCATCCAACCACCCACACACACACACACAAACATCTTTGTTGATGTCATTAAGGAGTTCGAGGAAAAACACAATGGCATTCCAAACACTCAATATTGGGTACATTGCGAACGTCTAGTTCATATAATCTACTTAACGGTACGTGATGGAATGCCGAAATTCCAATATTAATATCAAAAGCCATCATAGAAAATGTGGTCAAAATATAATGTACACTAGTTGAATGCTGCCATAAATGAATTTGATTTATAGGATCGGATATGCCTGTATGTATGCATGTGCATGTGTATGCATTCATGGCCACTTAAATTAAAAAGCTCCCCTAAAATGATTTGGGTTAAGTAATGGCAAATGTCCCAAACCACAATATAATAAATACGTGAGCATTATTTTATTTTTTGGTTAAGTTGAAAGAGAAATGAAGAAGAGTATTACGATTTATAGATGCTTAGGATAGGAGCTATTACTTATACGCACCATTTAACCTACTTCTGGAATATGAATTTCAGATATAAAAATATTTCTACCGAAACAAAGGTTAATAGAATAGAGTTACTCGGATTCGTATTGCGAGATGAAACGATTTTAAATATGTTTTTATTATTTTTTCAAAAAACATATTTCGTTAGTAAAAGGTAATAATAAAATTGGGTCGAATCTTGAAAAAATTACTTAAAAAACTGTACTACGGCTTTTGACAATTGAACATTTTAGAAATAAAATTCACTACCAATTTTATTTTAGCAATATAACCACTTGATGTTTATTCTTAAGGACAACAATAAAATATCTAAAATGAGCAGGAACATTTTATATTTAAAAAAAAGACTCCGTAGTTAATATTTATCAATTCCATTGCATATTTGTCAAATAAATCCTCATAACCATGGTATAATAATAGAAGGTAACAGCAAGTGTTGTTGTACAACAAACGATACAACAACCACATGGAAATTTGTTTTTGTAAGTTATACTAGTGTCAACGTCATTTGACAGAAAAATGTAAACAAACAAATAAATTATATTTATTTTGAAAATAAAATATTTTCGAATCCTAAAAATAAAATTTGAAAAACATGAATGAAAATCTATCAAATTTATATTTCTATCGCTTCCACATCTTTCCTATGATTGAACTATGGCCACTTATATGTGTAACACATATGAAAGTGAAGGGAATTGCGAGTTATTCAATGAAGAAAGATTTGCTTCCTCAAACTTTCCCAACAGGCAGATTGAGTAAAATGAATACGGGAGTACATTTAATAAAGAACAATTTCGAATTGTATGCGTTCCCAATTTTCCTGTTGGGTGATTTTTAAAAACATAATTTGTCAAATTCATATTGACACAAGTATTACGTTGGAATCAAACCAGCTGGGACTTGCTGTTACCTTTTATAATTGTACCATGCCTCATAACGTAGGTTAACACTGCAAGAAGTTATAATGTAAATGCCGTTTTATACAAGTAACCAAATGATTTCCATTAAAATGGCAAAGGTTAAAAGACGAGTTGTCATATTATATCAATAAAACATTTAAGAGTCAGTAACAATATATGTATATCAATCAATTTAAAACAAATTGTATTGGAAAAACACCTTGTATGTATGTGTGACAGTCTTCAAAGAAAAATCTTAAAAAAGTGTCGGGTTTCTTTTCTATTATGAAATATTGTTTTTTATGAATCCCATTAAAAAGGATTCATGATACCATAAAAGCTTTTTTGAAAGCATAACACATAGCTAACAACATACATATGGCATGGTTGATTGGGTTTACATTTAACATTCATAACTTGTAATATATTCAAAACTTGTTAAAAATAATAAAATGAAAATATCTGCTTATGAATTCCAAGAAAAAGACCAACATGGAAACAAAAATTGTATTCTGGCATAACAAGAAAATCAAAAGAATGTGATCAACTAATCAACACCTTTCACACTTCATCTTCTTCAATTACAAGAGCCGCACACACAGCCTGATACAAACATCTACAGGTGGTTTAAAGTTAAAGGTTAACTAAAACAATATTGAGCCACGACTTTTTTCTTCTCTTTTGAGGTTTTTGTTTGTGTCCTTGTCTCTGTTTTTGTTTTTTTTTTTTCTTTTCTTAAACTTGATTTAACACTAAAAGGATGATTTCTATTATGCAAATTAATTCGAACCCCTTCCGGCTGTTCATTTGATTTAAGGCCAACAATAAGGTTACGAACACAACACCTTCTATGAATATTAAATTAGTGACATTGTTATTCCAGAATCCTTCTTCAGGCTTTATTATATTATTGCTGTTCTGTCTGTTTTCAGCTTAGCAACAGGTTAGCTGAACAGCATAACCATCAATATGAGACGCAGCACAACAATTTTATTCATTTTATGGATGGTAACCATATCAAGTGGTTGGGCACAACGTTCTCCATTTTCCTTGCAGGCTGCCGTAGATGAATTACATCGCCAAGAATATCCTTTGAATTATCCACCCGGCCAACAATCAAGATATGTGGCAGGAGCATTCGGTTCATCGCCAGATCAGGACTATTGGGATGAAGGTAATAAAATATATCTTTTTGCATGCTGATAGCTATGATTCCATGTGGCATGTGTCAACATTACCATTGAATGTTTATGGGTTTGTAAACTATGAAGACTACTGCTATAGGCTTTAAAGGAAAATAGCAATGGATTGATTAGAAACTAAATTTGAAACGATTAAATGTTGTGCACTGTGCTGTTATCTAACATACCACAATAAACATACTAGGGTGGTATATATTCATCCTATGAAAAGTTATTTATCATAACATTATAAACAACATATATCTACAACATATGATAACTGCACACTCATTGTGCAGAAACTCTACTTTATTTATAGACCAATGGCAATTATTTTTAAAGGCTTAGTAATTTAAAAATTACATCTAATTACAAATCAAAAATATAACATTGATGTAAAATATTCAAATTTTTATGCAAAAGTCAAAAGAATTGTAATAAAATTGGTACTATGCATATTGTTCATCTGTACACATTCACTTTTCACTTACGCACATGTACTGTGATTTGCTCTAAGATAAATATTTATTTTGTTCAAAGTTAAATAAAATTAGAAAATGCTAGATTAAAACATACATAAATATACATATTCGTGTAAATTGGCCTTACCAAACATCAATCCCCTTAATCCATGATTTTTATACCCTGCACAATAATTACTGGCACATCTGCAAACGACTTTAACACTAGAAAGACTGGAATTTTGTATATACCTATATTGCCTAAAATCGGTCAAAATGACTTCAATCTGAAAGAATTTTTATTGTGTAAAGAAATTTTTTTAACTTATTTTTTAATATTTTTTACATTATTTACAATCATACAAAACGTTATTTTTATTTGTTTTCGGTGGGAGGGCTCTCGAGTTTCCCTTTTTAAAAAACAAGAGCGCGGACAAAATGTTCGAAAAAGAGTAAGTGTTTACTCTAAGAGTGAAATCGACTGGAAATATAAAATTTATTTTTCTCGATTTGTGTGTTTGTTTGTGTTTCTAGAGTATCAAACGGTTTTCGATGTCGTTGTTCTGATCTGGTCATATAAAAAAATTACTTTATACAATAATAAAAGTAATTTGATTATTTAATATTTCACAAGAGGTCAACATGGCCGCTTTTAGGCAATATAGGTATAGCACATGTAAATACGGGGAATGAAAGAGGGGAGGAAGCTGCTACTATGATTAATAAACGTAGTTCTTTGTGGTACAAAAAGTCAACAAATTTTAAAAGGCTGTGTCATAATATACACAATTTTTTTTGTACTTGAAATTGAAAAACAGTCAAAATGACCGCCTTCGGCAATCTAGTGTTAATCAGTCACCCTCGAACTTTAATGTTTGTTTTTTTGCCAAGATGCATGCTACCACAACTATTTGTTGGATACAACACACAACAACGCAAACATAGTGTCCCTCCATTTCCCATGCTTTTCATTATTTGCTATTGAATACACAACACTTTTCCTCTGTTCCCTATGTATATCCCCATTTTCTTAACCAATTTCCAGACGCCGCTTACACTTTCAACACAAAGAAACAGCGAAATCGCATAAATAAACAGCTAGCAAAATATTTGGAACGTGAAAATTTTGAAGCCGATCGTGGTGGCTTAACACTCGGACCCTTTGGTGGCTATGAATTTGATGCAGATAGCAATAGGCTTTCATTGCCTCCGTACACAGATGAACGTAAACGTTCATCGGTGTTTAGGGAGCGCAGTAATTTCTATGGTAAGTGAGTGTAATAAAATCAGAGGCATCGGACAACAAATCACGAACTAAGTGGGCGTATAAAATCGATTCAATTACATCATCAATTCCATAAAAATTCCATCCATATACCCCGAACCTGTTTTTGTTTAAAATGCATTCCATTGTATCCGTATAATTCGAATATATTTTTCAGATGAAAGTCCAGCTTCGATTTTCCGCGAGCGTGAGGTCCCCGATAACATTGATCGTTCTGAATTGACTGACCAATTTTTAAGAGAAATTGAACGTTCTCAGGAACATGGTCATCAAGACCGCTACAAGGAGGCCTTGCGCAACCTTTGGGAAAAATATCAACAGCAGGAAAATGAAATCGATGGCGATGTCTTTGAGGAACAAAAGAAACGAATGCGTATGCCACCCTATTACATGCTAATGCAAAAGAAACGTTCGTATCCGGTATTGCCGTGGTTACCGGTCGAGCGTAGGAAACGTTTTCCAGTCTCCAAACGTTCTACCAATCACATCGGTAACGAGGGTCCCATGAATAACTTGGGCAAAACCGATGAAAATGTGGAGAGAGAATTAAGTGAACTATTCGGTACCGCCAATGATGAGAAAAAGAAACGTTCCATAGATGATAAACAGCCCCAAGCATCGGAAACTACACATGCAAGTGATAATGCCGCATCCACCAATACAGCTGATATGCGTTTAGAAGCGAATACAAATTCAACGAAAGCCGAAGAAACTAAACCTGTTGCCACCACAATGGAGCCAAATCACCACCAACATGCGGGTCATACAATGGCCGAACATAAGCATGGTAAACGCAGCAATCATCCTGCCTCACACGAAAGTCACGAAGATGAGGGCGGTGAAGAAGAGGAGGAAGATTCGGAAGAAGAACATGAAAGTGAGGAAGAAGATGAAGAGCACGAACACGATCACGACCATGAGGAGGACGACGAAGAGGCTAAGAAACGTAAAAAGAAGCGTGATGCTTCCGCAACATCTTCTTTTCCCTCTTCGGCCAAACGCAAGCGAAATGCTGCTGCTCCACTGAGACGTACTCTGGAATCTATGACAATGCGCAGCAAAAAATCTATTGATTGGTCAAAATATTTCGGCTTGGATCGTAAGAAAAAAGCCATGAGTATTGGTGATTCCAATAAAACGTAATTCAATCATGAAAACAATTGTTTGTTGTTATTATTTACAAAGTTTCATATTTTCCAGCGATGCTGATATGAAGAAACGTGATGCCGGAGAAGATACCTTGCCACCATCGGCCGGCGATGATGCTGACAAAAAGAAGCGTAACATTGACCCCACCAAATTGGAAAATATGAACAAGAAATTGCAAGCTATAGAGGATTTTATTATCAACGAAACAATTAAATACACTGGAGCGCACGAAGGTGTGTATTTCTGGCCAATTTCATTCCAATTGACTTTTTATTCCATTATTTACAACTTTCATAAATTGACAGGCATTGGTGATCCCGATGAAATTCAACGTCTTAAGGATCGTGTTCTTTCGCGACTTGCTACCGCCTACAGTTTAGAGAAAATGCGCCGAGCTCTAGAAAAATTAAGACAATCAGTAGAAAATGAGAATCATCTTACACATAACATCATTGAACCCGACTCCTCGGAATCTTCGGAAAATACTTCATTGGAGGCAACTAAACGTGAGAAATCCCTAAGCAAACCACCACAACCGATGATCAACGAAGACAAAGATGATGAAATTAAACGCAAAATGAAGAAGAGCAATGGTTTTATGCGTTATCCAGATGTTCCCAATGAATTTGGAGACTTTGAGGAAGCCATACAAGGACCAAATCGATATGAGACCTTAAACGATGCTTATTTGGGCAATAAAAACTATATTTTGGGTACCAACCAATGTCCCATTCTTGAGGTATGAATCGATTAATATTCACTTTTAATTGATTATAATATGTTCGTTTTATTTTAAAGTCAATGGCCCAACGATGCCGTGGAGTGGACCTGTTGAGCGGTGATATAAATCAAGAATTGTTGCCCCTGTGTGGAGTTCATCAATTGTGTTATTTATGCGTAAGTAAAATACATACCGAGTTGTGAATGTGAAAAATACATTTACACTTTTGTTTCGTTTTGTTTGCAGGGCACTTCCCAAATAGCCTGTGACTATCAGTACCTGGCCGAAGCCGATGCAGTTTGTGGTCCCAACAATAATGACTGTCAGGCAACTGCCCGTTCCGTTCTAATGATTTTGAGAGGCACTCCTGGACCCCAATTGGGACCGCGTGAATGTGTTAAGAATTCCTGTTTATACAGCGCCATGCGCGAGATAGGCCTATAAATGGCTGCTGGTTAAACGAGTCCGTTATGGTTGTTGCGTTTTTCGTTCAAGCTTTTTTGTCCACTGCAAAAGAAAAAGAGTGTTTTCATTAAATCTCAGTGTATTTAGTTTCTAAGTCAGGATCAAATGTAATACAACATCCATGAATCTATGGAAGTATAAACGAAACCGATGAAAATCAAAATTAGTGTTACACCCAACTCAGAAGACAAAGGAAATATTATTTAAAACCCGTAGTAACACGTTATTGATTCACAACCAAATAACCTAACCTACAAAAATAATAACTAAATAACGGTAGCATGTATAATTATTAATATTCTCATTAAAATGTCTATGTTACTTAGGTTATGTCAAGTTCCAATATCCAATACCTGCAAAACGGATAACGAACCATATTTTATGTGCAACAGATAATATTTGCAAATAAATTAAGCAAGGAGAGATCGGCATCAACATTCGTGTATCGACACTACCCCCGTCCTCACATCCAAAACACATGCCACCAATACAATACAAATAACACCCATTCAAACAAAATACGAGAGAAAAATCAATATATACCTATATATATTTAAATGTATTTATTATATATGTGAGTATTATATACAATAAAATAATAAAAATATTAAATTGAAAGTTATTTCAATTTCCCATTCATTAAGTGGCACAATAAATGGCAGCTAAATAAAAACATGTTAAAAAATCGGCATACTATATTTATAAACATTTGTTAATTTAAAAACAAAGGTAGAGTAGGGTTTTAATCGGAAGCATGCAGATTGTTTTGGCTTTAACTAGCTCTCGTACTTTTATCGTCCTTTTTATTATATTACATATTAATGAGTAAAATGCGCATTGTAATTTGTTAATAACCATTAATCAGAATCTTTTGCTATTGCACTATCTTTAAACCTCGGAGTCCACCTACAGCATCTGATATCCGCTGTTGGTATAAAGTTCAAATTAACTCCTCTAAAATGTAAAAAATAATGGAGAACGGACCAGTATCATGTGTTATGATGTCTCCAACAAAGGTGCAACAAAGAACTTCTCAGTGAAGTGGTATCGCTGGTAACGAAGTACTTCGATTTGTGATAAGTGGTTTTTGGAAAGAGGCTATAAATAGGTTTGGGAGAAAATATTCCTAACAAAAAAAGTAAGAGAACTGACGAGGATCAGTGGCGACATACGAGACTATAGTATTCCTTACCTTACCACTTGGTGGACAATGCCGTACTTTCGCCACTAACAAATTGTTGTTTTTATAAATGCAATAAATTGTGTAGACTATTATGTAATAGCAAAATATAAATGGTATCCCAAATAACCCGCCAAAAAGTACAAAAATATAGAGTTTTTAAACTCCAATTGGTAAAAATCAAAATATCGTTATTATTAGTTCCGCCTTTACACTCATTTCTATTTATTAGCTCCGTTTTTGCCCCTCAAATATTCGACATTCTTCTTCTTCTTTTCAATAAAAGTATTCACTGGATTTGATATCCCTCTTTTCTTCTTCTTGATTCATTAAGAATCGTAAAAAAATATCTCATTTCATTCCCATTATTGGAAGCTTCTCACAGTCACTCAGTATATTGTGGATATATTACTCATTTCATTTGTAACAGAGCAGATAAATACTACATTTAGCAATAACAACAAAATTGCAATAACTTCGAGAACAAATCGCATATCGAACGATAAAAACAACGAACGAGTAAAAAGATAAACAAATACTCAAGTGCGAACTACGACGTGTCTTCTTTTGAGTAGTTGCTGACATCACAAAAATCAAGAGTCAACAAACGCATCCAACAACACCAACATAAATAACGTTCTAACCAGCATCCATTCATCCGATAAGGCACGCGCACAATGGAAGATATCAAAGTGGATATGTCGGGCGACATGAATGTTCCCAAAACGGAACCAAAGCCCCAATTCGACTTCAGCACCTTTACTCAGTTTCAGAAAATACCCTCGCCCATGGAATTGGTGCAATTGACTCGCAAGTATATTCGGCCATGGTCGGAATTTTTGAATACTGGCAATTTCAAAGCTGCAGCCAGTATGCCACGCTTGACCAGCCGCTTTGTAAGAAATCTGGATTATTTCAAGAGCAATTACATCTTTGTTTTTATTGTTTTGATGATATACTGTCTGTAAGTTGATTGTAAGGTTGCGGAGCGATGATCGTATATTACATGTCACTATTATTTTGTCATTGCAGCATCACTTCCCCCTTGATCTTAATAGTGTTGGCTGGTGTGGCATATGCCAGCAATAAGATTAGAAAAGCCCAGGCCCCAGTAAATGTTTTCGGTCATCAATTGTCGCCAGCCCATCAAATAATGGCCCTAAATATTGCCTCAGTACCAGTATTATTTTTGGTTGGCGCTGGCGCTGCTCTCTTCTGGACACTAGGTAGGAAGAAACTCACGCTGTAACGTGACATCCTGCATATTTATTTTCTTTAACTTTTCTTCGACAGGTGCATCATGCTTCGTTATCTCATTGCATGCTATTTTTTATAATATCGATGCAATAGTAACGGAGGACACAGAGGGCTTCCTGGCGGAAGTGGTCTAAAGCGGAATCTTTTGATATGTGCGCATACACACACAAACATATTGCTACTATATTTTAACGAGAGGCCTTATTGAAATCTTTACTTATTTAGTTTTAGTTTCTAGTTTATACACTTTTTAACCGCTATGGTTTTTTTGTGAATAAAACGTATATATTTTGTAGTTATTTACTGTATATACTCCGGGTTGTGATTCATTCAATGTCAGATGCCCGACAAAGAAACACAAATTGTTTAGTTTTTTGTTTTTCTATTTTATGTCTCTATATAGTTGCCTTCAAGTGCAATGCATGCACACCATCGCCGTTTCAACACTTCAATACCGATTCGGAAGAAAGATTTATCTTTTTCATCGCGGTATTAGTATTATGCGACGAAATAAATAACTAAACCCCAATTTCTCTAATAACCTCATGGGTCGTGTGAAATTTCTTAGATCAGCAAACAGCCAGTAGTCACTGGGAGCCAAATCTGGAAAATATGGTCGATGCCGCAGTAATTGAAATTTCTATTTATCTAGTTTTAGCATTGTCTTTGGTGACCTGTGGCATGGCGCGTTATCTTGATGGAATATTATTATGTCCAGTGTCATCTTAAGTCTTTTTCTTGTGAGTTCTTTCTTAAAACGTTCCAATAAATCTATGTTGTAGCCACTGCCATTTGCATTCTCAACATGATCGATGAATATTACACCTTCAGCATCCCAAAACATTGAACAAGGTTCTCCATTTGCTGTTCGCTCAGATGCTAGATGGAGAGAAACGATGAATCCATGACCACATATCGACTCAAAAACTCAGTTGTTGATGTACCCTTGAAAGTTCGAAAGCACATTTTATAGTCGTTAACGCGTTGTAATTTGTGTTCAATATTCAGGCGGCGAGGCACCTATTTTGAATACATCTTTCTCATGGATAGATGCTGTTGCAAGATAAAACCAACACTTTCCTTAGATATCTTCACAATATTGTGGTATTTGAGAGAGTGGTTCCCTCGTAACCCTTTTCAAGCCATTGCTTTGCTTTAAGGGAATTTTTCTTCATCAGGAAGCTGTGCAGAATTAGTGCACGAAACTGTCTTTGGTCCATTTTGTCATTGGCTGTCCTTTCATTGGAATATGCCGGGTGTTCTGGAACTTCAATAGCATCCTTACATCTACATACACATCTGGGTCATTGCCTTTACATACTACATCATCGATGTTCCTACGATTACTCTGGAAATCAGAATACTACCGTTCTATACACTTGAGGGACGGGCTGAATCCTTGTAACACCTTTCAAGCCATTCATTCGCATGGACGGGATTTTTCCCACGAAAAAGCAATGTAAAATTAAAACTCGAAATGGTTCTTGATCCATTCTTTTTGACCAAACTTCCTTTGCGAGCCTTTTAGTGAATGGAAACCGATCTAATTCAGAAAAGTTCCCCATCCCATAAATGGCTAGTGGATGGTAAGACAGGTTACAACCCAATGTTTACGAATTATGTGTGTAAACATTATGTGTTTAGAAAGGGGCATGGAAGAATGTCAATCAGCTTATGGATTCCCCCTATAAAATATAGGGATCCGATAGTCGTTTTTCGACTAATCGATTTATTTCAATTGCGGACTAGTTTCATTCGAGAAAAGGAATGAGAAAAATTAATCTGGAAAATTGCCCAACACTAAAAATAAATGGACAACCTTTACAAATACCCTTATCAGTTAAGAAGATTACAAATGTACTATGTGGTTAATTTTTGTTGCCAAAAATACACGATTTGTATGTATTTGTTTTCCCTAACATGTTTAATCAATTACAGAAAGACATCGTACGAAAGCCACCTCTAGGACATTCATGCTTCATTTAAATTTTAAACAACCAAATCATCATTATACAAACCAAAGACAATCTTTATTTTTAAAAATGTTTTGTTTTATTATTACTTCATTACTCCCTAAATTGGAAAAAAGAAGAACGCCGAAATGTACATTTTGTGCTAAACACAATTCGCTTAAAAAATAGAACACATTAAATTTCTCAGAATACAAAAGGAAAAAAAAAACTATAAATAAATGTGCTTATCGATTTCAAAACGCCCATCTAATTTCATCGATCATAGATCGTTACAACGGCTTTGTTGAGGGCTAGGAGTAGTACCACAAATAACATTTAAAATCTTGTATCTTCTTCTGCTTCTCTCTATAATTTCTTAGTTACGAGATATTAGAATGTAATGAGCATCATTTTACGAGGACGCTGAGACCGATGATGATGTTGGATTTTTGGCTATACGCTGGGCGTATAGACGACGTAGAAGGCGGTTGCCACATAGGAATGTGAATATTGCAATGGGAATAAGCCAGCGCAATGTCTGGAACATGTTCAGTTTTAGCCAAAACACAGCGAACAGAACTAAAATGCCACCAAAGCCCAAATGGAATCCAATTGCACAGGGTTGGAAATTAAAATTGCCAATATTTATGCCCAACTTCGACCAGAAAACCAAAAGCAAGACCAATGGTGTCAAGCACAAACCGGTGAAAACATCTGATACAATGCGTGATGGACGCTTCTCAGGCACGCGGAACTGATGTTCAATTTCTGGCAAGGGAGCGCGTACGGTTTGCTTCTTTTCTTCTAGAAAAAATAAACACATTTCAAATTACAATAACTTTCTTGAAACATTTAATACAATTACTAACCTGTTTTCGAGACTGCAGGGAATTTCAGTTCAATATCTGCTACCAACCATTGGAATGAATTTGAAATTGAAGCATCACCGACAATCAAATAGATTTGATATACTCCTGATACATGATTGAAGTCTCCAGCTCTAGCCCCAATATCCATGTCAAATTTGTAAGCCTTGGAGCTATCCTGTTCGGCAATGTAAATGATCTCCTTGTCTTCTTTTTCATTATAGAAGCGTACAAATGTTTGGTGGACGGTTATGGGCTAAAATCAAATACAAAATAATTACATATAATGGGTATACAAATATAAATACACGAGCAACGAACCTTGGTAGCTTGACTTTCTTCAACCAATGTGGTTTTCAAAATAACTTTTTGAGTGTGATCGCCTGACAATTGCTCCTTCAACTTTTGTGGATAGGAGACGGGTTGTTTTTTAATGGCTGAGCTGGCATCCAATTCTCCTACACCAATTTCCAATTGTTGGACCTTCACTTTTCCTAACACTTTGAAATTTAACTTTTGAGTGTAGATTGAGTCAGCGGAAATTTCAGCAACATACAAAGCACGACTGGGTTTGTAAGTAGCAAGATTAGCGACATAGGTGGTCTTATCCGAAGATTTAGAGGTAAATGCAACCTTATCGGCCAAAACGGAATTGTCTTTCTTTAGCAGAACTTTACCAACAACAGTTTGTGGTGCTGGTGACAAGGGTTTACCCAAAAGGTCAACGATGGCAATGGTAAGTACGGGTGTCTCTGCAACAAGCTGGCCATTTCCAATTAATTGAATGCAGATTGGAGATACTTTGTTAGATGCAGACGATAGAGTCTTTAATGCTTCAATAAGAACATGGGCACCCTTGGCAGTTTGTACCGAACGACGAGAGAGGAAATAGTTGGCAAATTTAACAGCTTGATTTGCATCGATGGGCAAGGAAGTTCCAAAGGTTTTGGAGGCCTTGAATGCGCCATTAATGATCAACGAAGTAATGGTCAAACCACCTTCGAACTGCAAAAGTTTGCCATCAACCTCATCAGCTTGTACAATGGCATCTTCAATGCGTTCGGCAACGAAGGAAGCTGAGGGACCGAGTTCAGAGGCAACATTAAAGGAGTAGCCCAAATTGGTTAGAGTATCGTCCTTTTTCAAAATGTCTTGCAAATTTTTTACAATCTTTGCCTTGGTGGTATCGTCAATTTCCACACCCAAGTACTTGTGAGTGGCCACACGATAGTAGATTTCTTGGGCCGAACCAGCAGAACTCTTGAAAGCGGCATAAATTTTCGACAGCTGTTGTTCGGGCAATTTTTCAGTACATTTCAAATTCTTGCTAATTCCAATCAAGTAGAAATCTTTTTCAAATTCCTGTAAATGAGAATATTACAAAATCATTTGTGTTATCTTTTCAGAACACCACAGCGGACTTACATTCAATTTAGATTCTTGGTAGAACTGGTTGAGTTTCTGGCACAATTCCTTTTTTTCCTCGGGTTTGGTCGGCTCAATATTGAGGGTGGCATAGTATATGGATTGCAAATCGTTCGATGAGAACGCAGCAGAGAATACATTTTGGAAACGTTGTAGGTCCACCGATGACAAGTGGCTGTCGACCGTGCGTGCAGCCCAGGATGTGGTGGACGTGATGCATAACACCAAGGTCACCACCAAAAGTGACAAAGCTACAAACAATAACACAAATATATTTGTTAATCATAAGGTGTGACTCTGTTTTTTTTTCTTTGCTGTGACGCCTCTTGTGTCTGAGCGTTCTGAGCGTAAGCATATCAACCGGCATCACAACGTTGTTTCAACCGGCATCATTCACATTGTTCAGGGGCATTGGCCATTTTGCAGAATACTTACTTATTCTACTCATTTTCAGTTGCGTTTTTAATTGGAACTGTGCAGAGGGGTCTGATATTGCGACCAAATTATGAGAATTTAATGAAAAATTATATTTTTCACACAATTCCAACAAAATTCGTCTGTTCTTCGGTGAATGCTTTGACAACTATGGACACGACACGTCAATATTTTTTCGGTATGTAGTAGAGTTGGGTAGTTCCGGAACGAACTAGTTCATTGGAACTATTCCGAGAAAGGAACGAACGGAACTAGTTCCAGTTCTTTAATATAATTCCTTTCTCTGATCCAGTTCCTTTTTTGAACTATTTGAAGCAAAGGAACTGTATGGAGCATAGGAACTATAAAGAGCAAAGGAACTATATGGAGCAAAGGAATTATATATGGAAAAACGAAAAAAAGAATGATGAAAGAGAGAGATTCAAAAGAACTATGTAGGAGTCGGAACTATATGGAGCAAAGGAATTGTATGGACTAAAGGAATTATATGGAGCAAAGGTACTATATGGATCAAAGGAACTATATGGAGCAAAGGAACTATATATGGAAAAACGAAAAAAAAAAAATAATAAAAGAGAGAGAGAGATTCAAAAGAACAGTGGGAAGCCTCCAAGACACAGCCTTCATAAAATTCGCTTGTTAATCGTCGTTCTGCCAAGACTCAAGCGACGTCGTACGCAAACCTTCGCCAACAAATGGTCTGTTCCAGTACTTTTTATACCCTCCACCATAGTATGGAGGGTATATTAATTTTGTCATTCCGTTTGTAACTCATCGAAATATTCATTTCCGACCCTATAAAGTATATATATTCTTGATCAGGGTAAAATTCTAAGACGATCTAGCCATGTCCGTCCGTCTGTTGTAATCACGCTATCTTCTGAAGGAATTGAGATAGGGTGCTGAAATTTTGCATAGGGTTGTCTTTTGTCTGCAGGCAGGTCAAGTTCGAAGATGGGATATATCGGTCCACGTTTAGGCATAGCTCCCATATAAGGGTACCCCCCAATTTTCGGTATTTTGGGGTTCTTGAGCGCGTTTTTCAAGCGAATTTGTAGTAAATGTATCCACAAAAAATTATAAATATAGGTCCACTTTTTCTTGTAGCCCCCATATAACGGTACCTCCTAATTTTCAGTATTTTTTGGGTTTTTATCGTATTTTTCACCGAATTGGCTGTAATTTAGTATTTCTTAGCAGGTACCAAATCTCTCCACAAAAAAATTTAAATATAGGTCAATTTTTTCGGATATCCCCCATATAAGGGTACCCCCCAATTTCGGTATTTTGGGGTTCTTGAGCGCGCTTTTCAACCGAATTCGCTGCAATTTTGTACATTGGGTTCATATTGCGTACCAAATATCTCTACTAAAAATTATAAATATCGGCCCACTTTTTCTGGTAGCCCCCATATAAGGGCACCCCAAATTTTCGGTATTTTGAGGTTCTTAAGCGCGATTTTCAACCGAATTCGCTGAAATTTGGTACAGTGGGTTCATATTGGGTACCAAATATCTCTATTTAAAATTATAAATATCGGTCCACTTTTTCATTTCAAATACCTGTCAGTATACCTGTGGTGGAGGGTATCCAAAGTTCGGCCCGGCCGAACTTAACGCTTTTTCACTTGTTTAATAGTAAAGCTAGTAAAAGGGAAACATTTCAAGTCTCAGAGTACAAAATAATTTGAAAAGTTCGGGAACGCAAATCTAGTAAATATGCCAAAATTAGATGGCAATACTTCAAAATCAACATAACAAAAAGTTTACAAAGAGAAAGCCATTTTGTTTTGTGCTCTCTTAAATTTGATTCAATGCTTTACCAGTTTTATGGGTTCAGGAACGGTTTTCGAGTAAAAAGTTGCAAAACTTGTAAAATTAGTAGATTCTTTTAGGTTTTGGAACGGAGCTAAAATAAAAACGACGACTGAAAAAATTGAAAAACGTTCCACCTGCTAACGAATGGGAGGAGAAGACAAAATGGCCGATAAAGATGAACTCAAAATGGTATAACCGAAAGTTTACGAATGAGGTGGGATAGAGACTAAATGGAAACCGTGTTGTTTACGAATGAGGTTTAGGCAAATTATGATTAGGGATAAGTAAATCGACTTTCGATTAATCGACTTTTTGTATTGAAAAGTCTAATGCCATGTACAGATGGTTCGACTCTTAATTATGAAGTAATTACATAGTTCAAAGGAACTACATTAAGGAACTAGTTCCTTTTTAAAAAAGAAACGAGAATGAAAAAAAACTCTAGTATGTAGCTATGTTTTCGATTAATCGATTGTTTGTATTGAAAAGTATAAAAGTCGAAGTCGATAAAGAAAAACTCAAAGTGGTGGCAGGTTATTGCATTATTTTGTTAGAAATAAAAAAACAACAACAATTATATAATAATCTATAAAATTATAAAAATATGTTAAATTAAATATATTAAGTTTTTTGTTTTGTTGACAAAGTAGTAATTACTCGGTTACGCGTACTCTAAAACCGGTATTCCGTTTGGTAAAATTATTTCACTATGGCAATACTGTTTAGACTAACGGTTCATTTTGCAAAAAGATCGACAAGGAAAAGTTTGTGAAATGTAATTTGGTGAAATAAAATTAATTATTTACGGATAACGCGCACGTGTTTTTGTTAAGAAAAATAGTGTATTGCGAAGAAAAACGATTTCGGGTTGTGGTATTATATAAATTAGTGTTGTCGAGATGAAGTTTCAACAAATAAATGCATGTAAAGAAAGGGCCGTCACAATGAAATGCATAATGCAAAAAGGTCACTACTGCAAATGTAAAGTAATGTGTGTGTGCCTGTTTGACAATGACTTTGCCGCCTTAGCTTTTGTTTGTTGCATCTGGTGTTTTGTTTCTGCTAAAGTAAGAAGAAGAAGAGGAGTCATTGGTCACATGCAAGTGAAATGGACTGGATAATGGTATTAAATATAAATATAAACGTACCTAATGAAAGGGAATTCAAATAGTTTATGTGCGGGTTACAAAAATTAAATTCGGCTTAACGTAGACGTTTCATGGTATGAAATAAATTATAAAATTTCCTAGTTGATGACATTCAAAGGAGATGTGTACCTGTTACAATTTGATCAACAAAAACGAGTAGAAGAGAGCTTGAGAAAGAAAGAGAAAATAAGAATTGGAGTGTAATAACCAATATTGAACACGCAGCTATGATTTTTTAAAAGTGAATGTAATTATTATTATTGTAATTTGTGCCGGGAATTAATTAAAAATGCCACGTTTCGAAAAAAAAGGTCGGAGTCCGCTTTCCCGTAAACATTAAAAAATCTAATTAGACCAATATCATTAAACGGATGTGCGAGTGAGTGAGAATAGCTTTCAATATGATTGAAACGATAATAGTGCGGTGTAATATGTTCGAATAACAATTAGTACATTGTCATATCATTCGGTCGTGGTAGATTATTAAGAATAAATAAAAAAGCAATATGTGTGTTTGTGAAACGAGTGAGTTAATATGAAAGGAAAGTGTTTAAACAAAAAAAAAAAAAAATATTTATTTTAAAAATTAAATAAATAAAATAAAATAAAAAAATAAATAAAAATAGTTTAATATTTCGTTTCTTCAAAGGCAAAAAATTCTCATCTAAAGTTTGGATTTATTGTAAAAATGGTAAGTTTGTTTTTTTTTTAAAGTCCTATATAACGGCATTTACATTAGAACTTTTTTCCCTGTTAACCTACTCTATGAGGATCTATTTGACATGTATACAATGGAATTGACAATTGAAACCCAATGGGTTAACGAAATCCGGTACAATGTAATCGTACTTTATATTTCTATATAATATTAATTAGGAATACTCGAAGTGGAAATGTGTGGCCTTGTCTACTAATTTTGTATGGAAACGGGAGCTGTCGGCATGTTGAGTTCTTTTTACTCGGAATGAAGTTCTGAGAGATTTTGCCATGACCAGGCGGTCTGTTGAAAATGGTATAGAGGTAGCCACACTACTACTTCTAGGATTAGTCTACAATTGGTCTGTTCCCCTACTGCAACAATCTACGGTAGTACAAAATTAAGAAATTCGCTGTTGCAAACATAAATTTACTGTGAAAAAAAATTCATTTCGGGGGGGAGGGGGGTTGTGAAGGGGTGCCCCCCAGGCCCATGGGGTCTAGAACCAATATTTCGATGAGGCGCATTTTCACTGTATCAAAGTGTATACAACCTTATTAGCCATAAGGTTGAGGGTATAAAAATCCATTAAAAATTGCTGAAATTTGTATTTTTTTCTACAAGTCAAGTCAACTTCACGTGCCTTCACTTTTTTTAATTTTTAATAGTATTTAAAAACGCATCCTTAATTGTGGGTTGCAGAAATTGACCCTTACTATCAACCATGGAGATTATTTTTATTAGCTGATGGTTAATACTTAATACATATTCCGAAATTTGTTTAAAATTATTGGAACAGACTGCTCGACAAATACAACAAAGATACGAAATGGGTTTATAAGATTTCAATTTCTTGCAGAAGTTTATCTATCCTCATTTTAGACCTATTAAATCGAGCATCTTTGTTTTTGTTTGTGCCAAAATTACTCATTTTTGACTAATGCTCTGTAAGAAATTGTTTTTTAATCTACATTGAAGTAGCGAATGTTTTAGTGGAAATACTTATATTTGCACTAAAACATTATTCCCTTATTACGATAAAAATCGACCCAAATTGAAATATTATAACAAAAAGGCGTTTTGATTATTTCATTTGTAATCAACCAAATTGTTCTGTATTTTCTGCCACAGGTCTGGTAATAGAATAACGTTTTTTAAAATCTTTCGTAATATCTCCATCATTGTTCCACAAGGTAATTGCCGTTGTGCAATACAAGGGATAACGATTGATAATTGCCTCTTTTGCTTCCATATCCTCTGGTGGCATATCCTTACAGAATTCATCAAAATATTCAGTGGTGGCCTTATCATCGTCACCATTGGCTAGCCTTTCATTGTGGCGGATATATTCGTCGTAAATTTCTTGCCATAAAAATTGTTCAAAACGTTGGCTTCGTGTAACTGAAAAATATAAAACAATCGAGAAATTTACGAATGCAATTCAATAATCCAAGATATCCCACCAGCTGCCTTTTTTAGTTTTGGCCGTTTATAATTATCCTTCGTTTCACTAGAAATTTCCGCATATTGTTCACACATATTTTCCGGATTTGAATTAAGCTGATATCTCTAATAAACAATGTTTCCTTTCCGAGAGTTTTCAAACAAATAAACTGTTGCCTGCTAAAGTTTGTTATATTTCTAATTTGAAAATAATTGTTACCATGCCTATAATACTTTACAAATCCATGGTAATTTATATTGAATTGTGGTAGGGGGTGGAGACTAAGTTGGGGAACGACGAATTTTTACGCTATAGAAAAATTTCTTGTGTGTGAAAATTTCAATTTTCCAATTTTATAAAATAATTGTAGCCTTTATTATTTCGAATACCGTAACTTATATTAACCCCGAAAATTAAAAATCCCATTTTATTGGACTGAAACATTAGTTGTTTAATTTTCTTATTTCTCTTGCAATAATAATACTATGTATAACACATACTATATGTATTCAAATACCAACTCTTAAGAATCGTTTTATCGTAATCTATTATGGAGTCTTTATTCGTAACAATTGAATAAAAATATCGTCTTATTCTAAACATTTGTATTCGTATTTTGTTCATTATTCGTTGACTGTTGGTGCTGTTGCTGATCTTCTTCCACCAATAGCAATACATCCTTCGGCTTCAATATCCAATAGTATACCAGAATTGTGGCCACAAAAAGTATTCCACTGTAAATAATGCCCTCAAAGATGAAACCAAACCACCAGGACTCGAATTCCTCTCGAGCATACCAAATCATTGTCATCGTTAGATTTTCGGCCATTGTTAAAAGGAAATACGCCACAAACCAGGCGCGAATGTGTTTGAATTTTATACGAAATTCCAATAAAACAAAAATATAAACGTAGGCTAGAAGAAAATAAAATAAAGTCCTGTTGAGCTTCCCCTTAAAGCGTGACTCCAAATATAGGGCAGCCAACATCAGCAAGTAGTGAACTCCCATAATTATTAAGAACGCTTTGGGAAAGAAGACACAAAAGGTGGAGAGCGACAGCATACGCATGGTGATAAACGCAATCCAACCAAAAAACGCTATAGTCTTTCCAGCAAAATCATCTTGTTCGATGCCATTGACCACCTTTGTGGGACGTGGTAGGAAAAAGTCAACAACATCTTTGGGTGTTCTTGGGGTTTGTGGTGGTGTACTGCCGGGTTTTTGTGCTGCATCGACCCGCTTGATTAGCATTTTAGGTGGCCTTGGTACCTTCTCTTTAATATACAGTTGAGCATTTACCAGCAACATATCCTTAAATGTTTCTAATTGGGAGAAGGGACGAGAACGTCTTTTGTAGCCCTCACTGCTGCTCTGTGTAGAGGTCTGACTACGCAGTTGTGGTGCGCCTACTGTGTCTCGATGGAAATGTGTAGTTTTTATGGGCGGCAGTGGTGCTGGACTGTTGGGCACTTCGTCGCATTCCTCTAGAATTGTTGGCGTAATGGAGGAACGCAATTTAATGGGTTTCAAATGGAAACTGGGACTTAATTGAAGTTTGTCATCGTCGGTTTTATTGTGATCCTCGGGAACATTTAATAGGGCAGTTTCGTCATTGCTATTTTCGACACCAGTTTCATTGTCAGTCTCATCATAACCGTGTACCTGAACAGTGTGGGTTATGGGCTCAGAGATATTTTCTACACTTTCTGCACTTAAATTGCCAAGTGAGTTTTGGGGTACGATGGCATTATTTGTGATGATCGGTTGACTTGATAATCTGGCCTTGAAATTTGCCATAATTTTATCCGATTCGGGAAATTTATTTAGCGAACGTTCCGATTCTCTTTTCTTGCGTAAACATTCTTCTTGCAGACAACGATTTGTCTCGAGCAGTTGTTGTTTCTTTTGTTTTTGTTCTGGTGTTGACCAGGGATAATGTCGTCCCACCTGTTTTTGGCTTTCAAAACGCTGATACGTTGTGGTTATCGAGGCTAAGTCTATGGCAGAAAATACTAAACTAATAGCTTGAGCATTTGCTGGAAAATAGAAGCAAAGTAATTTAAATTCATTTTTTGGAAATTCAAAAAATAGTTTAATGTCCTTACTTGTTTGGAAATTTCGAAACAAATCCTGGGTCAACATGTGGTACAGTTGCAGAATTATCTGTGGTGCTGATTGTCCATAGGCCTGTATCAGGCGATACAGTTGAAATGTTGAGCATTCCTCTGCCCTTTCCAGACACAGCATTCGTTCCTTATCATCATCGTCGTGAAACAAAGCCTCTATGGACCAAAAAACACTTTTTGAGAATCTGTGGAGAATTGAAGAAGGAGATTAATTGGTTTCCCTACATTTTGGTATTTGTTCCGAAAACACCTAATTTGATGTATTTTCGTTTTCTTGCATCTCAGTTGAAGATATTCCCGCAAACATTTTTAATTTGGCTGCACATTTTGACGTAGTCTCCCTAGGGAGGCCACCACTCATTTCCATACACATTTTCAATTGTCAATATAGGTTAATTTTTTTTTTTTTTGGAATTGCCCCTTTATAACTATTTGCCCAAATTGACTCTCATTGGGGGATGTAATATATATTTTCCATTGTCTAGAACTTCTGGGAATTTGATTGATGCAATCGATGACAAAGTGGATTTTCTTACAGTTCTTTACTTTTTTCTTTGTAAATAACATTCTTACTTTGGGAAGTACCGGTCCAAAGGTACAATATATATGTACACATAGATGTTGGAACAAATTTACAGTCCATTAAAAAATAATATGTCTGGCAAATTACAAATACCTTAAGATACCCTCTTATCTTTTTTGACGAACATTAACGGAAGTAAATTTCGGCTGTTGGGATAATAACTAATTCGCTTGTTGTGGTTGTTTTTTTTTAGTTTTGCTATCTCCGCTTTCATTGTGAACTTACCGATAAATAACAAAAAAGGGGAAGAAGATCATCTGCACCAATTGTTGGCATACAAATTTAACGCACGTTCCATTTCTTTTCGGCTCCTCCCACTGTGACTTGGAACACAAAACTATAATGAAACAAAACACCGGCGGTACCCATATCAGGCAGGCAGTGGCCCAACCAAAATCGGCTTGATGTGACTTAAAATGCTGGTAACTCACGGCACAGTCACCCGTAATTTGGGCTATATAGACTAATAATTCGAGAATGTTTGGTATAATGTAGGACACATAAATACGCGTTCGCGATCGTATTGTGTAGCCTAATATATGATGTGGAGGATTACATGTTGCTGCTGGTGGATCCATCCTTAGTTTTCTATATTTACATCTGTCTATGAGGACGTCATGCGTTTCGATAGTTTTCCAATTACTAGCTCATGTTAACGTTGCGAAATTGTCGAAATAACTAAACACATTGGCGCTATGAGTCAATATTCTGGAGTAAAAATATTGGTTAACTGGTGCTCCCATGCTCTCTTCAAAAGCGCTAAAAACTGATAAGATAGCATTGGGTGTGAAGGCAGTTTGGTCTTTTGTTTACACCGATACACCATTCTGGCCAATTTGTTTGGGTCTTCTTATCGTAGGACGCATCTTAGATATGATATCTATGTTTGAGAATTGAGAATTTCAGACATTTCAGAGAGAACGAATGACCAAGGTAGAATTCTCTTCTTTAAGCGATAATTTTTGCGCTCACGTTTTCCCTGTGCCAGAGAACTACCACACTTGTCAGCACAATACACAATTTTTTTGCCATTATCTGATAACACAAACAGGTGAAACTCAAACACTCAGACATCTTGGACTTAACGGTGTATACTTTCACATTAAACCCATCCAGACCGTCAATCGGGGTCTAACTGTAGATATTAATGTATTGAAATTTCGATATAATTGATAAACGTAAAAAGGGTTTAAATTGGTTGAGGAATACTTTAAAGTTTCGGTTTTCATTGTAAATTAATTTTGAAATTTAGCGGAGCGAATTTCAGTTGTCGAATATTACACTGTGCAACAAAATATTGGGGAGGGGTATGTGCTTTTCTGGAGTTGAATATTATAATATAAAAATTTGGGGGCGTGAGACATTCGTTTTGGTGAATGAAAGCCATTAGTGAGTATTATAGTAGCTCGGACGGCTAATTCGCAAAAGGTCAGTAACGTAATATTTTTTCTGAAGTCTATAAAAGGCTTACAACGATTGAAGACCATTTTTTATTCCTACAGCGAATACAATACACTGATTGACACTTTGATTAGCTTGCTTATTGTTGGTAGTTGGTTGGCATTTTAAATTTTTATTTGATTTTGTTGCAATTTATCACCCCGCAACATTTAGCATCAGATTTTGCTATGGCTCTAGAAATATCCCTTTCATTAAAAATATTTTTCATTCAGTCATGTATAAATAATAACAAGTCCAGAAGAATCATTCAAAGATAATTTTATTTCATTATCAGGTGGCAGTTTCTTTTGAAATATCTATTTTATTTTTTCAGTGTGAATATTTTATCTTAAAAAACTATTGTTTTTGTTTATATCCAGTGGGCAAGTTTACTAGGTTTCGGATCTAATACTACAAATGAATCGTGAATATTTTCCGCATTATAGGCAGCATCTTTACGTTGGGTTAATGTATATTTAGGATTTCCCTCTATTATCGAGGTATTGGAGCGACAATTTTCAGCATTTCTTAGTGCCGAATCGCCAGCTCGACGACCAAATCGTGCAGGTTTATATCTTATTTGGGTCATATTTTCCATACCAGGCGAAGAGGACTGAGAATCCAATATGGAAGTTCTACGTTGCCGATAATTAGTACTCGTACTGGCCGCCTTTGCATGTGGTATAGGGGATTTTCGATCATTACGAATTAATTTCTTTGCATCCTTGACGGGCATTTCGGGTATGGCTTTTTGTGTCGGAGATCTCTCTCGTAATTGATATTGATAACAAGCCTTTCTGTATTCGGGAGACTGTGTGAATTCAGCATCGGGTTCTATGATACTTGGTATTGGTTTCAAAATCTCATCTTCCTCATTGAATCTCGAGGGACTTGGACTGGGACGTTTGGGTTTTGGGGTGGACTTTGTGGTCATGTTGGTATTGGAGGTGGGCAAACGAAAACTGGAAGTTGGTTTTGTTACAACTGGCCTTGAACGGGGAAAATCCACATAGGTGTTTCTATATTCCGGATTGAATTCCAGCTTTCCCTTCAAGTGTAGATATGGCTCACGACATTTCCCTTTCTCGGGCACTTGTTTGACCTGGGGATCACGGAAGCTCTCGTAGTATTCTGGCACATCTTTTGAAAATTGTCCATTCGGCCTCAGATGATCCTCTGTCTTGAGAGGCTTTTCCTTTTCGATACCCCTTGGAGGTTGGTGGAATTTTGCTCGATATTCTGGCAAAACGTTCTCGTTTTCATTTGTCATTTGAATTTCAGAGCCGGACATGCGTAAGTTGTCCGCCTTTCGTATGGCTTCCGGTTTGCTGTAGTTAGCATACATTTTGAAATTATCCTGATATTCGGGTATGGCCTGGAAGTTACCCTGCATTTTGATATGGCTCATTTGAGGTATGGAGTGAGCCTTTTCACTGGCTGATGGTGGGACAAATTGTCGTTTATATTCTGATGGAGAAACTTTGGGGTCTTTTTCATCGGTAACCGCACGTTTTTGTAAATGACATTCCTGTTGCTGTTCCGCGGCACGCTCTCGTTGTTGCTTATCTTCCTTTAGTTTGTGTATTATTTCGATTTCGTCGGGACTAGTATTCTCGACTACCTTGGGCTTTGGCGGTGAATGTATACGAAACATTTCACGGGGTAGTATTTTTGTGGCACGATCTACCATGGGATAGGTTATGTACGAAGAACGATATTCTGGTTCCATTTCAAAGGGTCCAACTAATCGGAGACTTTCAGGCTTTCGCATGGGAAATGAACGACAACTGTTGAAGGAAATTTTGATTGGGATTTGGGGGAATTTAACTCAATACACATTGACTAACCTTCTCCAGTCTTCTGGTGTAAACCAAAGATATCGATCCTGATGCTCTGATCTATTGAAGGGCATTAAACCTTCCAGGCGTAATGATGTAGCACGCCTTAGGGACTGTGTTCGTTTTGCCAGTGGTAAATGCTGGAAATGAATGCGATATTCCGTATTCAATGTTCGTTCTGCTGGTGGAAGATCTTTCTCATTACTCGAGGCAAGAGGGTGGGAAAGACACAGTTGGCTTTTGGTTAAAAATTCCGGTGGATTTCGCCTTCGGTAGAATTTCAATTGGTCCACACAAATGTATTCGTGTGGGTGTTTAATGGTGAATCGATCACTGTGTTTTCTGGAAACTGACAAATAAAGTAATGCATTTATGGATGTAGATAAAGCTTCTAGAGATGTTTTGGTTGTTAGCTCACCTGCCAAATTCGGCTCAGAAATAGATAAACGATCGCTTTCAAAACTGTATCTGCAGATAGAAATTGAATAAAAAGTAAATTATTTCATTGCTAAGTTAAGAAAAAAAAAACAAACGTAAAATTGCAATCTAACATAAATGAAAATGATCCTTGTTGCTTCAATATGGTCTCGTCTAATGCCGTCTAACTATTTGCAAAGTTCAAGAACAACTGAACTTTTAGTTTCCACTTTGTGGTGGTATTCCCTCAACCAACTGTGAACGCTCGGGACATGGCAATAAAAATCACTTCAATGTTTTCTTACAATTCTTCCTATTCAATATGAAGGAATTTTTTGCATGTCTTTTGCCATTTCATGTACAAATATGGGTACACGAACTGCACTGCCACGAGGGTCGATGGGAAATGTTCGGAAAGGGAAACAATAATTGCTTGTGAAAGTTAAGGGAATTACTTTTTTGAACATTAAAAAGGAAAAGAAGCAAACTTATTTTTATAAAATGAATGCACGAAAATTTTTTAATAGAAAAATTATTAATCAGAGATTTATATTTTTCAGGTGCAGAAGAATGGGGTTGAAGAATGAGGTTGCTATTGGAGTTCAGGTCGATAGACCTATAGGGTTACTATTGGGTCTATAAAAAACACTATTTCTATTTAATATTTGTGTAAAGTACCATATGCAGAGAAGATATAAATAATGTTCCCTTTTCATGAAAAAAAGGGAACATCAAGTTGTCTATATTGTGGATGGTAAAAAGTTCATCGTTCGGACTTTCCGAACGACCTTCGTACACTTCCTCATCTGTCTATGAATGAGTTGAATGAAAGACAGACAGACAGACGGACGGACGACATGAATGCCTTCCTACATTCATGTCGTTGATATTACTTCGTTTGGAACACATAATAACAATGTTGGCTTAGTAATCGCAGTTCCTATACAGCCACCTTGTCGTATACAATTGTGTCTGTGGTGACTTAGTTCACGGTTACATCGATGTAGGTGTGTGTGTTTACTCACACATTTTGATATGTTACAAGTTGTTATGATGTTGCTTAGCACTAAATTTAGTAAACAATTAGGCATGGAAAAGGTGTCGAATGTAGTGAAGTCTACTCTGTAGAATATTTGGTAAAGCTCAGCTAATATATATATATTAGATGTATTCTAACCCTCATTCATGTCTATGAGTTTCGTAGACTACAAGTAAAGTTTTACCCTATATTTGGCCTTGCCAGTTAATAAATTATTTCCAAAATTTATTGGCTCCACTGTAAATTGTTTGCCATGGTGAGTTAATAAATCGAAGTTCTAATAGTAGTTGTGTTATGAGTTATGGGCTACAGTGTTTTTGGGTATTTTTTGTAGTAGATTTTAGGCTAATTTATATTGGCAATATAAATGCAATTTATAAAATGGCATTTCATACAAAGTCAACTTAAGTCAGGCCAGACCTGAATTCTGGTATGTGTTTCCCGCTTAAGGTTTCTGAAATTATTTCCCCTCCTTACACCGATGTTGTTTGATGGCTCTTTTCCAAAATTTATATTTTTATTTCTTTATGCATTTTTTAAAGTATTGTCAAGTTATGTGTTCGAGTATTGGAAATATTTATTTGATCTGTTGCAAGCACTAAAATTTAAATAAAATAATAATAGAATAATATATTTATGCCATATAAAGTCTACTCTATCCAATTAAATTTATATTTGTTAATTTATTACGACCTACTGTGCAATTCTATGCATGTAACTTTCTCTTGCTTTGTAATAAAACTGAAGGGGATTAGATATCCATCGGATTTGGTTTCCTTGTGTTGCTTGGTGCATAGGTGTGAGAATAGTTGAAGGTAAATAACATTGTAGAATATTAACACCTTTACAGAACAACGCGTTTTGACTATTAAGTAGCAGCGGCAGTAAAAAGTAAGTAAGCAAAAAAAAAAAAACAACAAAGTATTTTGCACAGCTATGTGACTGGACAAAAACGTATTTCGGGTTCCTCTTTCACTGCTTTTATGTTTGGGACAACAAATTAATTGGTATAGTTGGTAAAGACCAGGAAACGTGTAGTGTTCCACTAAATGTAGAAAAGGGTACGAATGAATTGCTTTTATTCATTTGCAAAAATCTAATCTTAAATCAGAAACAGGAAGTAGTTTTTTTCGATACCGAAATAAGTGCGTTACTTGTGATTTGAATCAATGAAATTGCCAAATAAGCATGAAATGTGAATATAAAAACAAATGTGGGTACATCTACGTGATTTGAAGTTAGAATTTTGTTAGGTAGCTACCATATTTTTATGGCCCATTCAATGTTAACGGAGTTGTATTATGTTTATAACTTCTTGTAATAATGATTTTAGATTCATCATCTTAAGGTCTGATGAAGCTATTTTTACCATTTCCCGAATTACGTATTTCAAGTTATGTTAGTACACATGTATGTTATAACAGATAGGCGATATCAGACACACAAGGTGTATTTATATAAGGTGTAAGTGGCAATCAGACTGTTTTTTTATTTTTTTTTTGCATGGCCCAAATATCAGATCATCCAGCAGGCGAATTTTTGGAAATACACAATGTTATGTATTTTTTGAACGCGCACAACAAGATTTAAACATAGCCCTGATTTTATTTTAATAAATAATTGTTTTTTCACTACATTTAATAAACATTTTGTGTATTTTTTTAATTGGATATATTTTGACAAAAAATATAGTTATTAGTTGACCTTACTAGATGACCTAATATACAGACTTTTTTTTGTAAAATAAATTGTCAGAATATATTAGGGTCTTCACTTCAAATCATATTTTCAATGAACTTATTCTAAATTGGTTCCAAAACATACCAAAAAAAATAAGAGATGTATTTTAAATCGTGTCATTTTTAATATTTTTTCAATAATTGGTCTGTCCCAGTACTGCACGAATCGACTACTTTTTACTACGATAACGATTTTTCCTTTATGATATCGAAGAAAATAGTAAAATCTATTAGATTATTGCAGTACGGTAGCAGACCAAATGTTGTTATTGTAATATAATTAGTTGTTGTAATTCATGCATACACCTTATTAAATACAATTTTATCAGCCATTTGGGATTGGAAGTTAATTTTTGGCATTTTAAATTTTTAGCAAAAATAATTTCGCATGGAAATCGCTCAGGAGCTTTTAAACTCCGTCATGACGATCCAGATTATCTCAAAACTGGAGACTAATCATGGATGTTTGCCTATGACAATTAAACCACAGTTCAGTTAACGTTTGACCCGAAAAAAACAAAGGTATTTTCGTGGTCCAGGGACTCCAACAACTTGGTGCGTTAGAACCCCTGAATCAATTTTTGTTGTTGTTTTGTATCACATTGTTATGTATAGTCATGGTAAATGTAAGCTGGCAAAAGTTGAGGAGAAAGTCTGAGATATAAAAAACCCCATAATTAAAAAAACTCTTGCCCAGACATTAGACATATCTATACATTATGCACGTCGCCAAAAAATGTAATAACATCGGAAGCTAAAAAGAGTTTGATCGAAAATTGACTGTATTGGCCCATTCGTCCTGCTAGTTTTACAAAACATAGGTAAAATACAATACATGTTCGATCTTCCGCATCACTCCTATAAATAAAATATTACATTTTGGCACTGATGGGATCATGGATTTTAGTAACCTTGTGTGCCGATCACATGCCCTTTTCGAGAAAACGCCTTTTAATTTTCATGGTAGTAGTTACATCTTATATTTATAAATTTTAGAGGCGGGGAACATGAAAATTCTTATAAATATACATTATTTGGCAATTTTTGCCACTGAACATTGGGTATGCGTAAATTTCGAAGGAAGATTTTTTTCATTCCTATTTCGAAAGCTGAGTACTGTCAAAGGCAAATTTATGAAAAAATTGAAAACATATGACTGCATGAGACTACCTTGTATAATTATGCCATGATCGTAGGATATATCTGCGACAAAAACCCATCAACGTATTGATAACGTTCTACGCGTTCTCTACTTTTTTTTTAATATTTCTAATTCGAAAAGAAACAATCAAAATTATTACCTCACACAACGCCTCCTTGTTTTTACTTGTTTCTTCATTTCCGTTGACCATGAAATAAATCCAAGTTTTTATTTTGCCTTTGCCTTAATATTTTACTTCCTTAATCAACTGATTGACATTTGCCAATTAACTGTAATTGATTACAATGTCTGACATGCTGACCTTGTTAGCTAGCAAAATTCACTGGAAGACATGGACGAAATTGAAATTGTTTCATTTACGGTTATTTATTACGTTGCGAGGATTTTATTAAGCGACTATCGCTATGCGTTGGCGATATACATATTTCCGGCTACAAAAAATAAACCAAAAAGAAAATAAAGAAAGAATCACAACTGTAAATTTTTCACAAAAAAAAAAAAACAATCACAATTCTCTCAGTCGCTACTTCAGCTATGCTTTCTTTATTCCTGTTCCTGAAGAAAAAGAAGTCGAAAAAAAGAGAAACAGATTACGGTTCAAAATAAATGATGGTTTCTCATTAAATATTCGCTTGGCACGCAATGAGTTTTGCACAAATCAAATGGTCTTGGTTTGGGTTTTTGCTGCTGTTGTTGTTGTTGTTAACCGTATGAAACATTCTTTGAAGAAGAAGTAGGGGAAAAACACCATTCATCATTGTCCTTCTTGGTTGAACTGTTTTTATTTTAGGAAAAAAACCAAACTGCGAAAATAAAAGTGTAGTATAATAGGGGTCAGTTGATAATCATTGACCCAGGCATGGAGAAATTCTAGGCTTTGGTGTGGGTGAAAGGTGGCTAACATGCTCCAGCACACCGAGCTATACAATGCGTGCCACTGTGTGTGGCAATGACATGCTTTTCATATGTTCGTTCTACCTTCTTTTTTAACTGTGGTGTTTTGTTTTTTGTTTTATGAATTCTCGCATTAAAACACAAACAGGATGACTGGCGGCGGGTCAGTTACGTTTACATAGCAAAAGAAAAAAAATCAAGGTCAGTCATATCCCAAGAATTGTGCCATAAATAAAGTCAAGACATCCAATTCATTGTTAATCACTTAAGTGCGAATGCAATCATATGAATTAACAATTGTTGTACATAATTGTTGTGGGGGAGGGGCAAGAGGGAAGTTGGACACCGGATCACCATTGGTGGTAAGCCCATATTCCATTAAAGAATGTCTGGGCAACATGGCTTATGGAGAACCAATTTTCGTTTGTTTCGATTAGAAAGGAAGCATAATGTTGGTTGATGCCGTTTTTTGGGCAATGAGGCTAGGGGGTCTATAAAAAGATTCGTTTAACTGGGTATCTGGTTATTCATTATGTTTGCTGTTCCTCTATCTATACCATGGGTATGCCTAGTTTTGGTAAACGACGACTCTTAAAAAGTGCACCCTGATTGATTATTTAACCCTTTATGGCCAAACAATATTTTTTTGATTAGTATTTTTAAGAGAAATGAAAAATTTTAAAATTTTAAATTTTTGGTCAAGTTGTATGCTTTTCAATATATAGATGAGTGCAAACATGTGTACAGTACCGATTAGCGTATATAGTACAAATTATTTAAATCACTTCGTATTCGGAATGTACGAATTGTACCCTCCAAAATATTGTTCGTCGATATTGCATTTGTTTTTCTTGATATTGGACTTTTATTTTTCAGAAAGAGGGTGCTGTATCTCCCGAATGCAGGGATGTAGCGACGTCAACGTTTGTTCATATCGTATTTAAGATAGTCACATTAAATATGTACACAGAAAATAGTTCTATAGCCACGGAAACAAATTCGGGACACAAAGGGTTTATTAAGTGTAAGTAAAGTGTTAAGTCTAATTATGTGTATATGGAAAACCGGTTCCCATTGTAAATTTATAACGAATGATTTAAGCTTTCAACAAAATTCTTCTCCTTCCTCCTTTTCATCTAACGGAAATATGTACCTAGTCATCTTAACATTTCAATCAATTATCCCAATATCGATAAATAAAAGTCAATTCATTGATGTTAGTTTCTTTAAATAGTTTTCCTCATTTATTCCAAGTACTAATAAAAGAACATAAAACTATTTTGTTTTCTATTACTCTATTATATTTTGTAGGCCAATGACATTTTTGTTTAGGGAAATTAGAACAAAACACAGCAAACGAATATTAATTACCAATGATAACGACAACAACAATACGTACATGTGTATAAATAAAGAAAAAAATAAGTAAATGAATAATAAATACTATCAATACAAAGTTCAATTTCTGGGTCATTATTCGGTGCCATATTGACTTATTTCGGCATAAGTTTGTATCACCTCACACTCTCCCAAGACGGTGTAGAGGAAAAATAAACCATACAAAAGAATATTGAAGATACCGATGCAACGACGAATGTGGAAATTGGTGGTAATTGACCATAGAAGGGTTGCAAATAGTATCAGCAATAGGAAAACAAAACAATTCTCACCCAAAGGTCCGGAGGGAAGCTTAATTGAAATTAAAAGAATTGCAATTATTTTGTTGATTTTTAAATAAATACCAAACTCACTGGTTCATAACCCGTCTGGCCATACAAATTCTTTAACAGCATAACACAACCAATGCCCAGGAGGGTATCTAAAATGTCAGTAGTTTCTATTATCTTTCACAATAGTTAATTTATAGCAACTTACTGAAAAACGGCCCACCAATTGACGCTGCAAATGCCATTCTGGGATAACCATGAAATGCCAATGTGGCATCTGATATCAAATCGCCCACACCATTACCCCAGGCCAAGAGTGTACAACCCAAAAAGGAATTACTGCAATCCAATATCAAACCCAAAACATATAAAATCTCAACAGTTTCAGCAGCACAAGAATAGATGGTACACATTGACCCCACAGCTGAGAGTAGAGCAAAAAGCTAATCAGGCAAAATTTTATTAGTAGTGCAAGCAAAAATTTTAGATTGTAATATAATACCGCATGAAATTTTGGAGGTTCATCTGTTCGAGTATGCATAAAACAAAATACACTTAGGGGTATTGTGATAGCTAAGCTATATAGACAAAATTTCCAACATGGAGAACCACCTAAGAAATAAAAATGTATATCGTTAGCTAAAATGCAAAAAGGCGTAACTAACAAAAGCATAATTGTGTAGGAGAAGCAAAAAACTGTAGTATACGAATAATAGACTATAATTTTTTTTAACAAAAAACTTTTGAATTTTTTTTTTGTTTGCATTTATCAAATAAACCCACTTGTAAGCTCCTTTTTTGACCGCAGACGTGTAAAACTTTGTCAACACATGTAGTTTATTACCATTCACAATATTCATTGAAAAAGTCAATTTTCAATTTTTTGTTAGTTACGCCTTTTTGCATTTTAGCTAACGATATACCATATTAAGTCTGAAAAAGGGATATTTAGAAATTGAACAAGAGGGATTTACAATGAAGCCCCAATTATTGTAAAAAATATCGTTCCAATATTTTAATATAAATTAGCTCATGTCCCACGTAACGTATACATTACGGCAATAGTAATACGACCCCCTATACCTTTGTTGGAAACATATGTGATGCATCGTTCAAATGTATATTTGCATGTTCCAAATACATTTTATAACAAAATTGTCCATTTCCAATGAAAAGAGTGTCGCTTGGGGTGTGATCGACTGCCAGATATGTGACGATTCAGATATGTTCCAGAGGATCGTAAAGTAGATTTAACACAACGGGTCAAGTTTGGATGAATATTATTTTCACTCTGTTTACATTTTGTCTTTTAAATTTCATAATGGAAGTAAAAGTGAACTGAATAATATGTCTGGGTGTGATCTATTTGAAATAGATAAAATCTAAATTATTTAAAATTATATAAAGTCCTAAAATTTTAATATAAGGAAATTTCTATGAACAAATTTTACATTAGCTTTAATATAATCCAATGCCATATTTCCTAATATTTCTGACCCACTTGTGATGAGACTAAGCGTCGATCTCATTAGAAGCTAACTCAATTTTATGTATGTTAAAAGAAAGTAGTAAAACTTACATATTAAAATGAACATAATTATTGGCGATATGATAATTTGCAGACAATTCAATAATTTCGACCATCCATGGCGTTCCTCCTCATAGTTGACTATGGGTAGGAAAAACTGCAATGAACATACTATGGGGACTTTAAAACACAATATTGCCTTTTGACAGCCATTTGAAGAACACCATTCTTCAATTTCGAAAGGTTTTAAGGAATTCATAAATTGTTGCCATAAATTTCCATTGGCGTCCGACTGAGCGGTATAATCGAAACCATGCCTCGTTCCTTCAATATCCACAGAAGTGTGAGACAGTCGATGTACAATATCAATATTGGCTTCCTGACGCAATTTTGAATATCTTTTATAGGCTTCAGCTAGAGTGGGTGATCAGATTTTGATTAAAAATGTATAGAAAATAAAATAAAATTTTGTAGGGTACCACTTAAATTCCCGCTTTGAGCCATGACCTCCATGCCTATCAAAAAGAAAATTTCATGAAATGGAAAACTTATTTTTATTTTATTGGGCTTACATAGAACCTGGCGTTTCAAGAGATATTGATCCAAAATTATGGCAATCAGGTAGGCAACATAAATAAGAATTAAACCTTGTGACAGATAATGAATATTACTGTGGGAATAATTGTATGGCATCTTTACTTACAAATCGATTCCCATGTGGTAACATAACCATCTTTCATTACGTAATCAATGTACAAAATACCCAAAATAAAGAATGATGTATCCCTTAAAATATTACTGCCATCAATGCGAAAGGAGCGTATCAGACATATGACACCGCCAATAAATGCCGTGACATAAATCGATGAACCCAGCATATTTGAAAACAACGTGGAAGTTGATCCCTTGGCTCCGGCCAAATTGGTAAATAAATCCGGTGAACCATTGCCAAAAGCCAATAGAGTTACACCGGCCAAATGTTCGCTCATACCCATGATTTTGGACATGACTTCTAGGGCGGGACAAAAACTGTCACGTGACATTAGAATTGGAATCTCTGAGAGATGAAATCTAAACTCACAATTTATCTGCCGTTGTTCCCAAAATCACGAACATTATTACACACATACTCATCAGCAGAATGAGAAACCAATTCTGTTGTGAATCCGTTGATGGTTGTAACGAACAGTACAGAAGTTTAATGTAGTTGATAAAATATCCCTTGTCCAGACATTCGGCGGTGCCAAGCACATATTCACAACGATCTTCATATTGCAAATCATTGACATTGGAACAGCTTAACTGGAAATGGGGTGAGTGAAACTTATTTGCGATGGTAGAGTGGAAGGCAATGATATAACTTACAAAATTGCGATATGAAGAAAATTCTTCATAATCTGGTTCCGCCATGATTGATTCAGATATATTTTAATAATACTTTTTAAATTTGTTATATTTCTGTTGTATGACAATTAGAGCCTATTGCTACTTTGTTATTTTGAAATTAGAAAAATGAAGAAGTAATATTGTGTTGATTAATTTAAAACAAAGTTTTCAGTATAGGGGCGTACGCAGGGGGCCAATGGTTCCATCGAAGTGATTTTTCCTGCAAAATTAAAAAAGTGAGTAAAAACCCACCCACATATATTTCAAAGATCAAGAAGTTCTGTGGGACTTTATACAATTTTAGGAACCAAGAACTATATTCAGAGGAGCAAGGCTAGAGAGTTAAGGGTGTATACAATGTCTTTGAAGATTATTTCGGAGTCAACTCCGTTTAAAAAAATTAGTTGGAGACTTGGTCTAGCCAAAACAGATCAACTACGCATCCGCTTTGATGAATATGGATACGGAATATATATTTTTTTCGATTCTTGTCGACCATCATTCGCCCTTTAGTTTGGGTCAGTATCGAATATTGCGTGAACGTTTTGGTATTTTGAATATTGTGTTATTTCAAAATAAATAAAATACTCACCCCATGTTGTTTGTCTTCGCGTTGGTTTACTTTTATATTTTAAAATATATTACAAATCGTTATTAAATTTACTACAGACACATTTCTAAGATTTTTATATTTCATTCATCAACACTAGATTCATATTTACACATACACACACACATATAGATGCAGAGATATTGAATAAAGCGGAAGTGTGCCTGGAGACAAAGGCGCCACATGGAAATCGTTTGCTGTCATTGGTATTTAATGTTGACATTACTTTCATTATCCTTCATTGTTGCGCTAGCACTCAAACTGAGAATAAATATACAAACACTCGTGTGCACACACACACACACACACATACATATTGGCAAACAAATGTTAGCACGTTTCCTAAGATTCCATAATGAATTCGCTTTTAGGAGGTTCTTAATCGTTCAAAGTTCCTGAAACAACTGAAAATGTTTCAACCTGTTTTTATCGCTTAGTGTTGGCTTGCAGAACAGAGAAAAACAAAAACCTGTAAGAAAGGTAAAAATAAACACTAGTTAACATCCGAACACACATATGCCGACGGTCGATGTATACACACATCTACACGGACATGGCCTTTAATGTCAGTAGTAAAGGTATTTTTAATGTGGCGGCTGGTTTTTTAATGGACATTTTTACACTCCAAGAAATGCAAAGAACTCCCATGAACGCCACCTGTAAATGCAGCGTCTTTGCCTAAGGCTTAGCGGTTTCTTTGCGACTAGTCCAAATTAGTTTTTATTTCATTAGCCTGGTGCCCTTTAAAAGCTCAGCGTGTTTGCGCTTAAAGTTCAACTATTTCGGAAGAACGTTGTTGGCGGCTGGTGACGTTACAAATGTGTCTTGAATAGCCATAAATTTGGGAATATTCCTTGAAGAGCAACGGCGAATGGTGGGGTGTGGGGTGAGCTAAGAGGACAGGTACATTGTAGTTAAGGTTGATAGGTAAATAGGTTTTTGTGTAAAAGGACGAAGGAGGCGGAGATGGCTAACAAGAATTAGTAAAGTGTTTTGTGTTTGCCAAAAAAAAAAAAAAAATGAGCCAACAAAATCAGTAACGTGCCACTAAGCAATTTGTACATCCGACAATGGCAACTTCTTTGTTTTAGATAAATCGAAATTTGTTGGCGTTGTTGTTGTGGAATTTTTATTGCAAACAAATTGAGATTGCACAATGCTATGAACATATATGGGCAATATTGCCAATTTTTTAACATAGCTGAAGCGGAGGTTCACCCCTTTATAACTCGGGAATTACTTAAGTATATGAAAAAAGTGAATAGTTTTGGGTAAATTGAACTGTCGTTGCAAACTGTTCATGATATTGACCTCCAAACTTTATTTTGGTGGATGCTGTGTCTACTTTAATGTAAAAAAATGTGTAAAAACATAGTTTTTTTATGTTCTCTATCGATTTGTGACTAAGCCACTCATTGCACGGTCTTCGTGTCAAAATAAAACTAAAAGCCAACAAAATGGAGAATACGCCCCTTATATATCATTTTTCAAAATTTTCACTGCATCTACCTTTAAATGATGCTGACATTTTGAAGCTCGATTTTGAGCGTTTTTTTAATTTTACTTCTAGCTAGCTAGCGCAAACAGGAATTTATAAAAATCGATTATAAGATTATTGTAGTCGCGAATCTGCGTAATTTGATATGTATTTTGTGTATGTAGTATGCACAGCTTCAGAGTAATACTCATCCGAAGGTGCGAATTTTGTGCGATCAAATTTCTAAAAAACCTATTTTTCGGGCCAAATTTTTAGATCTGTCAACTGAATGACATGGGTACCCGCGATCAATAAGGTTTTTTACGTTTCGGGTGATATATAATCTTCTTCGTGAAAATCCATCTACTAGAACGGCGGGAACTGGCCTTCCAAAAACACGAAATTTGGAAAAAAATGTTTCTGAAAATATCGCGGATTTATTTGCGTTTTCTGTGTATCATTTCCGCTTCAATAAATGACCTCATACGGATTTTGATCTTTTTCGAAAGATAACTTTAAAAAGTTCAGCCGAAAGAGAGATGTACGCAATTTATCTCAAAAATAGATTTTGCTGGCACATCCATGGTTCTTAATGGACCACATTGAAATGGTATGGATCGATGTATTTTTTTAGGGCGCACACCGAAATCGGATGCGCGTTAATGGCATATGGAGTTTTCGGAAATTATTCGCGTTTTACGATTTTTTGGGTACTTCAATGAAACGTGCGGCACATCTTAGCCGTCAAATGAAATTTCGCAAAATATATATGGATTGGAAGATAAACTTCAGTACTTCCTGGAAACCGCATGCGCATCAAATGATTTTGAGAATTACGCGATTTAGACTCAATTTATCTCAAAAATAGTGTGAGCTGGCACATCCATGGTTCTTAATGGACCACATTGAAATGGTATATATGTATTTTTTTAGGGTGCACACCGAAATCGGATGCGCGTTAATGGCATATGGAGTTTTCGGAAATTATTCGCGTTTTACGATTTTTTAGGTACTTCAATGCAACGTGTGGCACATCTTAGCCGTCAAATGAAATTTCGCAAAATATACATGAAATGGAAGATAAACTTCAGTACATCCTGGAAACCGCATGCGCATCAAATGATTTTGAGAATTACGCGATTTACACGCAATTTAAAATGTATATTTCATAATATTATTTTATTTTAAGATTTATTCCTATTTATAGAATACTAAGATTTATCGGAAGGGTCTTGATATAATCCGCAAGGCGTATACTTATACACAAAAAGTTATTATTATAATATATGTGTAAATTTTTCGGCGAAATTCGGGTAAAATAGCAGAATAACCCCAACATTTTTTTCTGAAATTTCATGTATACAATTAAAAAAATAAATATGATGACATTATTTTTTCGAACCAAAAACAAATATTTTTCCTCAATATCTTGTTTTGTTGCCGCTGTGATTTAGAAACCGCTACACGGACTTGTGTGATTTTGATATCATTTGATTCATCATGGTGTTTAGATTATGTAGATATTTTTAAATTGATTTGTAGATGTGTGTATGTCATTAATATAATGAAAATATTGATGTAATCTGCTTTATTTTTATTATTTTTCTCATATTTCGCGAAGATGTGCAACTTTATCGTGATTATTATAATATATTCATATTCTTATTTTACGGAGGAAGATATATATCAGCGTTTTTGGTCAATATAATAAACGGCGTAATTTTAAGATTTTTTTCTTATGCCCAAAATTAAAACCTCGATGCGCGCATCAACCAAAAATTTGATCGCGAACGGTTTCGGAGTCAGAACATTTTTCTCTATATGTGTACCAAAAATCATTGATGTGCCACAAAAACAAAAAAGCTGATTTTTTGAAAATGGAATATTAAAAAATTGGCAATATTGCCCATATATACTATTTTAAATAACTATAAAACATTGAAAATAGTTACAGTTTATTAACTGCGATAGGAATGAATTTAGACCATATACATATATATATTCAATGTTGTACACTGATTGTAGTACAAGGCTTAATTTGTGTTTTACTTTCATAAATAGGCTTCAGTTTTGATGATAGTTTCTTCATTTCACTCAAAATCTCAACCCTGTGAATATTATAAAATTCTTATAATAGGAAATATTCGATGGGACTCTAAGTGCTATTATTATTAAATTAAAAATCCAACAGATGTCATCAGGTTAGGGGTAAGAAATAACTATCAATTGAGATAGTCTCCACATAGACTAAATTTGCATCAATCGAGGAGATAAAAATTGCTACAGCAGGGGAAGTTGAATAATATTAATTATTTTAAATTGTTTTGAGGTAGTTGACACTTGACAGTTTTCTGTCTAATTACAGGGATGGTCCGTGTGACGAATTTTTAGGTTTTCGACTGTCAAAAAGGTGTAATAAATGTATAAAATGTAATAAATGTAGTAAACGTCATTTATTACAATATTATCAGCATATACAGTTATTTTCAAGAATATATATTATTTTTACATATATCTGACTATTCCTTACTGGAACTGATAAAAATTTTTAATTTTTTTTGAGAAGAAAATTTTGAAATTTTATATTAATTTGAGTAAAGCATGCGTAATTTCCAAATTGATTAATGGAAATAGCTATTTTGTCAAAAACCTAATGGATTTGGGTAGGTTTCCGACGTTTCTGACGTATGTATTATACGTCGGAAATGTATGTCATTTACGTCACTGTTTCTAACAGGCCATCTCTGCCTAATTAATTAACTGCTTATTTTTAATGCGTAGCCTTGACCCTATTTTACGGAAGTATATTCTTTTTTGTTTCAATCAACTGTTTAAAGGTTCGCTCATCACGACATACATATGCACATCCCGAAAATCTTCTAAGGTCAGCTCTAATATTTTAAATTAAATCAAACATGCAATCGAAGGCGAGCACTCTTTCATTTGCGTGCTCACAAAAAGAAAAGAAAAAATGAAAATGAAAACTCTTCAAAATAAATTGAGAGAAAAAATGGGTTGGAAAGTGAAAGTCTATGGGAATTTGAGCAAGAGGCACAAAAAATACCAAACCTCCCCTAAATAAGTGAATTAATTTTATTTTTGAAAGAAAGTGAAATGAATTCAGGGTTATGCTATTTAACGGGGTTATCGAACTGTGTGATTTCGAATTTAGCGAAAGTTTTGTTTTATAAATTATTATTCGGTTACACGCACATCACATCATTATTAATCAGATGCTGTTGGAATAACATCAAAATTTGTTATTGAGATATTCTTGGCGTGTTGCATAAATGGGTGGGGGTCAGCAAAACAGAACTGAGGTCAGTAATCTTGGGGTCAGTAAACAGGTCATACCAAAGGAATGCAATAAAACTACTAGTTCTAATGACACTTTATGTAAATTCGAGTCTTATAATGCAATTATTGCAACAGTAGTTTTGGTACTTTGGGAAAAAAGCTTTGAAAGTCATAAAATTAAACGCGACTGATGACCCAGAATACAAAAATAAAAATGGATCGAGGTCAGATAAAAAAATATCGTTAAGGTCTGATCAAAAGATGAACCGTTTATTTATTCATTAAAAAGTATATGGTCCGCTTTAAAGAAAAAACCTCCACTAATGCCGGTGTTTTTCTAATTTTCGAAAATCTCTCGCCAATCGTAGCAGAACGCTTTCCTTTCATCGGGGTTTTGAGATGAGAAAAATTTTGGCGAGGGCCAAGTCCGGCCAACAACTCATTACAGACATTGATTCTGGACCTTTCTATTGGGATGATTGGACACACCTATAATTCGTCGCCAGTTGTGACCTTTTTGATGTACATATGTTTTTGTTGTTTTTTTTCTTGAATTTTAGAAGAACCTTCGCTGCCGCACGTTTCATACCTAAAACATCCGTAAAAATGCCAATCTCTCTGATAGTGATTTCGACGATTATCCAAAAACATTATCTGCACTGCTTCTATGCAACCAGGACGAGCATCGCTCTTGACATCTTCTCGGCCTTCCTCAAAAATTGAACATGTGTTCTGCTCATAGTCGAACTGACTACACATAGTTTTGAAAATACGAGCAGAATTTATATATGGTTATATTAAAATATGAATCTATATATTAAGTTGGGGAAAAAGAAATCCATTATTCCATTATTTTTATATGAACTATAGGACTTTATTTAATATGTCCGATTTTGGCCAAATATGCACCTTTTGTTGTATGATTTGTTCCCATTTAAAGATAACTTCATAATGCGTCCAGCATAGAAGTCCTGCTCTCTATTTGCAAAAAAACTCTAGCATTCGTAGCGTTGTCCTGGTGGAACAATTCTGGCCGTTTCCGTTCAATTGCTATCTTCTAACGGTCCAGTTATTGAAAGTAGAGATCAGAAATGCTCATATGGAAGCAACTCATAATAAATAATCCCCTTACAGTCCCTCCAAATGCATAACAGGGCCTTGGCCACCGTTTGAGGTGTTTCACCGCTCTTTGACCACCATCGTTTTCGCACAGGGTTATCGTATGTGATCCATTTCTCATCTCTAGTCATTATACGTTTATGAATTGGGTCTAGCACATTCCTTTTGGCCAAGGCTTCGCAGATGGAAATTCGATCTATCCTATTTTTCGGTTAATTGGTGTGCCACCCAAACATCGAGGTTCTTTTTGAATCCAGCTTTGTGTAAATGGGTTAAACAGTTTTATGGTCGATTTTTAGATCCTGGGCGATGTTACTACTGCTAACATGCCGGTCAACTTCGATCATTTCTCCGATTTTATCGACATTTTCGACGTACGGCCTAATAGATTTATTTTTTTCCAACCTAATATAACATTTTCTGCGAGGAAGCCTTGTAAAATTTATCAACCCGAAAAAATACGGCAAAAATCTTTAAAATACCAAACAAAGAGAACCATATATATATATATATATATATTGCTTCTATTCGGCTATACGTCTTCATTTTTTTTCAATATTGAACATTACATTTTCAATGACACTATATACATATTTAGAAACTTAAATTGCCATTCACTTTTACTGATCAAGAATTCTCCCCCTCCCTATGAAGTCCTCCTCAACAATAAAACTACATTGGATTGGATTGATTACAATTTTTGTTTTATTTTTTCATTTGATACCATTTCGTTTTATTTTGTAAATTATTATTATTATTATATTTCATTTGATTTTCCTTTTTGTTGTTGTTGTTGTTTTTTTTATAATTTTCCTTTTTTTGTTTTTCTGAGTTAGGCTTTTTTTAATGCATATGATTTTAAAAGTAGAAAAATATATATAAGTATATACACACGATACATATATGTAAATATATAAGTATGTTCTAAATTTTCGGAACAGAAATAATTATTTCAAATGCACATCTATATATTTCGTTTTTGTTTTTGTTGTTGTGGTTTTTATTCCAGTTCGCGAGCGAGATAGTGTCGAGTCAAGTCGTTAGACGAAGGTGTATGGGGTGGGGTGCGTGCATTATGAGTTGATGATGCGATGTGTTTGTAATTAAAATAATAGACAATATATATGTATATAATTATGTATTTTGTTTTCCATTTGAATTTGATTAAGGCTGGTTTTCATTCGAACAGAGATATTCAATTGTAATTATGAATACATATTCGAAACTACTTCTAAGACAGTAAACAAATTTCTTTATTTTTATTTTTTTTCTTCAAAATAATATCTTTGTTTTTTGGTTTTCAATAATATCAGATTTTATTTAATTAAATATTGTTAATTATTTTTCGTTTGTTATTTTTGGCACAAAAGGAAATGAAAAAACCAACATTTATTTTATATTCAATTCAATAAATAAATATACTATTTGTATATCAGTTGCTGCCAATGCATGAGATGCTAATGCCATTTTAATCCGAACTCTCAAAATAATTAATCCTCAAAATTTCTCAAAACAAAATCCAATATTTTTTGTTGTTGTTTGTTTTCTTTTTTTTTAATACGGTGCATGTTCTACATCTGTTAAGTGTATTCTAGTCTAAGAATGTTTTTGTTTTTGTTTTCATATTTCTTGAAATGTTTTGTTTTTTTTGAGTTCTTTTTTATATAATTTTACTATTTAAAGAAGCTATACGTTTTGTGATTCTATCAAGTAACAGCTTCCATTTATATATATTTTTCTCAGTTTGAATTAATTAAATAAATTATCAGCTATCAAAAGAACAAGATCCATGTTTGATGATTTGTATCATCAATATTCGGCACCAGTTTACAAAATATTACAGGCTGAACCGTGCATAACTTCGGTAATGAACATGGGTGTACCAGCTCCCAAACCACCATCGGTCTTTTGATGCTCATTCTGAAAAAAAAAGAAAATAAATAAAATAAGTTTTAGAATATAAACATTTTGGCCCAAGGTTTGGTATAGTCCCCATAATAACCATATCGACCAATTTTGATATTTTGAAAGTTTTCACCACATTTTCCAAAACAAAACGAACTGTACTTTAGAATTCCGAGAGGAGGGGGGAAAATATTTTATAAAAGTTCCGACCGATTTTAATCATGTTAATGGTCCTTGGATTATTTTCCACCCAAAGTGGTTGTAATTTAACATTCCGTCTTTCATGCTGACGAAAACAATTCTTCATAGAAGTGTTTTAATATTGGTCCATGTTTTGACATAGCCCTTAATGTTAAGGTCCCACCCCTTTATGGTTATTTATGGCGATATTCGAATGTTCCAATCGAAATTGACATTTTGAGTTTTGATTGGCACAATGCATTTTTGCAAACAATTTGCAATACAGGTCCATGCTTTGTAATAGCTCTTAATCTTGACCTCTTCATTTTAAGTGTGATATAGATTTTTAAGATAATTTGCCGGAAAATGACAATGGTCCCGTCCTATATTCCGTATATTAAAAGTCTTAGCAGAACCTAAATGTTTGTAATTTGAATTTTCGTTTTCCCACATGATAACAATATCCTGACAAACTATTTTAAATACTACTACTACTAGCCGAACTTTGCGACCTTTTTACTTGCATCCATTCAATATTATTTTTCTATTCAATATTCCGTTTTTTCACATTTCTGCCGTACTTACATCATCATATTCACAATCAAAATAATGACTCTGACATTCCATACACCGACAGCCGTCTGACATTTTACACGTTATGCCGCATTGTTTAGCCAAATCCTTGTAGATTTCCTTCGATGATTTATTGCTAATTATTTCCGGTGTCAGTGAACGTTCCAATTGTTGTTGATAATACTGTTGTTGTTGTTGCTGCTGCTGATGTTGTTGTTGCAGGTGCTGCTGTTCACTACTGTCGCCACAATATAGACTTTGATGCGAGCTCGACTGCGGATTCATGTCCCAATGATGTTCACTCGTACAGGATTCATCGCATTCACCTGAATTGCCATCGTTGTCGTACATTTGTTGGTGTTGACTCTGATAATCCTCATCATAATGGGAGGCTGTGTGGTGGGGTTCGAGAAGAAAAAACAAAATAGAATAACGGAAGTATTGTCATTAGTTTGTGCAGAAAGTTTATGTATAGATATGTGAATTTAAATTGAATTTCAAAAACAGTGTGTGAATAATTTATTTATGTGGTTGTGGAGAACGCTTTTATGATTGCTAATATGAGTTGAAAAAACACTGAATTGAATTTAAACATGGGTGAAGAAAGGAACTACTTTAAGTGTTCTTTTTCGAAAAATCTTCAATGGGGTCATGATTTGGTTCAAATCGCATACTACATTCACTTTATTTAAAATATTGCCAATTTGCGTGGGAGGTATCGATGGGAATGGAAACTGTCTTCTATGATTTCATCACTCCAAATTGTCTGTAACAGATTTGGTTCGAAGGTACTGGGATATCCTAAAATACCCATATTTGGAGAGATGCACTTTTATATCAAAAGATTCGTTCGAATTTCGTCCGTCAACATTATCTTCTAACTCTTCTCGTCTAACAATATGTATTCTTCTTTCTATAATGATTTGAATTCAGTTTTTTTACTTCTCAACTCACCATCATTACAATAGATTCCATGATTCATCAATGGATCATAGAAATCATTACTCTGATTATGTTCGCCTTGCATCCCACCACCGGAACCACCGCCCGAACACGATGCCGTGCCATCCGAATACTGTTGACAATTGCCGGTGCAACTGTTATCGTCCACCATTTGATCCCTATCCTGCTCGGAAGATGAGTCAGTCATGTTGTCACCCAATAGTAATTCCTGCGAATCAATTGACTCCTTGCGATCGTCTTCAAGATTATTATCCGGATCCTCCGGAGCGGTGTCGTCGTCCTTATGATGTAAATGCTCGTTGTTGCCTAATGTGTCGATGGTATTGGAATTGATCGAATTGGATGCGATGGCTGACGATGATGCTGCGGATGCGGATGCGGCTGCTGCTTCGTTGTTGTTATTAATGGGATTGATATTGTGATGGTTGTTGTTGTTGGCGTAATTCTCTTGACAATTGGGATCGGTGCAGGGTAATTCGTTGAGACTCAATTGTTCCAGTTCGTTCAAATGAAGTTGTTCATCATCGTCGTTGTTGATGCTGATGTTAATGCCGGCAATGGCCAATTGTCGTTGCTGACATAAGAAAAGGGGGATAAAAGAGAACAAAATGTAAACAATAAGAGGGTTTTCGATGATATTCTTTTAAAAACTAAATATTGTCCTTTATAATTACCTCTTCTAAAACATGTTCATATGTTGGTGGCGGTGTGGTGGGTATATTTTCCCCTTGATTCTGATTTATGAAGCCTGAAATTGTTCCGTTTAAATGAAATAATGTTCTTTAGTATGGGGAAGGGAAATAACCTTTGTACATTGTTGTTGCATTTTAAAGAAAACAAAACAAAAACAAGTGTATATTCTCTGAGTGAATGGTGTGTGGGTGCGTGTTATAGAAGACGAGCGAAATTGATTAGATGTTGTGTGGGTGGGAGGTTGAGTGTGGTTGTCATATCGTATATTGTTTACAAGTGCCACGTTAGCTGTGTGAACAAATAAATTATTTTATTTCTTTTTATATTTGCAATGACATGAAAAATGAGTGAAAATATGAGAAAAGTAGAAAAAGTTTGTTTTGTTGTTATACAAAAAGCGAAATAAGACAGATTTTCCTTGTTTAGATGCTTGGTATATTTTTTGCTTTGCTCTCAACAAAAATAATGTCAACGGACAATGACAGTTTCTTGTTATGGTTAGAGTGCAAACGTTTCTAGGTCATAGTATTGCAATTGTGAAATGCACTATTCATATTGGTAGGACTCTGAACCTTTGATATTTGGCAAGATATGAAATCCCACATATATTAAACACATTGTCCATTATGCTGTATCCCAAGGAAGCCAATATTCGATTCAATAAAATTTTGTTTTCGACAAAATAGGGAAATAGATCTTTAGTCCAAAGAAAATATAACATGATGCACAATTTTGACAAGTACGATGTTTGTGGTGGTCCTTCCCAAGAGGACCGTTGTCTATTTTGAGGTACGATTATCCCAAAAAAAAAAACCTTGGTCTTACGAATACTTAATGTTATGGAATATACTATAATTTGTCTCCTTAGTTCCACTATCTTCTAAAGAAAAATCGTCTTATGGAAGTTCGATGAATTTCCATAAATAAATATAAATATATAAAAAATGACTTAAACGATATTAAAAAAATAAAAAAGAAGATTTTCTCCTATTGTATTTATACTTATCCGTACAAGAATAACGCGAAAAATATGCATTGTTTGTATTAATACTTTTTGATTAATCGCCTCTTTCAAGAAAAATATATTTAAAGCGTGAGAAGCATTCTGGCGTTCCTCGATGTTGACTCTATAAATAAAATTCTAACTTGAAATTTTAATGGGATATTATTAAATTTATATTATTATTTGTTAAATTCTAAAAGAGAGTGTTTTCCCTTCAATTCTTGAGGGTAACAAATGACATAAAAGTGAATTATATTATATTCCTCTAAAGAATAATGTCGGAAAGTCATTCAGTATGGTGTTGATTTAACACCATCTCAAAGACATCCAAAAATGTAACCTATGTTGAGACTTTATTTTAATTTTTTTAAGCCATAATTATCCATATGTTAGACCATCTTGTAGCACTTTGTTAACAAAAATACTTGTAAGAACTTTTTGTAAAAGAATCTGAGAGTCTGAGATCTAGGAAAACAACAACAGTTATTCTGAATATTCCTTGAATGTTATTGATATTTTAATAGAATTAAAATACTTGATAAATAATAGAATAAAACGCATATCCCCCGATGCACAATAAGGAATAGGGACTTTAAAAGGTATGGTCTTTCACTTTCTTTTTTACAGATTTTCCGAAATATGTACAAATTCTAAACATCAATACCAAAATTTTTATTTGAAATAACACATTTCAGTATGTACAAATCCACACTTAGCACCTGCACATCGAACATGTGTAATTAACAATGAAAATGGTAATGATGACGATGATGACTGAATTACAGCGAGTTATGAAGTTTTGTGCAATGTTTTTTTTTTTTTTTTGAAGCATACATGCCGCTGTAAAGTGACTCGATTTGTATTATTATTTTTTTTCTTGAAATGTTATTGTTGCATGGCTACACACACACATTTAAATGGCTCAAAACATCAAAATATTATTTATATTTTAATTTTTAATTTCAATTTTTGTTTTTTTTAATACGAAATTCAAGGTTATGTCTTACCCATTCTCAGAGTGTTGCCTTTGTTTGGCAACAACAGTTTACGTTCGCTGGTATTTAGCGACACCAAACTGTTACAGTCCACGGAATCTATGGTCGAACTACTGGCACCAATTGCCCCACTGGTCTGATGATTTAGCAGGGCCTCATTTACCTGAGGATCGGGTTCATGTTCCTGTGAAGTGCTACGCGAGCTGCCCATGCGAAATTTAAGTTTAAATGGAGCCATCTTTGTCCGTTTGTTGTGGTTCTTGTACTTGTTGTTGTTGTTGGTCTTTGGATAGTTTTTTTTTTCTATTTGTAGTCCAATCGTCGTGTTGATATGTTCGGATGCCTTAGTTTTTTCGCTTTTGTTTGAAGAGGGGATTTTTTTCGTTTGTTGGTTGTTTGGATATTTGAGGAAGGGTCTTTTATGGGGTTTCTTTGTACATTAAACACTAAAGATTACTTGTTTTATTGTTTTGCGTTTGATTCTTTTACGTTAAACTACTAAGAAGTAATTACACAGAGGTACAACGACAAAGAGAAGAAAGAAAGACAAAGGATAAATTTGTGAAAAATAAGAAATAGAGTAAAGAAAAGTTAACAACAAATGAAAATGGTTAAATGGTTGGTGTATATGTGTTGCTGTGAAAGGTGTTAAGTTAGTTTGCATTAAAATTATTTCCATTATCACATCCATCACAAAATATAGTGACACCACAAATATGTTTATTATATTACTGTGTTTGTGTGTGTGTGTGTCTGTATGCGAGTCGTTTCCTGAGTGTATGTGTGTGTGTTTTTGTGCAATAATGTATGTAAATTATCCTATACAAGTAGTTCACCACAATAAAACAGTGCCAATTATAACCAAACATCGTTAGCATTCAACCATGTATTGAATGAGGCATTGAGTACAATAGCGACTTAAGTTATTTTAAACAAAAAATGTAATATTCTTAAAATCTCAACACCTAAAATATTCCTTTGCAAATATCGTGTTAAATTTAAGTCGGTTAAAATTTGTTAGTTTATTGAAAGCGGCGTTAATTGTAAAAAGGATGTTGCAAGTAAATATCCTGTTTACTGAAAAAAACATTTGCTTCAAAACAAAAATTGTCTGAATATTTTATTTCAAATTTTCTCTATTTATTGTATCAAATTTGACAGAATGTGCGTCCATGTTTGAAAAGTTTCCTATACTAAAAATAAATCATATTTTACAATTTTTTGATTTAGTTCATTATTGCACTCAGTGCTTCATCGTACATACTTCTGTTTATAATTGTCTACTTTATTTGGTGGCTTTTGTGGCTGATGGTGCTTGGTTGGTTGGCTGGATGATTAAGAGGGATGCAATTCTCTGGTGGATGCAATCTATGGTCATGCATGAAAGCTCTTTAAATAATTTATGATTTATAATTTGTTTGCCCAAAAAAGAATAATGTTAATATGTATTATTAAAGACAATAATAATTCTTACCAAATGTTGGAAATATATTCCAATTAATCTGCAAAGAAATAAGGTTTAGGATTCAAGATAAAAAATAAGCAAAATCAAATTTCTTTTTTTAATAAAACATTCGTTTCAATTGAAATTTGAAATTTTGTAACAACGTTTTGTATGATTGTAAATAATGTAAAAAATTAGTTAAAAAAAAATCTTTACACAATAAAAATTTTTCAGAATGAGGTCATTTTCCAATATAGGTATATACAAAACAAGGTTTGATCAAAAAAGGACCGTTGATGTATGATCAAAAAATTAATCGTTTATTTTATCCTCTTCAAAGTAATCTCCTCAGATTTAATAAACATATGCCAGGGTTTTTCCCAATCCTCGACTTGGATTTAGGCGTCCAATCTGACCGGAATGCAATAAACAAAGGGGCTTTAAAAATTACGGACAAGACCGGAAAAATTGGAAAATCACTTGATTTATGATTGGAATAAATATTAGGTTGGGGAAAAGAAATCCATTAATTTTATATGAGCTTTATTCATTGTTTTTGTCCCTGTATACCAAGGGAAAACAAGGGTAGTTTCTGACTTACACGAGTCGCCCTGATGGCCCTATGTTGTCTAGGGCCACAAAAATTTGCAGAGGGGTTGAGGAACACCCAAATAAGATCCCAATAAAAAATAACTAAAAACGCTTAACCCATTCGAAAGCTATAACGAATTTTCTATGATTGTTTTAGATAGATTATCATTTAAGCATGGATTTAAATATATATTTTTTTAATGTATATACAATTTTGAGTTCCTACATCTAGATCAGATCCGTATAGACTAATTTAAAACAAAAAACCTCACGATAGTCCAATTTTTTAAGGAGTTACAGAGCTATCTTTGGATGGGTACAAATGTACCACGTTTATTGATCTACGTAGGTAATAAACTTGTAAAAATTATATTGTATATGGAAAATATTTATAATTTTTTTCTTCGATTATGTGTGAAAATACCTCAAGAATTATTCCTCAATATTTGATCCAAATATCTCCATTATTAAAAATTTTACAGCATTTTTATTCAAAAAAAGGTACAAATGTACCCGGTTATTGACCGTAGGGTTAAAGATGCATTGTTAAGAAAACATTTATGATTTATGAATAAATTAATAGCTGAATCATATTCCCAATTCGATTTTTAAAAGATACCCTGACATTCTATTAACTTTTCGAATTTTTAGAAAAATTTTAAATTTGTCAAATTAACAGATCAAATTGTTGCCTTTGTTTTATTTATTGTGACATTATAGTCCACAAGGTACAGGTGTATATTCTCTTTGTTGACAAGCGATACCCTACCTTGAATAATTATACCATTACAGAAACATTGCAACCGATATTAAAATGCTATATATAATCTCCATTTGCACGATATCTATGAAAATATTTATTTTCGAGTATTTTAAATTCAATTTTCCACAATCCACAATCTTTCTACAATAAGCACAATCTTTCTACAATATCACCTAATGAGTGAGGGTTTATATTTAAATAAAGGATCCCTGTGTCAATAATCTCACATCGTTTCCCTACAGATACACTCTAAAATATTATGATTTAATATTCTTTACAAAACATTTTAAATCCATAATAAACATTATTCGATTGTAAACATTCCCATTCTTTGTTATATCTAATCAAAAGCATTTCAATTGGGAGGATTCATTCATTGTAGTTGTTGTTGTTGTCATTCATCTTTAGATTTTATTTTGATGAGAAAATTCTAGTATCGAAACCCAATAAATGTATTCACCATCATCATCAATTTGATGTGCAAATAAATTCTTAACAACAATATAATTTAACCATACATATAGCCCCACAGACACACACACGAACACACATGCAAATGTTAACAAGTGGGTTCGCATGTACGAGTATTCCCCAAACCACGGACACGACAACTGTTGTTGTTGTGCAATAAAGTCTTACAACTCAATTCATCATACACAGGAATATCTATTGGATCGAATGACTGAACACCACACAATGATGACACTCTGGCCCACCGCCACCACCAACACAAATGCAAACACATCCGAATCTTCATCGACATCGCATAGTTATTATAATCAATCTTCGAATGGAACTAGAACGACAATCGCATGCAGAAAAATCATATGAATATACCATACCGCACCGCACAGAGATATTCACTTGAACCTATATGCTGCTGGCATCATGTGTTTGTGTGTGCGTGTTGACCAAGTATTGGTTAACATTTTATGCATGCGTTACAGTTTTATAGCTTCAGATGACAACAACAAGAAGATGGGATCACAGAGAGACAGACCGACAGACTCATATAATTCAACATCTTCAATTTCACAATGCGCTGCTATCATTTCGAAACATGCATAGAGCAACATGGCAACAGGATAAACCGAGTCCCGATATTATTCATCTCCTTCTTCATTTGCTCTCGTGTATTATTTTCATAATAATACGGAAAAATCCAAACAAGTAAACAACATGAAGAAGAAAAAAAATATGACATCAACTTTGACAAAAGATAACGAAGACAGACCACCCGATACCGACACTACCACCCCACCCACGCACCTAACCATTAAAAGTCGGGACACAAATACATACATCAAATGTGTACAAATGTACGTATGTACGTACGTACTATCTTGTCAAACAGACAACACAAAGAAAGGCGCAAACCTAACAGCCATGACTCATTCAGCCGAACAAGAGACGGTCTCAATGAAAAACAAATGAATGGAAAAAGTCAAATTACAAATATATCAATGTTGGTGTGGTTGTTGTTCAAGATTTCCCTTACAAAGAAAACACTAATCATGTGGCCGGGACGAGGAAGAGAGTGTGTTTGTGTAGATTTGCCTGTGAATGGAGGGAGGAGGTCAGAGGATATCACAACAACAGTGCTGGTCAATTTAATAGCAATATCAGATTAGAGTTAATTATGGTTCTGAACATGTAGCCAAAAAAATGGACATTTAATATTTTGAAACTGTGATTGGTCTTGTTCAAAAGTAGTACAATGACAATACATTGGAACTCCCATATTCAGTCTTTTGACATGTAATCCTAACTATCTGAGATTCTGGTAGTTATCGAACGTCAGGGTTATTAATAGAAAAAATATGAAAATATTTTTTCGTATAATAGATGATTTTTATTTTGCTATTTCATGGTAACTTTTAAAGTTTTTTATCTTTGACATTGGACAAGTGGAAACCATTTTTGGTCTTGGTGATTTGGACTTTAGTGATGGACAAGTTTAAATCCGTGCACGTCGCTCAAGAGCAAATTAGAAGTGTGGAAGAAAATGTATGTTTATTCTTTCTTCGTCGTTCGTTGAAGTTGATAGTTTCACACACGTCATATATTTGCTGATTGGATACTCCAGGAAAATTGTCCGAAATTTCATACTACGAGTAAAAATGTGCCAGTCGGTCTTCGAAATTAAACACAGGTTTTATTATTCGCTTTATAAAATATATGTTTTGATTTAAGGTGTTTAAGATTTAATGTTGATCCATTCAGTTATTCAATCTGACCAAATCGGTTATTCCATATGACCCTTTTTGGGGAGGACTTGATCTAGGCTTTGTAAAGATAATAGAATAGACTAACATTGGATTTATAAATATTGAAAATTTTGACCCTTTGCGAGGAAGGTACCAGAAGGAGTGGACCAATGAATACCATCTTCCTACTTGCAAAGTTTGGTTCAAATAGGATAGTCGGTTCGCATAATATTATAAAATGATTTTTTTACAC